AATTGCTTCGATGGCCGTATTTAAAAAAATTATTTTTTTCTTTAATTGAAAATGCTTTGCATATGTCGCATAATTGTGTGCAACAGAAGCTTCCCACTCGGAGCTAAAAATGTTTCATTCTGAATTTCTCCTGCCTCCGTAACGTTGTTTGTTTATTTTGAGCCAACCACAACTAAGTACTAAGCTACAAATATAAATGATTTGTGTATTTCAATATACGTGTATATGTGAAACAAAAGAGAGTAAATAAAGAGGAAGAAACTTGTGCACATCTTGGAGTAATGGTTTTTACAATTTATGGCTTTTTTTTTTTGCAAATGTTCGGTCGTTCCTATATTGTTAACCACAAAACGCGCAACACATTGTTACGTCAATAGCTTGGGGCTACCACGTGGCCCCAAACTCGAGGAACTTGCGCCCATCTATCTGCAAAGTGACAAGTTTTCTTTTTCCTCCTTTTGAGAGCATATAATTTCTTTCAACAAAGTAGCTTTGGCCATGGCTGTTGTTGGTGTAATTGTCGCCTGGTAACGAAAGCAGCAACAATATGACTCACATCAGTCATGCAGCCGCCTTTGTTGCCGTTGATTGATTTCCCATATTTCTGAATGCAAACATACACAAATCAGCAGCAACAGCAGCGTCAACGTCAACGTCACCGGCACCGGCACCGGCAACAGTAGCAGTGGCATAATATAAGGGGCATCAGTATTATATTTCTGTAGGAGTAGGCGATGCCACGCCTCGTTGCACGCATACAATTTTAATTTACACAATTTTGTTAATGGCGTAAAACTCGCAGGCCTATCAGCACGAAGACATTCAACATTTCTTGTTGCTGATTTATTTTATTTTTTTTTCAAAATTTGCTTGTGCGTTTCAAAATTGTTTGTGTTGTGCGTCGGCACATAAAGAAATTAGCATTAAGTTTCAGACCAGAAATTTGAGATTTATCAGGCGCGAATCGAAATTGTCACTCACCATTGGCAGTGTCAACATAACGATAGATGTCGGCGACACACCCAATTACGTACACAGCGGCTGTTTGTGTGTGTGTCCTATGTCCTGTGTGCATCCTTCGTTTTGTTTGTTTTGCGGTCGACTGCCCGCCCAAGAAAACAAGTATTTATTTTCTACGTATTACGTTATTTCTGCGGACTTGTTGCCAGAGACATGAAAGTCAAGTTAAGTCAAGTTTTCCATGACGGCCATGGCGCTGCGTTTTGTGCTCATTTTTTTCCCACTTCCACTTTTGGCAATCTTTGTTGTTGATGTTATTATTTTGGTCGTTAATTTGTTACTTGCTTCCTATTAAGAAATTGACAATTTGTGCTTAACTCCTCACTGACAGGGCATTGTTTTTGCCGCTCTCAGTGTGAGTTTAATTAATTTCCTCAATATTTTGTTGGTATGTCTTGGGGTTTGTTTAACAAGGGTTAACAATTGTTGGCCTTCTTGTGGCGTTCTATTTTGTTGCAATTTACATTATCTTGTTGTTAATTACATTTAAATCAGAAGTTTGTGCTCTGGTCAAAGGACAAAGCCAAAAAAGGCAACGTGTTATGCATTTGAAAAGGCTTTTAGATTGTCATGTCAAATAATGAATGACGAAGGTACATATTGGATAAGATTTTTCCTTTCTCTGTCTGGTGGAATATTTCAAAATCAATCTTCAGTTTACTTTATGAGATTTGTATGGTGTCTGAGGACTATTCCATATAGCTGCTATAGGAACAATCGCTTGATATGTTATAAATCTAGAGTGGAATTCAAGTCCTGCTACTCGTTATGCGGCTTAGGATCCTGCAACCGAATTGGCTCAAAAGTATCTCATTGTCAATTATATTTTTACAGAAATTTGCACAAATGTTTGCACCATCTGCTGTGTTTCCGCTTCCGCTGAATTCGCAAATAGCGGCCATTTGAACGATTGGTGCGATAAACTTTAGTCAATATGTTGGGCTTTAACATTCTGGCCGTTACAAAATTCAATTGCTTGTGTAGACTTAGTCGCAAGCAACATCCTTTGCATTGTTTTGCTTATACATTTTAACGCAGTAATGGACCATTAAAACATTTATTGCCTTTTAAGATTACATTAAACTTGAAAGACTTTGTCTGCAATTGAATATTGTTACTCAATTTTGTTCTTAGACTTCTCTTCTTCTTATTCGGCTTATTTAAAACTTTAATACTGTTGCTTTTTCAAACGAAAATACAAACATTTTTGCTGTTTGTACAAAGAAACCCTAATAAATTATTTTCATAAAATTGTGTTATCAAAGAAAAGAATTTCATATTTAACCACGAAATGCATATTTTGAATCAATTATTATTACTTTATTTTTTTGTAAGGGATAAATGGCATTTGTTATTACTTTACAAAATAGGAATGAAAATTGAATGAAAAATCAAATATTTATTTCACAGGAGCTGTTAAAATTCGCAAACATTTGCCAATATATGTTTGCATTCTATATGTGCAATGTTTGATTGAAGCCAATCAAAATATAGCAAGTTACATATAACTTACATATATTTGTTTACTCCTAGCATTGACCAGCTACTATGCGATGTAGAAAATTAGATAAAAACAGTGCTTCAAATAGATTACGCTGCCTAATCTGTCAATCTGCTTAAGTTGTCAGACAAACAACTGCTTTGCGTTTGTAGTGAGTTGTAATTCAAGAAATGTTATATTTTCTCTACATTTTCTCTATTTATTTTTATTGATATTCATTTTAAAGTTTTCCACAATTTTTATGTATTTGGTTTGCTCATTACTCAAAACTAATTCCAAAAGCGTGGCTGCAAACTGGAAACTTTAAAAAGACCCCAACTGCTTTTGACGTCCCGTTGCACCTGTTTTTATATAACATAAGGATTCAGTTGCGTGACTTTTCCAAAGCATTTCCCTTTACAAATTTTACAAATAGGAGCGGTCTAATGCGGCTATTTATAAGTTTCTTAGAAGTCTTATTGCCAAGCATTTTATTGGTTGTCATCGCATTTTAAGAGGCTTTCAGCTTTTAATTTATTGTGAACACACAACGCTGTCGCGATTGTTAAATCTTTTTACATAAAAATTGCCTTCTGGGTGCAATTGGTTGTGCTAGAATTTATTTGCTATTTTGCGCTTTTTAATTCTTTGTTTTCCAGTACACCTACGCGGAATATTTTGACCGAAAAAAGAACGCAAAAATTATCAATGACACTTAAAAAAAGGCAAAACCAAATTCCAAATGTGGATGAACAATTCCGGGAACTTTTTCGGGTTGCTCTCTGCGATACGCAGTTTCTATGTATAGATTTTTGTTGTTGTTGTTGTTTTTAAATGTTTCATCCTTTCTTTTCATGCATGCTGGTCCTTACATACACATACTGGTATGCCGATGTATTTCTACTTGTATGTATTTGTTGTTGATGGCAGACCTCAGTGCGTCCGGTTATGGGCACGTGTATGGGGTTTTTTGTTTCTATGTGTTTCTATTTGTTGTTGAAATGTATGCCTGACTGCTGATGGATCGTCAATGTTGGCGTGGAATCAAACGGAACCACATGCAAATATGTGATATGAATCAGAAAGTTATTTTGCGCAGCCAAATGGCACATTTGCTTTTTCCACTAAGATGCGAAAAGTAAACGAAAATGTTTTGTTGTTTCTCTAACTGGAAAAGAGTGAATACCAATTCAATGGCAAAAAAAAGTTTGGTAAAACAGCATCGCAACTATCGGCCGAAAGGAAAGAGATAACGTACTACTCGTATTTCAATAAAATGAAAGTTTGTATACGCCTATATTGAAGTGTTAACAGATAGACATACTGAAGGTATGACGCTCCCATTCAATTCGGCACGTTTGGCTTACTTGCCGGTTAAGTTTTCTTTTCATGTCATTTCAAAAATGTTGCGTGCGAAATATTATCTAAAATTTTGCCTCAAACGCATGGAGCTTTAAATACTTACAAAGGTTTGCGAATTTTGTGAAATATTTGTGTAGCCATGTAGTAGTCGTTTATTAATTGATTCACTCCACAAGTTTCTTCTTAATTCCTAACCCCAATTGCATATTAATTTTTGAGTTGAATTTCGATGCTTTTTAATTTGTTAAATCTATACTTGACATGCATAGTGATATTATTTTTGTCAATGATGAATGAGTAATTTAATCCTCCCCAATCACAATTCTTTGTATATAAGTAGGTACTTTCGTGTATATATATGTAATCCAATACAGACCACAGGAGGATTAAAAACCAACAACTCAAAGCTAATGTTTATAGCGCAAATGTGCTCTTAAGAATTGCAATTTAATGAAGAAACAATTATAGTTTGTTGAATAACGTTTCTCATTTTTCTCGGCATTTTGTAGTCCAATTTTTGTATAGGAAATTGACAATCCAGAAAACATTAAAATTCATTCTTCTGGTAATTAGCTAAATGAGAGAAGTGTTGCATGTGTTTCTAATAAATTTAAGAAATAAACCTTATAGTATTTAGTAAACTCTAACAAACCTAATTCTACTTCATTCGAGGTAAAAGGTGTACCCAGCTGTTATTATGCTTTTAAGCACTATAATTATTTATTAGCATACCATCTTTGTATTGCAGACCTAATTGCATTAACAATAGAACACAAATTATTTCGCTTTCCTTTACCGAACAAGTCAGATGTCAGACAAATGAGGCTGTCGCATGGCAAAAATAAAACAAAAAAGCATATCATAATTTTATTATCCAAGAACGAGTCCCACTTGATGGGACAATTTTCGTTCTTCGGCCGGCTATGTCCGAATTCATCTCCTTAAATAGGACCGGCTTAGGCTTTCTATATGTACAAATACACATTGCAAAGGTATATGTAGTAAGTGTGTTAAATGTTTCAGAAAATCTTCAATTTAGCTGCCAGCATAAATATTTCGGCTACAGTTTATTACGCATACGCCGCATTGTCAGCAAACATCAAAGAAAACGCGAACTCATATTCATACCCATACTCACCTTATATTCGGCATTCATATCGCATATAGTTGCATTCAGTTTGGGCATGTAGACAGGTTCCGCTATCAGCATGTAAGGCAGACAATGCAAACATCCGACCAAAGTCAGGCAAAATAGCACGATTTTGGCTCGACGCACAGTGCACATGGTTTGCCGCTTCAGGGGATACATAACTGCTATGAATCGTTCGACTGTGAAGGCAACCACAAACCACACCGAACAGAAGCTGGCCAAATAGCTGGAGAAGGTGAAGAATTGACAGAAGTAGTTCATGTTATAGATGTTCACATTGAGGAAGTTCAGCCATTGGGCGAAGAGACCGGTGAGGAAGCATGTGTCGCTAACAGCCAGAGCGGCCAGATAAAAACTTGAGGATAGCTTGCGCAGCTTTGTCTTGAAGAAGACAAAGACCGAGAGTATGTTGCCGATGCTGCCGGTACAGCAGAGTATGGGCACATAATACTGATGCACAATATCCCCAATAAGGAAGGCAATGCGCAACATTTCCTCATCCTCGCCGGCCGCATCATCAATATCGGGTGGCAGGGCGCCCATAATGCTTGAGGTGTCGTTTCCATTAGGTGTATGATGGCTGCTCGAATTCTGTAGAATTGTATGAATTGACTGGGAGGTTGAAGCCAATGTTGTTGATGTCGCTGTTGATGATATGTTGTTTTGCGTAAAATTGATGCTGGAATTATTAGTTGCCATTGCCGATGCGGTGGTTGTTATTGTTGTTGCTGTTGTCAATATTTCGGTGATTTGTTCATAGTTGGCCTGCAGCCTCTCAGTTGCTGTGCCTATAAGTCCCTCCATAATGGTCTCTGTCACGCCCTTGCTTGTAATTGCGTCCTTGGTTGTAGATATATAAAAGCCAATTCTGTATCCACACCTTTAATATATATATGTACACATAAGTCTATTTGTATTATGACCACTCGAGCGTATATTTGCAGTCAAGCCAACTTTTAATTCAACACTTTAATGGACGCAAATACATTCTACAAAATTGTCAGTGGTCGACAGTTGTTTGCAGTTCACTTCAAACAAAACTTGAAGTGCATTTTCACCTGTCAGTGCCAAAAATGTCGCCACTACATCAACGCAATCAAACTAATTAATTGCGCTCCTCCATTAACACCACACAATAGTATAACAAAATGTAAACAAATGTAAAAGTTTGCAAATTTTCGTTTCTTGACCAACAGTTTTGCAAGATTTAATGTCAACTCTGCTAATGCTTTTCATCTGGCTTGGACGCACTTTAAGATCAACTTGCCCAACTTTTCGAGGCAGCTGCTGGCGGATCTCACTTAATAGATTGATACAATTATTATTTTTATTGCCATAGAAAGAGGACAGCAAAGTTTACAATGTCTGTTTCAAGAGCGAAAGTTTGTTATTTATTATTTGGTTGCTTCTTAATTTAGGTCTTAAAACAGACTGGCCTAAGAAATATAGGGAGCACCCCGTATAAAAGATTTGGAAAAGGGAATCAATTTATCGATAACTGGCAGATGATTCTTTCTATAACTAATCGCTTCAAACTAACACCTTCACAAGAGAAATTTTAAATAAGCCATTAACAAATGTTGTACTATAAGAATATAAATTCTTTAGGTGTTTATTTTGTCGCAATTAGGGAAATCATCTACAAATGAGAGAAGAGCTTGAGCGAAAAAGTACACTACTGAATTCATAGTAGTGTACTTTTTCGCTCAAGCCTTTCTCGCAGTTCTTAGGAATGCCGAACCAATTAGTCTTACAATGTGCGATAATGTTCAATATATCTATGTAACTATTAGTGCTAATCTCAACTTTCGACCCCAGAGATTAACGGTTTAGTTATTTAAGAAAAAAATCAATTATCTCGTTCCAAAACTGATAGACTTCAGCTAAAAATTTAGATTTTAGCATCTACGTTTGAGAGAAAACCTACAGATGCGAGTTTTGCCTTCGTCTTAGGCTTTAAGGAAGAGTTAATAATTATATTTGATTAGGTCGTCTGCTCTGTTGCACTGCCTTTAGAGATCGGGGGAAAAGGGTCAACCTTTTTAACCTTTGATTTGTAATTTTATAACATTCTTTGAAATATGAAATCAGAAAAACAACTTGATTTAGTAATATTATTTGTATAAACATTCTTAGGTATTTTAAGAATTTGGGTCATTGTTGAGGTTGTTGTCAAACCTGACGATATTGTATATATAAGCGAATTGCTCAGCCAATTGCTGAGTATTTTAATAACAGAAGGCTGATGAAATGATAGCCAAAATCTAAACATTTAACAACTCTTTCCTTTGATTACGTTTCATATTCAGCACAGGTCTTTCTTTATTTTAAAAAATCTTAATTAAATCCATATTAATCGCAGGAAAGCGTCTTCTATATTCGCTCACTTAAAGTTTATATAAAAAATAATTTTAAACTAAGTATTTAATCATTTTTAAAATTGTTAGAGCTTCAATTGAAACAGAAGTGTAATTATAAATAGTTTATATGTATGAGTAAGTAGATCGCAAGTTTGAAATGAATTTAAATTCTGTTTGTTACATTTAACCAAATAAATTTTTTTTTTAATGCCCCAATGTGTGCCAGCTGAATGAATATAAAGATACAAATATATTTATAGAAATACGTTTCACAAAAGGAATGTCGTTGTCTGTCATTCTCTTATATCCTTGGGGGTTATGTCTGCATGACGCGCAGTCAGTGGTGGTTTTCTGCGTTCAATGGATATAAATAAATAAACTTGACCTCTGCTACTGATTGAAGAAAACTGCAAGAGGGAGTTAGGAATCAAGTAGGATAAAGGCTTAAAAGGCAGAATTGAAAAATTAGCGCGTTCTCTCTTTTTAGAATTAAATTCTAATAGCATCGGTTTTTAAACCCATCTTAAAAATTATCCTGATTATTTTTCATGTGTGTTCACAAATTCCTAAAAAACAGTTTCTTTGAGAAATATTCTTAATATGAATAATGCAAATATTAAGAATAAAATGAATGCCGAAAACCAAGTTGACGGACTTGCAAAAGCTTGCAATTTCTTTTGAGAAAATATATTTTTGCAAAACTTTAGAATAGTTGGGAGAAAAACTGCACAAGCACAATGAACCCATTTTTTCACATAACTGCAAAGTTCATTAATATTGAAAGAAAGAGCCACAAAATATGTTAAGTTTTGGTGAAAGTTTTAATTTGTTTTCTGTTTAATTTTGATGATTTTTTTTACGCGGGTTGAATTTAAAAAAAAAATAGTTATGACGAGATTGCTGAAAAATTATGTTACTTTTATTTTTGATTCGATTATTTTTAACTTCAATTAAACAAATGTAGTCGTAGCTGATCTTGAAAAATGTATTTTGTTTATTGTTGTAATAATGACAAGCAAGCACTTAACATGTATGCATATATTATACGAGTATGCATAAATAATCATCCGGATTGCACTTGGGGACAAGTATTACCGTCGCAGAACGAACGCGCGCGCTTTTACACAAAAGGAGCTCCACAGATATTCAGAGTCAGGAGGTTTACTTTTGGCTCAACTGGCTCGGCCGGCAAAACGCGGGTAACTAAGTCACGATAATAGCCATGTCGGTCCTTTAAATGTGTCGCAACATCGCCGTGCCTGGAAAATGGCGCCAATGTTAAAGCTTTTTAAGCAAAATGGCGCACGCGCTCCTTTTACTGTTGTATTGTTTTTTTTTTTTTTTTGAGCAGGAGAGAAGTTGTCCAAAATTCATTCATAAAAGCAACAGCTGATTTCAAATGTAAACAAATGGTAGTTTTTGGTTAATCCTCTGACTAGTGCTTACCCACAGTATGAAATGAGTTTATTAGACTTCAGAGTCGATATTAATTGTGCAAATTAGTACGTGCAGTACTGCATTCATTATTAACCTTATTTTTATTGCTGCTGTTTATGGTAAACAAAAGCGGACTGGAAGGCACACATTTGCCGGTCAAAGCTTTTTCCTTGCGTCGCGGCGAAGCTGCTGTCAGTCGATGTCAAGCTCTTCCAGAGCTGAGTAATCAAAATGCAAGCAGACGCAACAACGACATCAACGACAGCGACCGCTCCTAATACTTTAAACGCCTGCGGTTTGTTGTTAGAGGGAACTCACTTAATTCATAGAACTGCACTTTCCTTCACACCCACACAGAATTTTCATTTGCTATCGTCCTTCTTTTATTCCAGAGGATGACAAAGTTGGCACCCTGGATGTATTGCTTAGTAGCGCCTATTGCCGTTCGCAGCGCTATCTATCGAAGCAGCTGGCGCAGCTGCGGCCGGAGCTCACCATGTCTATATTCTCAGGTAAGTACTAAGTCCACAAGACTTTGATGAAGCACCAATCAGTATTTGCAATTTATTGCATTCTTCCCTCCTTCCCGCAGAAATAACGCATCGCTTTCAGAGCGCACGTGAGGATGTGCGCGCACTGTTGTTGCAATGTTTATTACCGTGGTTGCAAAATATGGAGCTGGTGGCCACCAGTGTGCCGCCGGCGACTCCCTTGTCCTACATTATGGTAAGTGTTGCATACTTATGAGCGCTACTTACACACAAAGGGCTTGATGGGCTTGACTTGAATAAAAATTGCATTGCAATGCATTTTATTTGACCACTTTAGTATTTTTTGAAATAAGTTTTTTGTTTAAAAGCTCTTATGTGTTTATGTGTTTCTGTTATTATGTGTTTCTTAAGATGTACAAGTAGAACAACTTTATTTCCGCAAAATGTTCATACATACATGTATTAGTGAACTATGATGTTTCTGTTGTCGAGTCAAAACAAAAACACAAAACAGTTCCATTATGGTTTCACCGAAAAACTAAAACAAAATTAAAATAAAATCAGCTCAAAACAGTTTCTGGTGAAGCTTATAATATAATTGCTTCCATTGAATTAAACATAAGTAAAAATTCACATTTCTGCGAAAAACTAATTTTCAAACATAGGCAACTTTTGATTTAAATTACAAGTAATTAATAAATTGTACAACTTTTAGTGTTTTTGTTGAATTTTAAAATTGCCACTTTAAAATGGTTCAACATTTAAATTAAACCAAGATAGACTGCTACAGTCGAGTAAGCCCTACAGTAGAAATACCCTTTACCCAAACAAACTTCTGCCGAAGCAGAAGCAAAAAGAAGAAGAGTGAACTTGTACTGTAGTACTAGGGAAAAAATAATAATAAAAACTTTTCTTGGAATTGACCGATTTGAAGGAAATTTAAAACAAATGTAGATATGTAATTATATATTCATTACGTATGCAAAGTTTAATTTACGAGTGCACCTAATTCTGTTTTTACATGGTAGATTGGTTTCAGAAAAAGTCGTGTAAAAAAAAAAGATAAAGATAATATGTTATTTTAAATCGTGCTAAATGGAATAATGTCGTGTAACCATATATACAATTTTTCATTTTCAAACCGTGTTAAATCCAAAACCGTGGAAAAATAGAATTAGGTGTATTTAGCTTTTAAATTGTGGACAACATTGACGAAATTCTCTGCTAGGGAAGGCGGTAAAAATCCGAAAACAAAATAAACTCGTATTGCCTAGGGATTAGAAGAGTCTCCATACCAAGTTTAATCGGGATTGGGTCAGCCGTTTCTGAAATTCAGGAGCTCATCCAGACGGATGGACGGACAAGTCTAGATCGGTCGATTTATCTCGTTATGCTGATTATAGAATATATAAAGCTGATTCCTTCTGCCTATTGCACCATTAAGCACAAACCTAATCATATAAAATGTTTATCCTTCGGAAAGATGGTACTGACTAAGCTGAGTGTTAATTCCGTCCCTTAGTTTTTCATTGTAATTATGAGTGAAACTACTTATTTATAGTGTGCCTATTAATAAATGGAAAGCATATCAATTGCAAATGAATATTAAGAGATGAAACTTTAATTGTACAATTTCCACTGAATTTGTTTTGTTGCTTGTGCACGCACCTCAATGCTTATTGCGTTTCATAACAATATTTTCGCAGTATTTTCCGGACTCGGGAACGCGTGGTCGTCGTGACGGCACCGGTTCAACGGAGGCAACTGAAATGATTTTGAATAATCTGTTCTACATTACCGCAAAGGTATGCGCAGAGACAAAGTATCTTCATGCATTTGACTAAATATATAACGTTCCCTCCCACCCTACTGCGCCCATTTATAGTTTTCTGATGCACATCCGCGTGACATTGAGGAGCTTTGGGGCACATTGTGTCAGTTCTGGCCGAACAATTTGAAGGTCATATTACGCTACTTGGTCATTATGAGCGGCATGGCGCCCACCGAACTCCTGCCATACGTAAGTTATGCCCCTAAATAGACGACAAACTATTTCTAAATTTTCTGCTTACCTTTTTTTTAGGCGAAGCGTGTGGCATTGTATTTGGCACGTAGTTGTCCGGATCGATTGCTCGACGAACTTATGGCTGAGCTACAGACCGTGGAGACACTTAATTGCCTGATAGAGCGCACAGAGACGCCGCCTTTCTATCGCCTCACGAGCATGCGAAAGGCTTCCAGCCACAGTGCCGATGGTAAGTCGACAGGTTGTTTCAATGAACTCGCTTTGCAGATTTATGGTTTTCGTTGCCACACAGGTCAAGCGGGTGCTGGCATCAATGATTCACGTCTGCAGGACTTGGCTGTCGAGAAGGGCACCATTCACACAAAGCGGCACAGTGGCGAGGATCCCATTAAGATTGGGTGAGCACAACAAACGAGCAGCATTTATCTAAATGGGAAATAATTAAACGGAAAAACCAATTTGCATTTTAGCACATGTAAATCGGACAGTGGAATACGCGCCTATACACAAGCGGCTATCACGCCCACTTCAGGGGGCGGCCTTGGCAGTCGCCCACCACGTGGGGCCGATAAAATACGCGCCGCCTCAGGGCCCTCCATTCTGCCGCGTCCCGAAGACATTTTAATCAATGATCCGGATCTGCGACAGGAGGAGAATGTGGAGCTGCGCACAACAGAGGCGCCGGCCAACGCACCCCATCCGCTGCCGATGCCCGAATACGGTGGCTACTTTGCGCCTCTCACAGAATTTTTGCCGGACGTGAGCTTGCCCATTAGTGGATTCCATCGGTAAGGAAAATGAAGACCTATTATGAGAGATTAAATATATACTGTACAATAGTATGAGTACTAGAAAGCGTAGAGAAATTCCCATTACTAACAATTATTTTACTTCCTTTCAGTTGCAATGTGGCCGTCATGCTGCTCACAGACATTGTGGTCGATGGCATACCCGGCATTGATTGGACCCTGCACCTGCCTCTAATGCTGCACATTCTATTTCTCGGTCTGGATCACACGCGCATCATTGTGCGCGAACACTGCAAGCAGCTGTGCGTTAATTTGTTGATTGTGCTCGCCGAGCACAACGATCATCTGACTGTGGCGCGCATTTTGCTGAACAGCGAGACCAGCAAATTGGATCTGGGACTTACGGTGCCCGCCTTGCCCGTAATAGACAACAATTTCACGGAGGTGCATCAGGAATTTGATAGCTATCTGTTGCATATCAATCCACAGACAGCCTATCCACTGCATCACAATCTTTCCAGCTCCACAGTGATTGCGGCGCATGCTTACAATCAACAGCATCTCACCCAGCAACAACAGCAGCAGCAACAACAACAAATGATGCCATTGCACGGCCAGAATCTGCAACAGCCACCGCCACAAACTGGGCCAGCACATAGTCCTTCGGGAGCTGCCACGACCGCAGCCATACAAATAAATCCCAACACCTCCGAGAACTCCGAAGTGCCACTGATTATAGCCGACGAGCATGCGCCTCCACAGCCGGGTCCGACAATGCCCATTGCGCATGTCATTAAGAGTCTGTTGAAGTTCCTAGCCCAGGACACTTGCCAGCCATTGTGGAATTACGAGGACATTACGGCCAAGGTCTGGGCAGTGAAGTCGGCCGAGCAGCTTAGCTGCTTCCTTAAGCACATGGTCAAGGTGTTTGCGGATAGTTATCCGCAGGCGCGCATTGCCGAACGTTGGGCACAGACCGCTCTACAGTTGGGGCTTTCCTGCTCGTCCCGGCACTACGCCGGACGTTGTTTGCAAATCTTTCGCGCCCTCAATGTACCCATAAATTCGCGCATGCTTTCGGATATTCTATCGCGGCTAGTGGAGACAGTGGCTGAGCAGGGCGAAGACATGCAGGGCTATGTAACCGAATTGCTGCTTACCCTAGAGGCAGCAGTGGACAGTTTGGATTCCGATTTCCGACCCCTCGACGTGATGAAAGACATCTTTAAGAGCACCCCCAACTTGAATAACAAAGATGGTGGACCCAATTCCATATTGCCGGGCAAGAAGTCACCATCGGGCATGACGCCACAGTCCTCCAACTATTCGATACCCAGCCACGGGCGCAGCACCAGTTACTCGGTGTCATATTGCGGTCGCAAGGCCAACAACTCTCCATGCGACAAGCAAGTGGAGTTACGCAATCGTGCCACCGGCATGGAGCTGGAACGCAGCGTTGTCTCCAAATTTGGCGGTGCTGTTGGGGCCGGCTCTGCGCTGTCGCGTTCGCGCAGCGCCCAGAGCCTGAAAATGCTGGGCGACACGGCCACACAGGATGACAAGATGACCATTTTGGCTCAGTTGTTCTGGCTGTCGGTATCTCTGCTGGAGAGCGATTACGAACATGAATTTATGCTGGCGTTGCGTTTGTTGACTCGCGTTCTTCACCGTCTGCCGCTGGATCGGCCCGATGCACGCGATAAGGTTGAAAAGCTGCAACAGCAGCTCAAATGGACCGCCTACCCAGGTGTCCATGCGTTGTTATTGAAGGTGGGTTGGGATCCAATATAATTTTAGCAGCTTATTAACTTTTTCTACGTCAAGGAAGCTCTCTTGATATGCTACTTGTTCCTCTATTTATAACGAACCTTCCATGCCAATTGCTGTCTAATATCAATCTTCCAAGTTTTTCGAAAATTTTACTTTATTAGAGCTTCACATCGTCTTAATTCTACCTCAAGGAAGCCCTCTTGATATGCTACTTGTTCCTCTATTTATAACGAACCTTCCATGCCAATTGCTGTCTAATATCAATCTTCCAAGTTTTTCGAAAATTTTACTTTATTAGAGCTTTGCATCGTCTTAATTCTTGATATCCTCATTGTTTCTCTATTTATAACGAACCAACCTCTGATATCTGATCTTAATTTCTTCCAAGTTTTGCGAAAACATTACTTTATTTGGGCTTCGAAGCGTCTCAATTTTTTCAAACGTTTGGAAATCAAGTTTAATTTTTGTTTCTTGTAAATTTTTAATCTTTATTTAACATCCGTTCTAGGTTGGACAATTATTAAATTTTATTATAACTTTGATATTTCTTAATCATGCTTCTATCATGATGGTTGATTCGGTTGAGACTGTTGTGCGTCTAATGACCGGCTAGGGTATAAGACAATTTTGTTTGATCTACCCTAAGGTGCAAGATTATTTCTTCTCATCACTATCTGAACTAACTGATAATGCCATCTGAATATCTAAGTAAATTGCAGTTAAGTCTTTCAAAAACGCAAAAAGAAACCTTATCCTTTATCCATAACATTCGAGTTAAGAGGTTGTTCTTCAAATTAGATTATTAGAATTTTTTTTTTTTTTTTTTGCTTATGTAAGATTTTAACAATAATATATTTATATACATTTCTTTTATAGGGCTGTACTCACAGTGCCACCTATGAACCCACCATCACGCTGTTGGCCCAATTCGCACCTCTACTCAGTCTGCCCGTCTGCGATCCCACCCAGAGCTGCGCGTTTCCCATGAACGTCATTGCGCTGCTGCCCTACATGCTGCTCCATTACGAGGATGCCAATGAAATTTGTATACGCAGTGCGGAAAATATTGCACAAGTATCGACTGAACTGGGGGCCAAGCTGGAGAATCTGGGCACGGTAATGACGCTATATAGCCGGAAGACCTTCTGCAAGGAGTCTTTCCAGTGGACCAAGTGTGTGGTGAAGTATTTGCACGACACCTACGCTCATATGGGGCTGCATATGTTGGCCTTTCTAATAGAGGTGCTGGAGAAGGGGCCGCAACAGGTGCAGGTCCCTGTTCTGAATGTAATCCATTGCATGCTGCATTATGTAGACTTGTCGGCTCCGCAGGCGCAGACCATAAATGCCGATCTATTGCGCGCTATTGGCAAATATCTAGATGTGAGTACGTGCAGATAATCAAATAGGACTCTTTTAACTTCCGTTTTCTCTCTCATGTTGTAGACTGTCAACTGGAAGGACTCGCTCAAGATACTGAAGCTGATTGTAACGCGCAGCTCTTCGTTGCAAGTAGTGCCTCCTAGTGATGGCAGCAGCGCCGGCTTATCGTTCTCTTTCTATGGCGCATATCCGGACTCGGATATGTTCTGTAAAAAGGAACTGGCCGGTCGCACCATGGAGTTCACCTTCGATGTATCGCAAACACCGCTCATTGGTCGTCGCATTCTGCTGAAGACAGAGGACCCTGCCTCTGCAGCGCCTACCACTGGCAGTTCATCGCTGAACTCCACACTCACGAATGCCACAACAGTAACGAACGCCACAGTTCTACATGCGATTACGCCGGCCCAACAGGCCAGTGGTCAGCTGCAGCAGCGCAGTCACAGCAATGTGGCCGCCATTGCCGCCTCCGCCGCCCAGCAGCAACAGCCACCACATGGGGGTGGCAACAGCGTTGTGGGCACTCCCAATTCGCCACGTCGCAGCGCCAGCCTCTCCCCGGCGGACACCGTGCCGCTGAGCGGCTGGAAGCGTCCGTGGATGTCTCAGTGCCGTGTTCGCGAGTGTCTCGTCAACCTGTTGACCACCTGTGGTCAGAAAGTCGGTCTCCCCAAATCGCCTTCGGTAAGTTCGCGTCAGTGCTCTGCTGCGCTTGTAAATAGCAAGAAGTGCATGCCATTTGATGACCATTTAGCCATCTCCAATTCTCAATCCTCTTGTAATATGGCCGGGCTCATGCATACAAATTATTTTTATTCTTCTTCTTTTACTTTCATGTAACCAAAAAACAAAAAAAAACCAAAACAATTTCTCAATCCAAACCAAACCAAATCAAAACAAAAACCAAAAACAACCTCAAACAAATCCAAACTACCAAAACTAACACGCCATTCATCATTAACAATCAACTTTTAACCATGTCGTAGGACGATTTCATAAACTCAATTTGCTCAAAGGTAAAGAACACGTTCCTAATTTCCACACTGGAGTGTGGGACAGCTTTTGTGAAAATTATTTCGTTCGCCTTTGTTACTTTTCTGCATGTTTTTGTGTTGTCCTTTGTAGGCGCTTTAATAAATCACATTCAGAACTGGAGACGGGAAGGGTATATGTTAGCGATATTTCCACATTACGCTCACATTTCTAAGAAGAACCAGCTAACTAGGAAATAGGGAACCATCCTAAGCAAGCTTGAAAACTTTCAAAAAGATCTTCTGTGTTGTTTGTAATAGTTTGTAATAAGTTTTTATATTAACTTATTACGGAGAGAAATCAGGAGGCAATCAGGATGATTTCTGTTTTGAAATTTCATTTTTACAAAATGAATCAATTATCGAATATTATTTCAGTTTCATCGGCTTATTTAATGTTATTGAAATGCTAATGATTATCCATACCAAGTTCAACTAATTGTATTTTATATAAAAGACTAATAAATATTAGTGCTAGCAAATTTACGGTCAGACAGACAGATAATCTGGGTTGGGTTTATTTTGTAGGGTTTATTTTGTATGCATGTCGTGAAATGTGCTTTCAAGATATATTTGTTATAGTTAATAACTTTTCAATCATTATAAATTGTTGCTTTTCATTGAAATTTTATCAAGTTTTTATAGATTAAAAACTTTAATAATATCAATTTAAGCTTTGAATAGAGCAAGCAATTTTTATATACTTGTATTTGGATTCTTGAAGAATACTTCATTCAGATCACAACTTCCTTAAAGTATATTTTTTATTTCCATCCTTTAACTAAAGCGCCATATATGTATTTTATATATCTATTTAATATATTTTTGTATTAACACACTCACACATCCGCACCAAAAATTCTATTGTTTTTGCATGCTGCATGTTTTGTTACATACTGTACTTTTACGTTAACTTCTTCAAAAACATATCAGTCGTTGAGCACGTCACTACTAACAGGATCGATTGCGACCAGACAAAGCGTAAGCTTTTACAGATATGTTTTTAATCAGTGTATATATATATAATGCAATCTGTGTATACAAGTATTTCTATTAAACTGAATGTTGAAATGACTCCATTATTGGCCAATACTTCAGCTTATGCGCTTATTATTTTAATAATATCCACAGGTTATCTTCAGTCAATCGTCGGACCTCATGGAACGCCAGTCCTCAGCAGCATCCTCAACGGAGGAGACTTCTGGCCCGCAAGGCGATCTCAGCAGCGGTTCGCGTCGCGATGATGGTCAGCCCGATTTCACTGTCTTTAAAGATTTCGATTTTCTCGAATACGAGGACAGCATTGCCGGCGAGTCGACGGATAATTTCAATTGGGGAGTGCGTCGTCATCAGCTATTCGATGGCGATGAGGAACGTCTGACTTGTGGCAGCGCCATTGGTGGCTCCATCAAGGGCGGCTTCTCATCGGCATTGGAGGACAGTTTTAGCGACAAGACACCCATTTTGAGCAAACGTAAACGCCAAACGGCAGACGATTCATCCGACGAGGAGGCCGAGTCTGAATCTCCCATTGATGAGGATCACAGACAGGCCTTCATGAAGTCGAGCTTTAGTGCTGTGCCGCCAAGTTCGTTGAGTCTGCGTGAGCGACGTCGTCGCAATTCGGTCTCACGTAGTGACACCAGCGGTTCCAGTGCCGGAGACTTGGGCGACATCACGCCCTGCAATGCCTCACCCCATCTGCCTGGCATCATACGATTTGGTGCGGCAATACGCGATGAGGCCGAAGAGAATTGGCGTCGTCAGCTGCAGGCCATGCTGGTGAACCAGCCCTCGGCACACACGTCGGAGCTGCTTTTGCAGTTGTATCGTCTTATCAAGGAGCTCACATTCAAGACCATCAGCATCTCGAAAGAGGCCAAGAAGTTCTTCACAGGCATTGGCTCTCAGCTGGGAAATCGCATATCACTATTCACCGATTTGTTGAGCTCTCGTGCGGATCCGCCGCGCGTCTGGTGCAGCGAGCTTCAGGCCACGACTCCAAAATTGTTCGAAACGCTGCGCTTTAATGTGCTGGAAGTCCAGGAGCACTTGGAAACGTTTTTCGATCGAAAGGATCAGGTCTTAGAGGTAGATAGTAACATGTTCATTTTATCATATAACCTCAAGGAAAACTTTTATTTTGCATTACAGTGCTTGGACGCTGTGAAGACGTCGTGCAAGTTATCGCTGTTTAATGAGTCGGATGTAGCCGCCTCAGGTTTAGAGATGCCCAGCTGCTCCAGCATTGCTTATATGCCCTTCGATCCCGCATCGACTGAGGTGGTGTTGGACTTGGGACGGTCCTTGTATAAGCTCATGTTTCAGCTACTCTTGCTTATCGAATCCAATCATAAAATATCTTCGAATGTTGTGAATCATTTTCGTATTAATGAAGACGTAAGTACACAAGTGTTTTGTTTAGGGAAATGTTTTAAGGAATTGAACAAACATTCGTGATAGTTATACTCTCTCTCTCAGTTAAGCTCACCACAACATACTATATTTTTTTTGTGATTCGCAGATGCATGACATATCTGATCTCTATGCCCTGGTGCGCGATGCTTTGGTGCGTTGTACCAGCGAGGCTGATCTCGATTGCCTGGAGTCGTCGACCTCAACGGAGGGCGAGCACACGCCCACACCCTCGCCCGGCCTGCCCATGACCCAGGAAGAGTTCGAGTCTGCACTGAACGAGCACATTGATCAACAGCGCTGGCCGAGTGCCATTTCCCATGTGCGTCAATATAAGCGCATTACCACTCTGAATGCAGCCGATCAAAACCTGACTATCTTCAGCTATAGTAATTTGGATAGTCGCTTGAAGTTCGATGAGATGTCGATCATATTGAATGCCTATGCTCATAGCATTATGAAGGATCGCACTGGTATGTAATTTTTTAACATTTATTTGAATCAAATCAATGCCATATTTTAAAGCAGAGGCCTTTATTGTATCGAAATCGGATTCGGAACTATTTGAGGTGTATGCTATTCTATCCGAGAATTTGTATCATGTCTCCAGTGCGCTTACCAACATGGAAATCGACATGAAAAGCTATTCGGCCAGTGCAGCCTCAGGGAACTTGCATCGCAGCGAACAGGACATTGTGACAAATCTTTAAATATATACATATGAGAAACATATATAACTAATACTACACTAGACGCGAGGGGCGTACTTTAGTCTCTAAGCACTTTTTATAGCCACTTTAGATAGATGCATGAAGCATTGTAGGCCCTAAAATTCAGATCAAGGCTATTTGTATTATTGTGTACGAACAAATATGTTTTATGAATAATTTAATTACACATTAAATGTTTTATCTTAGTGCACAATTAGTTAATATCTAATTATGTATTTTGAAATTGATGCAAATTTATTGATTATCCAGCTGTGTTTATATTTATTTCGCTTTAACGAAGTACTTTTATTTTCTAAGCCACGACAACTGAAATGTATGGAGAAACTGCTATAAGTACTATATCAAATTTTATATATTGTAAAATAAAATTATAAATCAAATAACTAAATATGTGGGTGTCTGAATAAATCTCTTCGTAGTCGTTTGGGTAATATTTTAAATCATCGCAGAAGTGAAAAACAAATCAAATATATTCATAGGTATAACAAAACATTTATTTACAAATAGTACTTCATAGTATCTCATTCAGGTTCACAACAGACTTACTTAACTAGATACACAATTGGAGCAAAGTATATGTATTTATGTATATAGACAACGTATACAGCTATAATTATTTGGTAAAACTCGTTGTTTAATCAGGGTGTCTACTGATTAGCCAAGGTAAAGGTTTTTCTTTAGTTCTTATTAACACAACAACAAAAATATAATAGTTTTTTTTTTTTTTTTTACTTTTCCCATTAGTTCAGCTTTTTTCAGTTTGTGGAAAATAACATGTTTAACATATTTTTGATCCTTTTAGATATAATCTCTTTAGAGGGTCTCTAGATAAAAAATGAATAAATTGAAGTGAATTTTACAACAGTTTTGTTTGATATCTAAATCTAAATAGCACGATTAAGCCAAATTAGTTGAGCTATCTATGTTTTATTACTTGATTGTAACATTTGTACGTGCCGAAACCGATTCGATCATTTTTGTTTATCTTCTAAACAAAGGTTTAGTTTTACAATTCACAAATAGGAATATGGTTTTTTTAAATAGTAAGACTATATTTTTTAGTAAAAAAGCGAATTACGATATTTTTCTGTTCTCCATTTTTATGCATTCCATATATGTATCGACTGCTTGCTGCAAATTGCAAATTTCAATATTGAAAACGATACGACAGCTTCACAAATTCTTATTTCTTTCCCAGCAATATTCGTATTATCCCTTATTCGACATATAGTATGAAAAAGAATCCCAAAATACCTGGCGGCTTCACTTTTGATTTCCAGTAGACACCGTGTTGGTTTGTAAAACTTAATTGAACAGATTTTTCAGTGCGTTTCGTTGTTTCTTGTTGTACGCAGCCAACAGCTGCTTGGCGCTGTTCAGTTCATTGAGAATCTGTTTGTTATCTGGTAGCAGTTTATAGGCCCGTTTCAAGTCGGTGATGGCATCTTCGTAGTTACGCAAAGCAATTTGAGCTTGTCCGCGTCTATATAGGGCTTTGCTACAGTTTGGATCTAACCGTATAGCTTCAGTGGTATTGTATCTTGCACTAAGGTAGTTGCTCAGTTTTAAGTCGACGGCTGCCAAATTGATGTGGTTAATTACCGAGAAGGCATCCAATTTCCTCAAGTCTGCATCACCAGTGGTTTCTTTGACGTGATCCAACTGCTGCCAGTCGAAATGTTTGCGTAATGCCAAATAGTAGCGATTAGCTTTCTTATATTTGGCACAGGCCTCAAAATATTTTCCCGCTTGAAAGTAATAGTTTCCTGCTTGTCGCAGCCCGTTGAGCAAGGCAACAGCCGAGTCTATCTGTGATAAAAATAAAAGTCTACAGTCTATTCTACAGCTAATAAACAAAAGCGATATTCCACTTTTATTAGCAGGCTTTGTTAGACTTACTGTAGGCCTATCAAATTTGCCCGGCCAATCCTGTGGATAGGGCGGTAGTTTATCTGGCGTCGCATCACAGCAATTAATGCACCAATCGTCGCCTGGCGCCAATTCTCCACAATTTAAAATGACTATATCAGCCGTGGGTTCACCCTCATCGTTGCAGTGCTGTTCCATTTCGGCTACAATTCCCAGACCGCGCAACACTCGACCCACAACGACATTGATGCCATTAAGATTTTCGCAGCTGGCAGCAGTGATGAAAAACTGCGAGTTGTTTGTATTCTCTTTGCCATAATTCACCATACTGACCACACCCTCGTCCTTGTGCTGTGTGGAATTAAAAATTTTACATTCCAATTTACAATTTTAACTGCCACTACGTACCGTCAAGTCAAAGTTCTCATCCTCAAACACGGGTCCATAAATGCTGTCGCCGCTGGTGCCGTCGTTGTTCACCACATCGCCACCTTGCACCACATACACACGCTTTACCTTGTGGAAGCGAGTTCCTTTGTAGTGCAGCGGCTTCCCAAGCTTGCCAGTTCCGCATTCACCGGTACAGAGAGCGCGAAAATTTTCCGCCGTCTTCGGTACCACATCCTTGCGCAGTTCAATTATCATGCGTCCCGCTGTTCCATAATTACATTGATTTAGACATTTTTATGTTGAATTTAGCTTAGATTTTTGCTTACCTGGCTCTTCACCAATGCTAATATCGAAGTAAACAATTGGATTTGTTGCATTTTCGGGCTGAAGCAATTTTGTTGTTGTATCCATTTTGCTTACCATCCACTAACAATCCACATGCACTGAGCTTCTTTGGGATGCTTCACTGGTCAATAAAGACGTTTGCGATTGTCACTCGACACTTTCGTCGGCACAAATGTAGTTATGAGTATTTAATGGTCATTAAATGTTTATAATTAGGTGCAAATTTGACAAGTTTTTGAGCGAATTGTGCGTATTTTGGTTTCGGTCTGCAGTTTTTGAGACAGCAAAGTCCAGCTGTGCGCTCGGAGCTGCCAACTAGCGCGGATTGCGTTTTGTAGCAGCTAGCATTTGAAAGGGGCTGATATACGAAGTATTTGAATTTGAAGATGTTGGTTATGATTTTAATTATGTATTTGACCTAATTTGATTTCAATATTTAGTAAGTCAGTTTATTCTATGTGACATGTTTTCGTATTTATACGCGAATCATGTGTTTTTTTTTTTAAATCTTTATAAGTGTCCCAATAGTGTATCAAGTTATTGCTTCTCTTCTTCTGAAAGTTTTTCGATTTCCATTTCGATTATTTATTTTTTGTAATTCATGTATAGTAATTATATTTTTGTTTTATAAATTTTTATATTTTATATTTTTTTTTTTACCCACATACCCGATTTAATTAGTTATAAATATTTATTTATTTATATATTTAAGTGTAATAATATCAGAAATGAAAATCAAGTTTCATTCATGAAAATGCAATTAGAAGTTTAAAGCATTATGTGAGCTATACTTGTAATAAAGCTAAGTACGACATTAAATGGTATCCATTCAGCTCATACATTTTTTAAAGCACCCACAACAAGCCTTCTCAATTTTCATCAATATTTGCGTACCCAGTAATTGACTAAATATTACGACTTGTCCTCAACAATTTCCTAACCATATAATTTGCAAATAATTGAACAAGTGGCTGCGTGGTATATAAAATGCTTGTTTTAAGAGCAAACAACTAAGTATGCTTTTGAACATGGAGGACATAATGAATAAGGAACTTGAGTGCATCGATGCACTCCCAAAATTGGGCTTAGCTTGTGTGGAATATAGTGCGTATGCCCTTGGTCTGAACATTGCGCCCCGAAAACGCAGCTCCAAGCCGTGCAAGATGTGAGTATAATCGAATTTTCTTTAAGTATATAATAATTATAACTATTATATTGTAATTCTAATGTGATTTTTTTTCTTTCAGAATTTGCTTTGTTGCCTTGATAATGAATCTGTGTATAATTTACAGCCTAATACAATTTATTATGGTGCACTATACAATCTCGTTCGAGGCCTATGTGGAGGTACAGATCATAGTCATATCTCTTTTTTTTTATATGCATTCATTCGAAGTTCCATTTTTTAGGCGGTGCTGCTCACCTTTCAGATTTCAGTTGGCGTTGTGAAAATGTTTTACTTTCGTTGCTATTTAGATGTTTGTGTGAAACTATTACGAGCAACGGAGATGGGCGGAGTGCTAAGGAGCATTGGTATTTTCGATCTTGGTGGGTAATTTTTAGACTTTTAGATTTTTGTGTTGAAGATCATCACGGTTTTATTTTATTTTATTAAAGGCTTACCCCACAAGTTCGATTTACGGGATGCACTGGGCTCTATATTGCGTAAGAGTTGGCAGGAAATTGATAAACAGGTTATGTTTTTCTTCAGAATAGTCTGCATGCCAGTCTTCTATTATATAATGCGTCCATATTTTCAATACATTCATTATTGCTACATTGTTGAGGACAACTGCAATATGACATTGAGTAAGCAACGGCTCTTTTTTATTTTTGCTACCTTACTAATTTATATTATTTTCAGCATATCCTGCTATTGTGCCCTATGTCCGGCTTGGAACGCATGAATATCCTTCATACATATTGCGTTCCTTTCTGCTGCAAACGGGACCTCTTTGGTGTTTCTTTAGTGAGTTTAGAAGCTGCACTACTTCATAATTTTATTTGTAATCGAACAATATTTTTGAATAGCTGTCTTCGGCTTCAATAGTCTATTCGTGGTGCTTACTGGACATGAGGTGGGTCTTTTGCAGGTCCTGCGGCTTCTGGTGCAACATTCAACTTCGGATGCGATAGTACCCAAGAACCTGAGAGTCCCATATCTAAGATGCTGTGTCAGACTATATGCTCGTATTAACAGGTAACTCAGATTTCTAAATTTTAAAATTGTCTTAATTTTAGAAATATTTTCTAATGCTGGGAAATTGTTTTACATATTTTCGAAATTAATTTTCTAACATTAAGTTGTAAGTATTAATTAGGAGCTTTATGGTTTTTATTTGTGGTCCAAGATGTATATGGCTTTATAAACATCGGTTAACATGGGTTAAAGCTCAAATATAAATATTGGGAGTTTTTTAAAAGAATCTTCTGGCGTTATTTCAGTTCACAACACAGCGATACTGCGCTGGAAAAGCTTTCAGAGCGGCGGATCAAAGCAGATTAAAAATCTGTGTAAAAAATTGAAAAAAAAAATTCTGTGATTTAAAACCATACATGTTAATTAATTATTATACATTTATTTTATGTAGTACTTCCACGGCCATTTTTCAAATTTTACGATAATTTAGGACATTCTCTTTCATGCAAATCGAACTCTTTCAGACATCACGCTCAGATCGAATATCTCTTCAAATACATTATACTGGTGCAGTGTATTGTCAGTTGCATGTTGATTTGCATGTTGCTCTATAAAATCAGCACCGTTATTGCAAGTATATATCCAGTCCTACATGATATGAATATATAAATACAAATGTTATAGGACGTCGGTTTTGTGATGTTGGGCATGATTATGGTTTATCTAATCACCATAACCTTGGAGATAAGTTTGTATAATGTGAATGCCCAAAAAGTCGAATCTCAGGTAACCTTTAGACAAATTGATTTTCCATATTCATTCTCTTGACGACTGTTTAGAGCGAGTTACTTTATTTTGATTGGTATAACTGTGGTTGGTATAATGAGTGCCCGGACTTCAAGTTCATGATCAAAATGATGCTTCTGTTTTCGAGACGCAGTTTGGTTTTGAGTGTGGGCGGCTTTACGAATATGTCGCACAAGTTTCTGGTACAGGTGAGTCCTGCCGATAAGACACAAGCTCCTAAATGCCACTCGAGTTTACAGGTTTTTCGAATGAGTGGCAATTTCTTTTTGCTTTTGAGAAACATGAATAACAAGATGGAATAACTACAACGATGGAAAAGATTTATTTTAAGGCAAATTCATATTCATTACGCGACTTACATTCAAAAATATGGTAACTGGCACATTAAACTTAGATGACAAATATATATGTACGTTTATATAGAACAGAATTGTGTGGAACAGTGTTGGGACTCAGAAAAGTAATCGTTATCTGTGTGGAGTTGTAAGCGGCACAATTTTAATATAATACAGTCCATGGCTGGCTTCGAGAATTTAAGGCACAATTGGCAGTTGGCAGCGTTAGAATATAAACGAACTTTACGAATTTATGATTAAGACATTACAATATATATGTGCATATGTATTAGATATATGAACGATGCATTAAAGCTTAACGTTTCTCTTTTTTCTGGTTTTGTGTTTCTCGTATTTCTTCACTAAACAAAATATTTCAACTAGAAAACTAAAATTACATAATTTCATTCAACCGCTCTCGGCTACCTCCGATTTGTTCGTCGTTTGGTCGTACTTAGTTTTAATTGAAGTAGTTGGTAGTATTGGTATGGGTCTGGCACTTTTTAGGGCTCCAAACGGTTGCGCCTGAAGCATCCACCTGGCAGTGCTTCGCTGATGAATTGAATGTTCTTAACCTCGGCATCTAGCTCCTTCATTTCGCTTTCGTATTTTTCGATTAATCTCTTCTGTATGTTGCGCTGTTCTCGGTACTTCTCAATGCGACCCGTCAGATTGACGCGATTGATTTCCCCTTCAACGACTGTCAGACGATTTTCTATAGAGATCCAACAATGTTAATGGATGCCTTTATCAATTAGAGTCTAAACATCTTACCCAATTGATCTAAATCGGCAGTGTTAATGTCCTTCAGGTTCTCCAGTTCATCCTTAATCGCTGTCAAATCGCTGGTTGCCTTCTCGATCATTTTTTGTGCATTTTGTGTGTCCGCCTTAGCCTGTCCAACCTTACGTTTTGCATCGTCGACCAGATTGTCATCTTTGGTGGAGTTTTGTTCCAGTTCACTAACATCAAGCTCGGTCAATTTTACTCGATGATTAAGTTGATCGGCCTCATCGCGTAGTTTGCGGGCAGAGATTTTCGTTTCATTGGCTTTGCGGCGTATGAGTTCGGCATCCTGAAATTTAAAGAAAAACATGTGGGTTCGCCAGTATGGAATGGCTTAGGGAATTGTGTTACCTTCGACGCTGGCTCAGCGTATTTCTCTTGTGCCTCCTGTGCATTCATCTTGGCCTCGTTCGCATTTTGATTCGCACCTTGCAAAGCCTCATCCGCTTCCCTTATTGAATTCTCGGCATTCTCAATTTCCTGCTTAATACTCGGAACAGTTTTCAAAGCCTGTTTAGCCATATCGGAGGACCTTTGCACTTCGGACTGGAAGCCGCCTAATACATTGTATGTATTGGTGGCTTCTTTGAGAGTTTTGTCACCCAATTCGACTGCTTTCATGGCCTTTTCGTGTGCTTCTTTGGCACGGTTGAGGAGTTCCAAGTCGTCCTCTTTTTGTGCTTCGGCACTGGGGCAGTAGGCAGGAAATAGAGCTAGAGCTTATATTTAACTTTGATGGATATGGAATGCTTACCGTTTAAGCAGCGTGTCCGCCAATTCGCGCTCCGCTTCAAAGTCTGCAAGCACTTTCCCATTGCTGTTGGATAGATCATTGATCTGGTTCAGGAGCTCGTCGGCACGCTCGTTGGCCGCTTGTGCATCCTTCTTCAGTTGACTGATGTCTATGTCTGGTTGCGACGTCTTGTTCACATCTCTCAGCAGCGTCAACGCCGAATCATAGACCTCATTAGCCCTGCGCAATGCTTCGTGAGAGCTGTCCTTCACTGTGCTCAACGATTGATTAATTTGATCGAGTTCTAGTCGCACCTCACTTCGTAACTCCACACCGACCTTCTGTTGCAAGTTGATGGCGTTTTTAGCCAGTTCATGGGCCTTTTCTACTGCATCGTTGGCATCTTTGGCGTTTTTCAAGTCGAATTGGGCCTCTGCCTCCAGGCGATCGGCAATGAAGCGTGCCTCGCGTGATATATCCGATATTTGGTTCGATTGTTCTCCAAATTCCACTGATTTATTCTTGGCCTTGTCCAGCGCCAGTGCACCCTCTTCGTTCAGCAGGGCTAGAGCGTTTTGCAAGTCCTTCTTGGCCGCCCCAATTATATCATTCAGAACGGTGTAGTTGCGACGACCCTTCTCGATCTCGTCGTTAGCGTCCGTTTGCAGGGCATCGGCATTCTCTAAATGATCGCGCATACTATTCAAGCGTTGATGCAGGTCATTGATCACTTCCGCATAGGTCTGCCCACCATCGCCAGCCCCGGATTTGGCATCATGAGCCAATATGGCCACCTTCTCCTGTACTGCCTTCAGCTTACCCTCGAACTCATCGTCATTGGTTACAGGAGTGCGCGCAATTTCGTCCAGCGTGGAGCTGAGGTTGGCCAGCTTGGCGCGATGTAAATTGGCCGCATCCTGCACCAGGTTGTAGCAGTCCGGACAGTTAACGCAGCCATGATGGCGATCGTATTTGTTCTCCTTGCAGCGATCGCAGCGTCGACCTTCTACATTGTCATTGCATGGACACTGACCGTTCTGATCGCACTGGAAGCCCTTGGAGCCGCTCTCATCGCATTCGCACGGCTTGCAGCCATCGGTGGAGAAACCGTAGTAGTAGTTGGCGCACTGATCGCAGCGCAGACCCACGACGCCCGGCTTGCAGTGACACTGACCCGTATACTTGTCGCAGGTGGCGTTGTAGCTTCCGATTGGATCACACTGACAGTTCTCGCAGCCATTGCCCGATCGTATATTGAAATAGCCCGGCTGACACTCGCCACAATCCCGTCCGATCACATTTGGCTTGCAGTGACACTGTCCGGTTACCTGATCGCAACGCGAAATTCCCTCCTCATCCTGCTCGGTGCCGGCGGCAAAGCAGCTGCAACGATCGCATTTGCCATGCGGAAGAGCCAAAGGATCGCCAAAGTGTCCGGGTAGGCATTGATCGCAGTGTGCGCCAGCTGTATTGTGTATACACTTCAGGCACTCCCCAGTGGTGCGGTTGCAGTTGCCCACCGCATTGGGATCTACATTGCTGTTGCAGTCACAGGCCCTGCAGATCTCCACCGGTCCCAAAAGGCCGGTGGGATCGCCATAGAAGCCATCCGAACATTGCTCACAGCGCGCGCCGAAATAACCAACAGGGCATTCGGTACAGATGACGGTGTCACCATTGATTTGCATGCACGCTCCATCGTTGGGGCATGGACAACGTTTGCAGTCATGGGCCGTACTCCCTAGCGCGTTTCCATAGAAGCCTCTGGCGCACTGATCGCAATTATCGCCATACGTGTTATGCTGACAGATGCAGCGTCCCGTCTCCGAGTCGCAGATGTCAGCGTGTCCATTACAGTCGCAGGGAATGCACGGCATGAAGGGGCCACCCCTTGCCGGACTGTGGCGGAATCCAGGTGCGCAAGACTCGCAGAATTGACCCAAGTAGCCCTCGGGACAGGTGCACTGTTCGATCCACGTTGCGGGCTGGCCTGCACCGCTGCGATGTGCCGTCTGCAGCTCCACATCGTCCAGGATCGCCTCACCTTGTACGGAATATGTGGCGCGTATCTTGATAGCCGTTAAATTCGAAAGTATGGAAAGGAAACCACGTGCTGACTGGCTCGGCTGCCAATTGTAGTCGCGATGCTCGTGCAGACGGAAAGAGTATTCCTTCTCTCCCTGGTCTGGCATGCCATTATTCTGGGCAAAGATCGGTAGTGAGATTTTGCTGCCAGAGCCCTCTAGGATAACGTCATGCGCACTGGTGCTGGGCCCCACCTGACCCACCAATTGCAGCTTGAACTTCAGATCGCGATTGTAGGAGGCGCGTTGATCGCCAAGGAAACGATCGGGCGCCTGGAAGTACACGAACTCATTGCCCTGAGCGGTGGTACCTATACTGCGACTATACTGATTATACTTGATATCCACATCGCGCTGATTCAGGTCAATAGCAGTCCAACGCTCCTTGTGCTTATTAAAGTTCGAAGTAACTGAGACAATAGAATAGCCGGGCGCTGTTTGACACTCTGAGGTGTGGCCATAACAGAAGCACGGGGTGCAGCCAAATCGATTGCCGAGATCGAGATTGAAGAAGCCCGGTTTGCATCTGAAAATTGATTATATTGAAGGGGAATTTAGTAATCTCTTGTAACGAGAGCTGAGGCTGGAAATTTGATGAAGAATGGGGATTTATATGAATATACTTTTAAATAACTCTTTAGAGTTACAACAAAGCATTATAATCCAAGTGTGAGCTAATTTACCAGAAGTATCTCTGACTCTGACTCTGACTGTATGTTTGGAGAAAGGATGTTAAGTCGGCTTGAATTGAATTGAAGCAGGCAGAAATAATACAGGGAAATTGTTCGAAACGCTGCGCTTTAATGTGCTGGAAGTCCAGGAGCACTTGGAAACGTTTTTCGATCGAAAGGATCAGGTCTTAGAGGTAGATAGTAACATGTTCATTTTATCATATAACCTCAAGGAAAACTTTTATTTTGCATTACAGTGCTTGGACGCTGTGAAGACGTCGTGCAAGTTATCGCTGTTTAATGAGTCGGATGTAGCCGCCTCAGGTTTGGAGATGCCCAGCTGCTCCAGCATTGCTTATATGCCCTTCGATCCCGCATCGACTGAGGTGGTGTTGGACTTGGGACGGTCCTTGTATAAGCTCATGTTTCAGCTACTCTTGCTTATCGAATCCAATCATAAAATATCTTCGAATGTTGTGAATCATTTTCGTATTAATGAAGACGTAAGTACACAAGTGTTTTGTTTAGGGAAATGCTTTAAGGAATTGAACAAACATTCGTGATAGTTATACTCTCTCTCTCAGTTAAGCTCACCACAACATACTATATTTTTTTTGTGATTCGCAGATGCATGACATATCTGATCTCTATGCCCTGGTGCGCGATGCTTTGGTGCGTTGTACCAGCGAGGCTGATCTCGATTGCCTGGAGTCGTCGACCTCAACGGAGGGCGAGCACACGCCCACACCCTCGCCCGGCCTGCCCATGACCCAGGAAGAGTTCGAGTCTGCATTGAACGATCACATTGATCAACAGCGCTGGCCGAGTGCCATTTCCCATGTGCGTCAATATAAGCGCATTACCACTCTGAATGCAGCCGATCAAAACCTGACTATCTTCAGCTACAGTAATTTGGATAGTCGCTTGAAGTTCGATGAGATGTCGATCATATTGAATGCCTATGCTCATAGCATTATGAAGGATCGCACTGGTATGTAATTTTTTAACATTTATTTGAATCAAATCAATGCCATATTTTAAAGCAGAGGCCTTTATTGTATCGAAATCGGATTCGGAACTATTTGAGGTGTATGCTATTCTATCCGAGAATTTGTATCATGTCTCCAGTGCGCTTACCAACATGGAAATCGACATGAAAAGCTACTCGGCCAGTGCAGCCTCAGGGAACTTGCATCGCAGCGAACAGGACATTGTGACAAATCTTTAAATATATACATATGAGAAACATATATAACTAATACTACACTAGACGCGAGGGGCGTACTTTAGTCTCTAAGCACTTTTTATAGCCACTTTAGATAGATGCATGAAGCATTGTAGGCCCTAAAATTCAGATCAAGGCTATTTGTATTATTGTGTACGAACAAATATGTTTTATGAATAATTTAATTACACATTAAATGTTTTATCTTAGTGCACAATTAGTTAATATCTAATTATGTATTTGAAATTGATGCAAATTTATTGATTATCCAGCTGTGTTTATATTTATTTCGCTTTAACGAAGTACTTTTATTTTCTAAGCCACGACAACTGAAATGTATGGAGAAACTGCTATAAGTACTATATCAAATTTTATATATTGTAAAATAAAATTATAAATCAAATAACTAAATATGTGGGTGTCTGAATAAATCTCTTCGTAGTCGTTTGGGTAATATTTTAAATCATCGCAGAAGTGAAAAACAAATCAAATATATTCATAGGTATAACAAAACATTTATTTACAAATAGTACTTCATAGTATCTCATTCAGGTTCACAACAGACTTACTTAACTAGATACACAATTGGAGCAAAGTATATGTATTTATGTATATAGACAACGTATACAGCTATAATTATTTGGTAAAACTCGTTGTTTAATCAGGGTGTCTACTGATTAGCCAAGGTAAAGGTTTTTCTTTAGTTCTTATTAACACAACAACAAAAATATAATAGTTTTTTTTTTTTTTTTACTTTTCCAATTAGTTCAGCTTTTTTCAGTTTGTGGAAAATAACATGTTTAACATATTTTTGATCCTTTTAGATATAATCTCTTTAGAGGGTCTCTAGATAAAAAATGAATAAATTGAAGTGAATTTTACAACAGTTTTGTTTGATATCTAAATCTAAATAGCACGATTAAGCCAAATTAGTTGAGCTATCTATGTTTTATTACTTGATTGTAACATTTGTACGTGCCGAAACCGATTCGATCATTTTTGTTTATCTTCTAAACAAAGGTTTAGTTTTACAATTCACAAATAGGAATATGGTTTTTTTTAAATAGTAAGACTATATTTTTTAGTAAAAAAGCGAATTACGATATTTTTCTGTTCTCCATTTTTATGCATTCCATATATGTATCGACTGCTTGCTGCAAATTGCAAATTTCAATATTGAAAACGATACGACAGCTTCACAAATTCTTATTTCTTTCCCAGCAATATTCGTATTATCCCTTATTCGACATATAGTATGAAAAAGAATCCCAAAATACCTGGCGGCTTCACTTTTGATTTCCAGTAGACACCGTGTTGGTTTGTAAAACTTAATTGAACAGATTTTTCAGTGCGTTTCGTTGTTTCTTGTTGTACGCAGCCAACAGCTGCTTGGCGCTGTTCAGTTCATTGAGAATCTGTTTGTTATCTGGTAGCAGTTTATAGGCCCGTTTCAAGTCGGTGATGGCATCTTCGTAGTTACGCAAAGCAATTTGAGCTTGTCCGCGTCTATATAAGGCTTTGCTACAGTTTGGATCTAACCGTATAGCTTCAGTGGTATTGTATCTTGCACTAAGGTAGTTGCTCAGTTTTAAGTCGACGGCTGCCAAATTGATGTGGTTAATTACCGAGAAGGCATCCAATTTCCTCAAGTCTGCATCACCAGTGGTTTCTTTGATGTGATCCAACTGCTGCCAGTCGAAATGTTTGCGTAATGCCAAATAGTAGCGATTAGCTTTCTTATATTTGGCACAGGCCTCAAAATATTTTCCCGCTTGAAAGTAATAGTTTCCTGCTTGTCGCAGCCCGTTGAGCAAGGCAACAGCCGAGTCTATCTGTGATAAAAATAAAAGTCTACAGTCTATTCTACAGCTAATAAACAAAAGCGATATTCCACTTTTATTAGCAGGCTTTGTTAGACTTACTGTAGGCCTATCAAATTTGCCCGGCCAATCCTGTGGATAGGGCGGTAGTTTATCTGGCGTCGCATCACAGCAATTAATGCACCAATCGTCGCCTGGCGCCAATTCTCCACAATTTAAAATGACTATATCAGCCGTGGGTTCACCCTCATCGTTGCAGTGCTGTTCCATTTCGGCTACAATTCCCAGACCGCGCAACACTCGACCCACAACGACATTGATGCCATTAAGATTTTCGCAGCTGGCAGCAGTGATGAAAAACTGCGAGTTGTTTGTATTCTCTTTGCCATAATTCACCATACTGACCACACCCTCGTCCTTGTGCTGTGTGGAATTAAAAATTTTACATTCCAATTTACAATTTTAACTGCCACTACGTACCGTCAAGTCAAAGTTCTCATCCTCAAACACGGGTCCATAAATGCTGTCGCCGCTGGTGCCGTCGTTGTTCACCACATCGCCACCTTGCACCACATACACACGCTTTACCTTGTGGAAGCGAGTTCCTTTGTAGTGCAGCGGCTTCCCAAGCTTGCCAGTTCCGCATTCACCGGTACAGAGAGCGCGAAAATTTTCCGCCGTCTTCGGTACCACATCCTTGCGCAGTTCAATTATCATGCGTCCCGCTGTTCCATAATTACATTGATTTAGACATTTTTATGTTGAATTTAGCTTAGATTTTTGCTTACCTGGCTCTTCACCAATGCTAATATCGAAGTAAACAATTGGATTTGTTGCATTTTCGGGCTGAAGCAATTTTGTTGTTGTATCCATTTTGCTTACGATCCACTAACAATCCACATGCACTGAGCTTCTTTGGGATGCTTCACTGGTCAATAAAGACGTTTGCGATTGTCACTCGACACTTTCGTCGGCACAAATGTAGTTATGAGTATTTAATGGTCATTAAATGTTTATAATTAGGTGCAAATTTGACAAGTTTTTGAGCGAATTGTGCGTATTTTGGTTTCGGTCTGCAGTTTTTGAGACAGCAAAGTCCAGCTGTGCGCTCGGAGCTGCCAACTAGCGCGGATTGCGTTTTGTAGCAGCTAGCATTTGAAAGGGGCTGATATACGAAGTATTTGAATTTGAAGATGTTGGTTATGATTTTAATTATGTATTTGACCTAATTTGAATTCATTATTTAGTAAGTCAGTTTATTCTATGTGACATGTTTTGGTATTTATACGCGTGTTTTTTTTTTTATCTTTATAAGTGTCCCAATAGTGTTTCAAGTTATTGCTGCTCTTCTGAAAGTTTTTCGATTTCCATTTCGATTATTTATTTTTTGTAATTCATGTATAGTAATTATATTTTTGTTTTATAAATTTTTATATTTTATATTTTTTTTTACCCACATACCCGATTTAATTAGTTATAAATATTTATTTATTTATATATTTAAGTGTAATAATATCAGAAATGAAAATCAAGTTTCATTCATGAAAATGCAATTAGAAGTTTAAAGCATTATGTGAGCTATACTTGTAATAAAACTAAGTACGACATTAAATGGTATCCATTCAGCTCATACATTTTTTAAAGCACCCACAACAAGCCTTCTCAATTTTCATCAATATTTGCGTACCCAGTAATTGACTAAATATTACGACTTGTCCTCAACAATTTCCTAACCATATAATTTGCAAATAATTGAACAAGTGGCTGCGTGGTATATAAAATGCTTGTTTTAAGAGCAAACAACTAAGTATGCTTTTGAACATGGAGGACATAATGAATAAGGAACTTGAGTGCATCGATGCACTCCCAAAATTGGGCTTAGCTTGTATGGAATATAGTGCGTATGCCCTTGGTCTGAACATTGCGCCCCGAAAACGCAGCTCCAAGCCGTGCAAGATGTGAGTATAATCGAATTTTCTTTAAGTATATAATAATTATAACTATTATATTGTAATTCTAATGTGATTTTTTTTCTTTCAGAATTTGCTTTGTTGCCTTGATAATGAATCTGTGTATAATTTACAGCCTAATACAATTTATTATGGTGCACTATACAATCTCGTTCGAGGCCTATGTGGAGGTACAGATCATAGTCATATCTCTTTTTTTTTATATGCATTCATTCGAAGTTCCATTTTTTAGGCGGTGTTGCTCACCTTTCAGATTTCAGTTGGCGTTGTGAAAATGTTTTACTTTCGTTGCTATTTAGATGTTTGTGTGAAAATATTACGAGCAACAGAGATGGGCGAAGTGCTAAGGAGCATTGGTATTTTCGATCTTGGTGGGTAATTTTTAGACTTTTAGATTTTTGTGTTGAAGATCATCACGGTTTTATTTTATTTTATTTTATTAAAGGCTTGCCCCACAAGTTCGATTTACGGGATGCACTGGGCTCTATATTGCGTAAGAGTTGGCAGGAAATTGATAAACAGGTTATGTTTTTCTTCAGAATAGTCTGCATGCCAGTCTTCTATTATATAATGCGTCCATATTTTCAATACATTCATTATTGCTACATTGTTGAGGACAACTGCAATATGACATTGAGTAAGCAACGGCTCTTTTTTATTTTTGCTACCTTACTAATTTATATTATTATCAGCATATCCTGCTATTGTGCCCTATGTCCGGCTTGGAACGCATGAATATCCTTCATACATATTGCGTTCCTTTCTGCTGCAAACGGGACCTCTTTGGTGTTTCTTTAGTGAGTTTAGAAGCTGCACTACTTCATAATTTTATTTGTAATCGAACAATATTTTTGAATAGCTGTCTTCGGCTTCAATAGTCTATTCGTGGTGCTTACAGGACATGAGGTGGGTCTTTTGCAGGTCCTGCGGCTTCTGGTGCAACATTCAACTTCGGATGCGATAGTACCCAAGAACCTGAGAGTCCCATATCTAAGATGCTGTGTCAGACTATATGCTCGTATTAACAGGTAACTCAGATCTCTATATTTTGAAATTGTCTTAATTTTAGAAATATTTTCTAATGCTGGGAAATTGTTTTACATATTTTCGAAATTAATTTTCTAACATTAAGTTGTAAGTATTAATTAGGAGTTTTATGGTTTTTATTTGTGGTCCAAGATTTATATGGCTTTATAAACATCGGTTAACATGGGTTAAAGCTCAAATATAAATATTGGGAGTTTTTTAAAAGAATCTTCTGGCGTTATTTCAGTTCACAACACAGCGATACTGCGCTGGAAAAGCTTTCAGAGCGGCGGATCAAAGCAGATACAAAATCTGTGTAAAAAATTGAAAAAAAAAAATTCTGTGATTTAAAACCATACATATTAATTAATTATTATACATTTATTTTATGTAGTACTTCCACGGCCATTTTTCAAATTTTACGATAATTTAGGACACTCTCTTTCATGCAAATCGAACTCTTTCAGACATCATGCGCAGATCGAATATCTCTTCAAATACATTATACTGGTGCAGTGTATTGTCAGTTGCATGTTGATTTGCATGTTGCTCTATAAAATCAGCACCGTTATTGCAAGTATATATCCAGTCCTACATGATATGAATATATAAATACAAATGTTATAGGACGTCGGTTTTGTGATGTTGGGCATGATTATGGTTTATCTAATCACCATAACCTTGGAGATAAGTTTGTATAATGTGAATGCCCAAAAAGTCGAATCTCAGGTAACCTTTAGACAAATTGATTTTCCATATTCATTCTCTTGACGACTGTTTAGAGCGAGTTACTTTATTTTGATTGGTATAACTGTGGTTGGTATAATGAGTGCCCGGACTTCAAGTTCATGATCAAAATGATGCTTCTGTTTTCGAGACGCAGTTTGGTTTTGAGTGTGGGCGGCTTTACGAATATGTCGCACAAGTTTCTGGTACAGGTGAGTCCTGCCGATAAGACACAAGCTCCTAAATGCCACTCGAGTTTACAGGTTTTTCGAATGAGTGGCAATTTCTTTTTGCTTTTGAGAAACATGAATAACAAGATGGAATAACTACAACGATGGAAAAGATTTAATTTAAGGCAAATTCATATTCATTACGCGACTTACATTCAAAAATATGGTAACTGGCACATTAAACTTAGATGACAAATATATATGTACGTTTATATAGAACAGAATTGTGTGGAACAGTGTTGGGACTCAGAAAAGTAATCGTTATCTGTGTGGAGTTGTAAGCGGCACAATTTTAATATAATACAGTCCATGGCTGGCTTCGAGAATTTAAGGCACAATTGGCAGTTGACAGCGTTAGAATATAAACGAACTTTACGAATTTATGATTAAGACATTACAATATATATGTGCATATGTATTAGATATATGAACGATGCATTAAAGCTTAACGTTTCTCTTTTTTCTGGTTTTGTGTTTCTCGTATTTCTTCACTAAACAAAATATTTCAACTAGAAAACTAAAATTACATAATTTCATTCAACCGCTCTCGGCTACCTCCGATTTGTTCGTCGTTTGGTCGTACTTAGTTTTAATTGAAGTAGTTGGTAGTATTGGTATGGGTCTGGCACTTTTTAGGGCTCCAAACGGTTGCGCCTGAAGCATCCACCTGGCAGTGCTTCGCTGATGAATTGAATGTTCTTAACCTCGGCATCTAGCTCCTTCATTTCGCTTTCGTATTTTTCGATTAATCTCTTCTGTATGTTGCGCTGTTCTCGGTACTTCTCAATGCGACCCGTCAGATTGACGCGATTGATTTCCCCTTCAACGACTGTCAGACGATTTTCTATAGAGATCCAACAATGTTAATGGATGCCTTTATCAATTAGAGTCTAAACATCTTACCCAATTGATCTAAATCGGCAGTGTTAATGTCCTTCAGGTTCTCCAGTTCATCCTTAATCGCTGTCAAATCGCTGGTTGCCTTCTCGATCATTTTTTGTGCATTTTGTGTGTCCGCCTTAGCCTGTCCAACCTTACGTTTTGCATCGTCGACCAGATTGTCATCTTTGGTGGAGTTTTGTTCCAGTTCACTAACATCAAGCTCGGTCAATTTTACTCGATGATTAAGTTGATCGGCCTCATCGCGTAGTTTGCGGGCAGAGATTTTCGTTTCATTGGCTTTGCGGCGTATGAGTTCGGCATCCTGAAATTTAAAGAAAAACATGTGGGTTCGCCAGTATGGAATGGCTTAGGGAATTGTGTTACCTTCGACGCTGGCTCAGCGTATTTCTCTTGTGCCTCCTGTGCATTCATCTTGGCCTCGTTCGCATTTTGATTCGCACCTTGCAAAGCCTCATCCGCTTCCCTTATTGAATTCTCGGCATTCTCAATTTCCTGCTTAATACTCGGAACAGTTTTCAAAGCCTGTTTAGCCATATCGGAGGACCTTTGCACTTCGGACTGGAAGCCGCCTAATACATTGTATGTATTGGTGGCTTCTTTGAGAGTTTTGTCACCCAATTCGACTGCTTTCATGGCCTTTTCGTGTGCTTCTTTGGCACGGTTGAGGAGTTCCAAGTCGTCCTCTTTTTGTGCTTCGGCACTGGGGCAGTAGGCAGGAAATAGAGCTAGAGCTTATATTTAACTTTGATGGATATGGAATGCTTACCGTTTAAGCAGCGTGTCCGCCAATTCGCGCTCCGCTTCAAAGTCTGCAAGCACTTTCCCATTGCTGTTGGATAGATCATTGATCTGGTTCAGGAGCTCGTCGGCACGCTCGTTGGCCGCTTGTGCATCCTTCTTCAGTTGACTGATGTCTATGTCTGGTTGCGACGTCTTGTTCACATCTCTCAGCAGCGTCAACGCCGAATCATAGACCTCATTAGCCCTGCGCAATGCTTCGTGAGAGCTGTCCTTCACTGTGCTCAACGATTGATTAATTTGATCGAGTTCTAGTCGCACCTCACTTCGTAACTCCACACCGACCTTCTGTTGCAAGTTGATGGCGTTTTTAGCCAGTTCATGGGCCTTTTCTACTGCATCGTTGGCATCTTTGGCGTTTTTCAAGTCGAATTGGGCCTCTGCCTCCAGGCGATCGGCAATGAAGCGTGCCTCGCGTGATATATCCGATATTTGGTTCGATTGTTCTCCAAATTCCACTGATTTATTCTTGGCCTTGTCCAGCGCCAGTGCACCCTCTTCGTTCAGCAGGGCTAGAGCGTTTTGCAAGTCCTTCTTGGCCGCCCCAATTATATCATTCAGAACGGTGTAGTTGCGACGACCCTTCTCGATCTCGTCGTTAGCGTCCGTTTGCAGGGCATCGGCATTCTCTAAATGATCGCGCATACTATTCAAGCGTTGATGCAGGTCATTGATCACTTCCGCATAGGTCTGCCCACCATCGCCAGCCCCGGATTTGGCATCATGAGCCAATATGGCCACCTTCTCCTGTACTGCCTTCAGCTTACCCTCGAACTCATCGTCATTGGTTACAGGAGTGCGCGCAATTTCGTCCAGCGTGGAGCTGAGGTTGGCCAGCTTGGCGCGATGTAAATTGGCCGCATCCTGCACCAGGTTGTAGCAGTCCGGACAGTTAACGCAGCCATGATGGCGATCGTATTTGTTCTCCTTGCAGCGATCGCAGCGTCGACCTTCTACATTGTCATTGCATGGACACTGACCGTTCTGATCGCACTGGAAGCCCTTGGAGCCGCTCTCATCGCATTCGCACGGCTTGCAGCCATCGGTGGAGAAACCGTAGTAGTAGTTGGCGCACTGATCGCAGCGCAGACCCACGACGCCCGGCTTGCAGTGACACTGACCCGTATACTTGTCGCAGGTGGCGTTGTAGCTTCCGATTGGATCACACTGACAGTTCTCGCAGCCATTGCCCGATCGTATATTGAAATAGCCCGGCTGACACTCGCCACAATCCCGTCCGATCACATTTGGCTTGCAGTGACACTGTCCGGTTACCTGATCGCAACGCGAAATTCCCTCCTCATCCTGCTCGGTGCCGGCGGCAAAGCAGCTGCAACGATCGCATTTGCCATGCGGAAGAGCCAAAGGATCGCCAAAGTGTCCGGGTAGGCATTGATCGCAGTGTGCGCCAGCTGTATTGTGTATACACTTCAGGCACTCCCCAGTGGTGCGGTTGCAGTTGCCCACCGCATTGGGATCTACATTGCTGTTGCAGTCACAGGCCCTGCAGATCTCCACCGGTCCCAAAAGGCCGGTGGGATCGCCATAGAAGCCATCCGAACATTGCTCACAGCGCGCGCCGAAATAACCAACAGGGCATTCGGTACAGATGACGGTGTCACCATTGATTTGCATGCACGCTCCATCGTTGGGGCATGGACAACGTTTGCAGTCATGGGCCGTACTCCCTAGCGCGTTTCCATAGAAGCCTCTGGCGCACTGATCGCAATTATCGCCATACGTGTTATGCTGACAGATGCAGCGTCCCGTCTCCGAGTCGCAGATGTCAGCGTGTCCATTACAGTCGCAGGGAATGCACGGCATGAAGGGGCCACCCCTTGCCGGACTGTGGCGGAATCCAGGTGCGCAAGACTCGCAGAATTGACCCAAGTAGCCCTCGGGACAGGTGCACTGTTCGATCCACGTTGCGGGCTGGCCTGCACCGCTGCGATGTGCCGTCTGCAGCTCCACATCGTCCAGGATCGCCTCACCTTGTACGGAATATGTGGCGCGTATCTTGATAGCCGTTAAATTCGAAAGTATGGAAAGGAAACCACGTGCTGACTGGCTCGGCTGCCAATTGTAGTCGCGATGCTCGTGCAGACGGAAAGAGTATTCCTTCTCTCCCTGGTCTGGCATGCCATTATTCTGGGCAAAGATCGGTAGTGAGATTTTGCTGCCAGAGCCCTCTAGGATAACGTCATGCGCACTGGTGCTGGGCCCCACCTGACCCACCAATTGCAGCTTGAACTTCAGATCGCGATTGTAGGAGGCGCGTTGATCGCCAAGGAAACGATCGGGCGCCTGGAAGTACACGAACTCATTGCCCTGAGCGGTGGTACCTATACTGCGACTATACTGATTATACTTGATATCCACATCGCGCTGATTCAGGTCAATAGCAGTCCAACGCTCCTTGTGCTTATTAAAGTTCGAAGTAACTGAGACAATAGAATAGCCGGGCGCTGTTTGACACTCTGAGGTGTGGCCATAACAGAAGCACGGGGTGCAGCCAAATCGATTGCCGAGATCGAGATTGAAGAAGCCCGGTTTGCATCTGAAAATTGATTATATTGAAGGGGAATTTAGTAATCTCTTGTAACGAGAGCTGAGGCTGGAAATTTGATGAAGAATGGGGATTTATATGAATATACTTTTAAATAACTCTTTAGAGTTACAACAAAGCATTATAATCCAAGTGTGAGCTAATTTACCAGAAGTATCTCTGACTCTGACTCTGACTGTATGTTTGGAGAAAGGATGTTAAGTCGGCTTGAATTGAATTGAAGCAGGCAGAAATAATACAGGGAAATGGTTAATTTATAGTACATTTGATGGGTGAGGTTAGGACAAAAATGTGTTACTCACTCATTGCATCGACGTCCTTCTACGTTCTCCTTGCAATAGCAAATGCCAGTGTGTGGATCACAGGCCGGAGTATTTCCTTGGGAGCCACGGCTATCGCAGCCACAAGCTTGGCAGCCATGTGAACCAAACTGATAGTAGTTGTTGTCACAACGATCGCACTTGTCGCCCGTTACGCCAGGCTTGCACTGACACTTGCCTTGGCTGTTACATTGCAGCGAACGGGAGCCGACCGGATCGCAGGCACAATTGATACAGTAACCATCTTCCCGCATATAGAAGTTATCCTTGCAGTGCTCACAGTTGGCGCCATCGCGATTATCGCGACAATCGAGACAATGACCTCCATGGCCAGTCAGATTGAATAGATGGGCGTCGAAGAAGCATTTGTCCGCAAAGCCATTACAGTTGCAGGCTGCAGAGAATAGGAGCAATGGGAGCTTGGTTTAGTTCCTTTCGGGGGCAACGTTGGGGGTAAGAGCCTTACAATTAATTAGATACCAATGGGCTGAACCACTTGAACTCAGACTTATGCGATTCGTTTTCAAGGCGTAATCATAGGACCAGCCATAGGCTCTTATGACTGCCAAAATGCAGCAGAAGTGCAACCAGAGTAGCGACATGACTGAGAGCTCGACAGCAACTGGCATTTCTGGTTGATTACTGCTCTGCGGAATTAAGCTGTGGAAGCCGCTGTCTAACGGCAATGCCGTTTGTCCTTATATGGTCTAACGCACTAGTGTTGTTCGGTTGACTAATAGAATAACTAGTTTGGTATTTAAGCCATCAGCTGGCAGTTACTATTTGAAATGACATTTTATTTTAGGCAAGAATGTATAGAAAATAATCTTAAGCCCAACTCTTATCCCAAAAAAAAAATGTATCTTAGATGAAGGAGCTTTTCAAACATGTCTATAATACTTGCAGGTATGTTTTGTGATTTAGTTGTTCGTCTCAAGGGTTTTCCCCTCACCTACCTTTGCACTCGTTGACTTCCGTCGATGTGGCCCTCTTCCATTTCACATCATTGTAGAGCGGTAGACAGCGATCGCAGTCCGGCCCATCTGTATTATGGCGACATTCGCAGACCAAGGTCCGCTCCCCATGCATTCCCGTGCTGGCCACACATTTGCTGGCATGGCCATTGCACTTGCAGCGCGCACCCACCGCTATATCACTAATAGCATAGAAATATGATCGAAGCACCTGCGAATCCCCGAACAGTTCGTCGCCGAACGTGTTCAATCGATCGAGCGTGATGCGTATATCCGTGGCCGTCACCCAATCCTGCAGCTCCAAGCTGCGCTCAAAATTAATGCCACTGGGTCGACCCTCCAGGGTGGAGAAGGCGATCTCACCATCGCGTAACGGCGAAATATCGCTGTACTCGCTTGTACAGAGCGCATGAGCCTCGCTCTCACCTTTCCGAATGGAGCGGAAGTCGGGCATGGCGTAAGTGTCTCGACAGGTGGCGCTGTAGTACTGATAGGGTATCCAGGCACCGTTCTCGGATGTACGCTTATAAATGGTGAACGAGTCCGGACGCGGCGAACGGAAGAGAATGCGTACATAGGTGATGTCATAGGACTTGCCTGTGTTATAGAAGTAATCCGATAATATTGGGCCCCGAAACGTTAAAGTAGTCGTACAACTTACGTAAGTGCAGAGTCAAATTAACGTGGTTTGGATTTTGTATGCCCTCGAACATAGTTTCCGACTGCCACCACGTCGGATGTTGTGGATCGTGCAAGTCTGTCAGATATGAGGGATGATGGTCATCGCGTCTATATAAGGAGAATGGTCGAAAGTATATTAAGGTGTTTTATAGGATTATCTGCTTTTTCGGTTTACCTGCAGAATTCGCAATTCTTGTGATTGCGATTCATCGTCTGTACACAGAATTGATTGTCGCCCTGCTCGCCACAAGTATTCGTTGACTCGATTTGTATTTGATAGGCGGCATTAATGAATTCGGGCAAACATTTCTGTCAAAAGATGGCGCTTTTATTTAATGTCTTCAATATAATATATACTTCAATTAAACAAAGTCTCATCAGATTAGTTTAGCACTAATTTAGCCAATCTATAATAGACTAATACTGTGGTCAGACAGGAAAACAATGTGCGTGCCAAGAAACCTACAAGATATAAGTATTCCTTAACTGGTTTCTTTGAAAAACTGAACGAATTTGTGTTCAAACTTTTGCTTGTCTAAACATAGCTTAAGAAAGATATTTTTATTTTTTAGCTAAGCACTAATTTAGCTAACCTATAATAGACTAATACTTTGGTCAGACAGGAAAACAATGTGCGTGCCAAGAAACCTCCAAGATATAAGTATTCCTTAACTGGTTTCTTTGAAAAACTGAACGAATTTGTGCTCAAACTTTTGCTTGTTTAAACGTAGCTTAATTTTGTTTTTATAGTAATTAAGTGAAAACAACTTGTTGTCTCTACGAACTTTGAAGGAGTCTTCTCTTCCAATTCAACTTCCAACGCAATTTATAAACCGATCTTTAATATTAAAGTTTTCAATTAAATAAAATCATATCACTCAATCATCAATTTCAAAGAAACAGTGATCAAAGAGCATAGCAGAAATTTTAGCAAATGTATATTCATATACATATATCTCCATTATTCAGTTTTTCTTTTAATTGACATAATATCATAAGACTAAAGGGCTTCGGTAAATTAAAAATAGTCAGAGGTGAAGGTAAGTTAAGTAAGTTCGTCTCTCTGACTCGGGGTCTAGGTGATCTGTTTAAGATCTTTACATCACTTTAATAAATAACAGCCACAAATACATTATTGGATTTTTCTGTTACCATTTAATCAAAATGTTAGTCAAAAAAGTTTGGTAGAAAGTTTGGTTAAATGGTTAAAAGACTAAACAAAAAAAGATTAATAAATAAAAAATAAAAAAAAACTTAAATATTCTAGAATCCAGATCATTCTTTACAAGCTATGAAGTTTAGTTCGATTAATAACAGCTCTCTTCTGCTTTTTGTTCTTTTGTTTTGAAATTTGAAATATTGCAAAAATGTAATAATACATTATTTTCTTGATTTTCCCAACAACTATCCAGCTAACCACTACCCTTTGATACAGTCGTGTGCGAAGCGATGATTCAGACGCTTGAGTCCACACAGACCCAGAGAAGTAATAAGAAACTACTTTTTGGAAGCTGCTGACGAGAACAATTCCACAGCATAGGGGAATGCAAATTAAGACTACAATTTGTCGGCGCACACAATTGTTTATTATTAGAGAATTAGTTTGTATGTCTCCATTTCATTTAACACCCTTATATCTACAATGATATTTTTGACCTGCTTGGACAAGTTTCAATTGAGTTTTATTTATTTGTGTGCCCATAAGAGCTCTATCTTGGTTTGTAGTTCTGCAGCTTACCTGGGGTCTTCCGTAGGGATCGTAGCACTCGAGCGCTGGCATAAATGTGGTCGCACTATGGCCACCGGCCGAATTGATGGGCGGGCGAGGTCCTGCGCCCAGTGTCGTGGCCAGACAGCTGAAGAGGAGCGCGATATTGAGGAGCGGGCGCGATTTGGAGGAGTTAAAACTCCACCGAGTGCGCTTCATTTTGGCGATTTATAGAGTCGATTTGTATGGAAACACTTAGTTGTGTGATATTTTTATTGGATAGGTGGTTCTTGGCTTTTTATTTTGTCACTGCCAGCAGTTTAGGGCATAATCGCCATTGAGTTCAAAGGAGCAAATCTTGCTGCCTGAGTGGCTTCACTCGCTGGAAAATTGGGGGAAATTTCATTTAGTTTTTCAACACATCTGTTGCACACATTGCCGCACAAAGAAAATGGATGTATATCTGTGCTGTGTACCACAGAAAAATTCAACATATTCCCGCATTTTTAATTAGTTCACAGCAAAGATGTTCATTTAAATAAACTCTGCTGTCCAGCCCGGGCAGTCAGTGAGTCTGTCAGTGGGTCTGTCAATGAGTCGAACGCTGGCTGCGCTTCATTAAAAATCCAATTGCCGGTTGTATACATATTCGTACACTGATAAAAAAAAAGCACGGAAATTTCAATATTTACGCGTAGATTTCACTATGTTTACCATCGATTTTGCACCATCGTGTGTTTTAGTAAATATGAAGTGGACACAGTTAAATTTTAAAATTAATATTAAAATATTGAATTTAAAGTGTGTCGATATTAAATCACAAGTGATGATGTCGAGACGTGTGTTTTTCTCACGCCAAAGGTTCAATTTAAAGTGTGTCGATATTAAATCACAAGTGATGAAATCACAAGTGATGATGTCGAGACGTGTGTTTTTCTCACGCCAAAGGTTCAATTTAAAGTGTGTCGATATTAAATTATTATTATTATTTTATGAATTAATTTTCTTTATGTTTTTTATGCCTTTTAGTACGGATATAAATTAGAACAATATTAATATTAAGAAAGTGAGGAGCAGCTGATTGAATAACACTTACTTGACACATACCTATCGATTATATCTTTATTTAAATTTAATAAATTTCTAGTATATTTAAATCGGATACAAAAAACTTCAAATTAAAGTTGAGAAAAATATTCTAATTTCCTACGGAATATAGTAAATGTAACTATTTGTTTTTTGAAGTGTGTGCATATTAATATTTAATATGGTTCAACAGTAAATTGAATATGACACACTTTAATAACGAAGTTTTATACTTTGTTTTGTATATAATTCATATTAAAATCACTAATTGAATATGTTTTTAGTAAAATTTACGATTTTTATATTTGATTTGAATATGAAATAGGTGAACATTAAATTTAATATGAAATCATTAATCTGTACCATGCAACTTTTTTATCAGTGTATGTAGGGCAGTCGCTGATTCAGTTTTAGCCGCACGTACGTAAACAATACGGAACAAAAACAAAACAACAAAACGAACCGAAACAGCATATGAACATTTCAAATAGCAACAAGCCATAAGTTAAACATAAATAAATACACAATGCTGTCCGCTGGAAATTAACTTAAGGAACAAGCCGCTTCCCCCCCAAAAAAAAATTATGCGACCATTTTCCCCCATTATTGGTACGATTTCGAGAATATGGCAGTACTACTACGCTATGCGTATGTGTAACTCGAAATTATTCCGACTGATGATTTCATCGACTCCACAAATATCGCGCGCACAACACACACACTCTCTTGCCATATCTGTGTCTACACAGATATATAGAATACGCCCAATAGCAATACATAGTGCAAAATAAGAAAAATAAGAAAAAAAAAATGTGTTCAGGCTTCTTAAAAGGTTGAAAAGATATTCGGAATGCATGTTACAACAGTGCTGAGATGCATTTATGTCTGCCACAAGGTTATTTCAATTTAGTCGCCTCGGCTCGGCTTTGTTTGTGCTAATATTTAACTTTATTTTTAGTGAATTCAGTTAGGCTGCCGCAGCTAATTAGCAAAGGCCATAAGCTGAGTACTGAGCGCACTTAAAGAAGATGATATCACTGGGCAACTATTTGTAAAGCAGACGAGGCATCAGATCACTCAGAATGGGAGAGCTACGGCTTTACTTAAAGCTTGAATCTGAAGTAATATTTTCAGCCTTATCGACAAAATAGAGACTCACAACATACGAATACTACTGAAGAAAACAAATCATTGTTGATAAGTCTAAGCAGTCGAGAGTGTAAAGTACTAGACGCAAATACCGGAAGCTTTATAACATAATCACTCTTTCCATGAATGTCAACACAATTAGAAACTGATTTAAATTGGATTAAAGACTTTTTAAAGACTGGTAGGTGTACAAACATAGGAATGAATTTTTTTTAAATACCTATAGCCACTTAAAAAATGAATATGTTTAAAAAGATTTAGTCGGCGAGCAGGTTTGTCTTTTATTTAATAATTCCTTCTTGGGAAACTTTATGTTTTTGTCCTGAAGATATTAAAGGAAAGCTAATAAGTTTAGGTATAAAAGAGGTATAAACAAATAGATTAATATTTATATTTAACTTTATTATTATTTATTTTTGGAAATCAATTCGTAACTGAATTTGTCTGACTTTTTCTAATTTAAAAAAAAACATATAAAAAATCTAATAATTTTATTGTACTCTTTGTGAAAGAGAAAAGAGGTATAAAGAAAATATGTTCATATTTACAATATTGCTAAAAATTCAGGTAGGTTGCTGTTTTGGAAATCAATTCGTAACTGAATTTGTCTGATTTTTATTCTAATTTCAGCTGTATGGCTAATTAATTTTTAGAATTCTTAAATACTTGCATACTTATTATTTTCGTTTGTTTATTTAGTTTTTTAAAAACTAATTTTGAATTTCCAATGAATGATTTTTGTAAGTTTTTAGAAAAAAAAAAGAAATAAAATTATGGAAAGTAAATCGTTTTTAGAACACAAGTTTACTCTAAGTATGATTGGGGATTAGGCTTTTGTAGAAATTTTCAAATCTTGTCTAAAATTTATTTTGTTGAAACAATACTGCTTTTTTCAGGCGTTATTTGTAATCTTAATTATTGCTAAAGTTTTGATATAAACATTAAAATGTGTGTGTACAATGTAAATTGTTAAATATTTTTAGTTTATGCTTTCATTCTTTGTAATTATTGTATACCCTAATGGCGCTCCACAAGCTACGGAGTCGCACAAACGAGGCTATCGGTGCAACATTTTGTTTGTTTTAATTAATTTTTTTTGTTGTGTGTCTGTAAATATTTGCTCCACTTCTAATAGATTTCCATTTTAAACTTTCGCTTTCCCTTCTTCAATGCATGATTTCGGGACAAACTATCATCGAGCGCAATCGCTTCACATTCTTTGGATGGTTTTCAATTGTGATTTTGAATTTCATCTTATCAGCCGGCTCATATTTTTAGAAAACAAAATACTGTTTCGGTTTGAATAAAGCACAAAAATATAATTATTTTTTGTGCTGTCGCCGGGGCAGCATTTTATTAATGAGAAGCCTCAGATTTCAAGCGACAGTGGCTGTTGTGCGAAGAAACCCTTGCATTGAGTTCAGCTGAGGCCAAGGCACGAACACACACATACTTACTATATATATAGTATATAGTTGGTATTATGTTGTCTGAAATACAAACAACAACAACAACAACATGGTTTTATAAAGCGATACACTCACACACACACACACATACACAAATACACAGATACACATATGCTTATATAGAACAAGCGAACATCCGCTCCATTCAGATTTCAATTGTTGAATCTTGAGGCGGAGGCAGATGGAACGAACCGCTTCGACTTTAGCTGCTGTAGTCGGACAAGCGATACGCGACATACAAGTATGAACACGAGTTCCTTTAGCGATAAGAATTTGGGGCTACGAACTAGCGGGTAGTGCGAGATATGGCCATTGAATACGGTCGCCGTCGTGTCGAAATTCAATATTACATTCTTCAATATAACGATTTGTGCAGCATTCAAGTTGAAATTGTGTGGAAAACAACGTTTTTGTTTGCACCTTTTCGTTTGTATCTTTATCGCAGCGTTTGTTTTTATCCACAGTTTCAACACACGCACGCCCGCACACACACAGACACACAGATACTTAGAGAGCCGCACTCGTACTTGGTAAGCGGTCAAGCAGGTAGAGGAACATGACGAACAAAATTCACTCAAAAACTGCACTCGCAGTCGAGCACTCGCTCAGATACTTTTACGAAACTTCACATTCGTATCTCACAGATGCAGGGCAGCAGAGCAACAAAACACCGTACCGAGCGCCTGATTTTCGTTTATTTATCGGCTATTTTTATTATAGATACTTTTTCAGGGAGTTGCACACATGCTGCATTCACAAGATTTCTTTTCACATCCTATATATGCATTTTCAAAAGTACATATACACACCTATATGGATATGTCTATAATTTTTTTTTTGTTGGTACTTTTCATTAATGGTATGCATGCATGGAAATGGGAAGCACGTTTAATTGCATTTATTCAAAACATTTGCTCAGTCAGCCTCAATTGCATTTCCCTTTTCTGCTGACTCGTGCGGTTACAAGTTGTACTTCATAGCTACATACTCGTGCTTGTAGCTAAAGGTAGCTTTTATTTTTTGCCAAGCATGAACCTCATGCCTCTTTATTTCTTTTTTAAACTTTTAAAATGCTCTGCTTGTTTCTTATTTTTTTGTAATTGTATCACCACACTGAAGGCAAGAACCTTTTGAGTAAACACTTCTTTATGCGCTGTCTGCCAGCAAACACACAGACACACACACACACACACACACACTAGCAGAGATACTTTTTTATCTTGTGGGTTTCTTTCGATAGTTGGTGTTGTTGTTGTTGTTGCGGCTTGTCTCACTGTTGCGCCCACCGAACTTCATTTACTTAGCACAAACAAGACAGCGAACAGCCAAGCACAGCATAGAGCGACGACAGCCGAAATAAGTATGAAAAAAGTATCGACCAAATCCATAGAAAACTCCTCCACTCGACGACACTCGCACTTACTCCGCACAGAACACCACAGGCAACCGCTAACGAGGACGTCCAATGCTCAACTGACTTCAAGAATGCGACGTGACGAGCCAGTGTTCACGACGACTCTCTCAACGAGTGGAACTCGGTTGAGTGCAAACTGTATGATCGTGCTGAGCAGAGTTGTCAGCTCGCCCGATGCCCACAGCTGGCCGATCGCCTAAAAAAGCACATCAGCTATTCGGCCAGGTCTCACCTACAAAAGCGCGCCAAGCCTATTCCGATAAGGAGCCGCAAAGCGAGAGATGCTTATATACGTACATAATGTACAAATACATATGAATATAATAATAATTTATTTAGTTTGTCTTATTCTGCATAATTAAAGCATTGAGTTTCAAACAAAATCTGTTCATTGAAATGAAATACTTTCAATGAGTTGACAAAAATGCAGACAGTCTTGGCCATTGCTATTTAAAAGTAAAGTGTTGGTTTCATTTCTTTCTATGAACTTATTGTACGGACATTTTCTTGGATGCTGCTCTCATAACAATTTTCCGTTTAGAGAGAGAGATTGTGTTCTACTTTTGGATGGATTTGTAGACATTGTAGCTGGCAGGTTATCGCTGGCAAGCATAGTTTGTGCTGATAAGAGTTCATTGTACGACAAAAGGCGCACTTTTAGTTTCATTCAACAATTATTTTTTACTCAGTTTTTTTTTTTTTTTTTTTTTTTTTTTGGAAGCATATGCTGATGCATATTTGTTCTAGCCAAGTAGGCAATCAATTAAACATAATAGATTTATTTTAATTCAATTCAAATACTTCAGAGTAGTCCAAACTAAACAATCGTTGAACGAATTTTGCCATTGACGCAATTGAGATACAATTTAATCGTCTATTTATCACGATCGTCGAAATTTCCATCGAAATTTGATCGTGAAACAATTGTGTGTTTAAATTAATCTAAAATAAGTATACTATGTACAGTGTAAAACTCCCTTAATGAACATCCCCTTTATCAGGACACTCTCTTCGGCGGACACTTTTTCAAAAACATGCGATCGGTATATAAATTATTTAAATATCCCCTTAAGCGGACACTCCCCCTTGGGCGGAATAAAATTGGCGGAGAGAGTTTTCACTGTATTATGAAGGTGCTGCGAAAATTTGTAAAGAAAATCGAATAAAGAGCCCTTGAAATTATAAACAACCAAACACTTTTTTCTTTGAAACAATGGTTTCACAGAGACAAGAGAAGGGCTTCAAATGCACATCAAAATTTAAATTGAAAATTTAAAAAACTTATCATTGCAAACACTACTTAGTTTTGTTTTGATAATTGTTTTGATTTCTTAAAACAGGTTGGCCAAATTTTGAAATTAGTATTTTAAAATAGCCTAATTTTCCTAATATTTATCATAATAAATAAGAAGACTAAAATAATTAATAATAATTAAACAATAAATGAATAGCTAGATCATGATTAGGCTTTATACCTAAATGTACCTTATAGAATTTTTTTTCTTTTAAATAGATATCTTGAGAGAAATGCTTTAAACATTCCCTCTCTTTTTTTTGTTGCACTAAATTCAAATGTTTTGGAAAGCTTTCTATTTGGTGCAGGTCTCGACTAAAGCTTTTTTCCTGCTCGTCGGCTATTATACTGTTATACACTTTAGCAGAACTCGAACCGTAGCTGTGAGAAATGAACAAAACAAGTTCTTTCAGCTAGTTCCGAAATTCCGAATTCCAATTCCAACCAATACTTCACCATTGTCCATCCTTTAGTTTAAAAGCATATTAAGTAAGTGCATAATAGATTTTATTTTTATATCATAAGGAAGTTAGCTAGCTTGTTAATTTTGTTGTCTCCAAATGTAAAGATACAGAGAGTTTTAGCTAAAATGCAAGTTTAAGCAAAATTGCAAATATTGTAGACATTACAAAAAGTGTGTTTTGTATTTAAAGAAGAAGAAGACACGATTAATTTTTGAAGGCACTCAACGGTTTCCAAAATTATTTCTTGTGTTCCTTTCTGTCATCCTCCAGGTCGATTTTGATGACATTGACGACCGGACCCGAAGATTCGGCACGTTCAGGCAATCCATTATGGGTTGACGCTTCCGGCTCGACAATGCACTCTTCACTGCCGGTGGTGCTGATGGTAATTGTGGGAATGTTATCGGACCACACCGAGCTCTGGGAGTCTTGGCGCATTGCCCGTCGCCGCTGCGAAGCACTGCGCTTGGGAAAATTGATGGGACCCGGCAAATCCAGTTCCTCTAAGGCACAATCATCCATAGTAGCCAGCGTGGGTTTGCTGGCAGATGGGGCTGGGATGGGTGCGGCTGGTGCCACAGGAATTGTGGGTGGAGTGGGAACAGCAGTGGGTGGCGTCGGCGGTTTTATGATTGGACGCGTTGAGCGCTTTGCTGTCGCTCCTGAAGACGCACTACTTCCAAAGTGCAGCGGCAGGCTGGGCGTGGGCGACTCTGGCTCTGGCGTGGGTGGCATTTCTAGAGCCGTGGCGCTCCCCTGGCTGGACAATGCTGAAGGTGGTGGTGGCGGGGTATAGGCCAGATATGTGGGTGTTGTCGGCCCCGGCGACTCATCCGAGCCCTGTTCAACGTCATCCTTCTTGATGTTGACGGCCTCCCGCACCAGCGCCAGCAGTGAACCGATTTTCCTACGTCCCTGCCGGGAGAGTGCCGCCAACTTTTCGCCGTTCATTTGTCGCTGATGCTGATGCGCCAGACTGGGCGTGGGCGAGGGAAGGGACTCACTGCCCGTGGTCTCAGTGATCAAGTGATCCGGACTGGTTTCTGTGGGCACATCCGCCCCCTCAGATGCTTTGCTCTTGCCCACGCTTTTGTCGTCGAATTTGAAAACCTCTGCCTCTGGCTTGGTATGCATGTGCTTCGATCGGTGACGTCGAAACTTGAACTTGCCAATGCCAATTGTATCTGGAGAGCTGGGCTTGGTTTGCTGCGGCTGAGGCGATTTGGGGGCTTCATCATCGTTCTGTGGCGCTTTTTTCTCGTCCACTATGTGGAACTCGCTCTTGGGCAAGATTTTCAAAACAGTGTCTTTTGGCTGCTCCTTTTTCTCCTCCTCTTTGGGTGTCTGCGGTGCCTCTGGCGTTGTGGGCTTGGAATCACCCTCTTCGCGTTTGCGGCGCATCAAACTTGCCCGACGTTCGCTAACAATACGAGAATTTGTCTCCGGGTCGTGGTCGTTGTTCTCCTGTTTCGGAACTGCCGCCTCATAACTTGGCGGTCGTTTGTCCTTCTTCTCCTTTGTACTTTGTCGATTGTGTCGCTCCACCTTGAAGCGACTCTTTGGATGCGGCTCCTTCATGGTAAAGTTACCGGCTGTGTCCGGACTCGTGGCGTCCGCCGAGTTTGGTGCTGCATTGGAAGCGTTACGTGCTCGCTCCTGCTTGGCAATCTGCACAATGTCCACAAGCGAGGGTTTGCGAGTGCGTCGGATTTGCTGGAGTCGGGACAAACCGAAACGTTTGTCCTTGGCCTCCTCGTCATGCGGTAACGAGTCCTGGTGCTCAGTGTCCGTGTCATCGTCGTCACGTCGCACAAATGAGTCTTCATCAGATGTGGCGGAACTCTTACGCAAGGCCTTCTTCATGATACGTGAGATGAGCTCTGCGGAGGAGAATAATAATTCCAACATTAATAGGCATGTCCTAAAATATCAAAAGGTTTCTGTACGCACTGGTCTCAAATATACTTATATTCTGGGTCATCCCTCTTTAACATTAAATGGAAATAGAAGGCGAAGGGGGAATTATTTTAACCTCTAATTATTTATAGAATCTGATTCTTAAACTTCACTTGGTTGGATTGGCAAAATTCGAACCAAACGCAATAAATGAAGAGATGAAAAAATTATATAACTGATTTTTAAAGATTGGTCATCAACGATAGAGAAAGCTCTCTAGCTCGATATTATAACATTTTTGTTAAAAACTTTAAATAACTCGATGAGTCCGGAATTTGCGATTTTCCATAGCTCCCGTAATCCTTGGTCATTCAATAAATTTTATTTAAAAAAAAAATGATCAACCAACAATTTCATGTGAGACACTTTGCATGAAACGAAATATGTATGGCAGACGCGTGAGCGAATTTACAGTTATGATTTTTGATTCCTTGCCTTCCCCTTTACATTCGTAAGGGAGCATTCTGCTTGCAGCTGCAATGCAAGGCTTAGTTTTTCTCGACCTGTTGAACGCGTCGCGTCGTTTTTATTTGGAGTTGCCGAAAACTCTGAGAAAGTGTTTAATTAATAGTTTAAATATTATAAAAAGTATGTAAAAGCATATGTACATTTAATCAATTTGTTGATTTATATAAACATGTTGAAAAATAATAAACGATCAACGAAACATTTCATGTGAGAGACTTTGCATGAAACGAAATACGTATGGCAGACGCGTGAGCGAATTTACAGTTATGATTTTTGATTCCTTGCCTTCCCCTTTACATTCGTAAGAGAGCATTCTGCTTGCAGCTGCAATGCAAGGCTTAGTTTTTCTCGACCTGTTGAACGCGTCGCGTCGTTTTTATTTGAAGTTGCCGAAAACTCTGAGAAAGTGTTTATTTAATTATAATAATAATAAACTCTATGAAAATATTTAATAGTTTAAATATTAGAAATATGATGTAAAATCAAATTACATATTAGGTTGTGTGTGAAGTGTTCTTAATATGTGTTTAATAATGCGAAAAAGCCGCGCGATTAATGTGCTGCATACATACATACTTATGTATGTGTGTATGTATGTATGTATGTATGTGTGTATTCGTGATTTCAAATAAATTGCGCAGTGCCTCATTTTTTTGTTTTTATTTTTTTAAGTGTTTTTAAATGTAATTTAAATAATTAAAGGTGTTCAATTTGAAAAAATGTTTAATTAAAGCGATCGCAATAAATCTGTGTGTAAATGTAAGTACGCAGCGATTTTTATATTAATGATTTTTTTTTTTCATGCTGTATGTATGTATGTCGCACTAACAGTGGCCTTTACATTAGCAGACTAACTGTCACCATAACATAACAGATACACAAAAAAAGAAAAAACTTGCCGAATGTGTTGTATAACAGATTGCTAACTTGCCTACATTTGTGTGTTGAGTCTGTTGTATGAAGACATACCAACAAGTTGGAGTTTGGGTGGCCAAGCGCCCCAACTTGTCGCAAAGGACCAAGAGAGCGCAGTTAGATCAATCAGAAAAGCAGAGAGCATACGAATTCTCTTAAAAAATGTAAGGCAATGAAGTAAGCACGAAACACAATTATACTTAATAAATAATTGGCAAGTCGCGACGATTCCTTTTGTGCGGTTTTTGCGCAATTACTAAAATTGCGATTAATATTAATGGTCATAAATGCAACATCTGCCAATGCTCTCTCTGTACTGTACAGATACACAACTATAGACACATATGCATATAAATGTTCGCTTTTTGGACTTTATTATACCCTGTACCCGTAGGGTAGGTTTGCGCAAAGTATGTAACATACAGAAGGAAGCATCTCCGACCCCATAAAGTATATATATTCTTGATCAGCATGACGAGAGAAATCGATCTAGACATGTCCGTCCGTCTGTCCGTCCGTCCGTCTGGATGAACGCGAGGATCTCAAAAACTATAAAAGCTAGAATAACCAAAGTTGGCATCCAGATTCTCCTAGGTCCGAGTAAGGACGAGTTTATTTTATTTTTTGGAATTTTCCCCCCCTTCCCCCGCTACAGAATTTCGTCAATAGCGTCCACATTTCAAATGCTACCTAAACCAAACTGTGCACACATAATTTATATATAATTGTCTACTGTTGTTCAGGGGGCGGGGCAAACCCCACAAGGTGTATATATTCTTGATCAGCATGACAAGACGAGTCGATCTACATATGTATGTCTGTCTGTCTGTCTGTCTGTCTGTCTGTCCATTTATCCATCCGTATGAGCACCTGAATCTCAGAGACTGTAAAAGCTAGACACCAAATTTTCCATGAAGACGTCTTATGTGTGTACGCTGTTTGCTTTATTTTTATTTTATTTTTTTGTTCTCCCCCCACTGCTCCGATAATTTTTCTATTTCTATTTCTTGGAATTTTTAGAAATTGATTGAAATTCGGAAAGTTTTTCTTGTTAGTGATTACAGAGTATTTTAAAGTCGTCACACCCGACTTTAGCTTCTCCACTTGTTTGTAGGTAACGAAGAACAATATTTTGTTGTGGAAATCCAATTATCTAGCAGCTATTGTCATTTATCTAGCGGTATTTTAATCGTGTAGGGAAACTCTTCAAAAATGAAGTCGATAATACGATTGGACAGAATAAGTACTATATTATTCATATTGTATGCATACAGCAACCATTTCATTAGAAAGGTTTGCAAAAATAGTGCTGAGATTTTTCTTATTTGAATTGAATTTTTCGATTTTTTGGGCTGCGAAAGGAGAAAGGCGCCTGCTAGTGAATTTATAAAAAATATCTATGCTCAAAACCGCTTACTGGAGCAATCTGACTGGCTCTTTCCTTTGGGTGCTCTACATAAATTATAGTACACGCAGGCCGGCGACCATACCTGTGCCAGAGCATCGTTGCGAGTGGCAGGATTTTTTCTGAGGTGCTTACGGTTTTTAAAATGGTTAAGAAATTGTCCGATATATATACGTATGAAAAAGGCGATAGAGTATAAGGCTAGCTGGGAAGGGGAACTCACCTTTGCGTGCTTGATTCTTTTGCTCCTCGGCATCAAAATCTGGCTGCTGTGTGGGCGTGACAGGCGACGACGCCTCGAGGACTTTGCGCCAGCGATTTGTCAGAGTGCTGGCCGTCGGTTCCGCCTGCTTGACCTCGGGCACTTTGAATATCTTTTTGCGCTCCTCCTCGCGCTCCTTTTGCAGTTGGGTGCGCAAGTCCTGATTGGCCTCACGCAGCGCACCCGTCAGCGATATGAGATAGTAAATGATTAGTATGAGGAGGAGCAGTAGTGGTATGACGGTGCTCGAGGATGTTAGATAGTCCAGCGGTTCGTGCAATTGTCTGATTTGGCGGGGAGAAGAGGAGAGAGTAAATGAATGGGTTTCTGATATGTTTAAGCATTTTGCAGGGCTCACTTGGGTAAGGCGTTACGCGTGGTGTTGGTTATGAACTCGGCAATACGATTGTATTCCGAGAAGGGTCCACAGTGCCAGGAGGGACGTAGCCAGACTATGGCATATCCAACGGGCAGCACGCAAAGGAATAACATGGTCAGCAGCAATGACAGATAAAAGTTATTCGACTTGGAGGCTCTGCAAGCAATTCATTTTAATAATGGGTCGTAAGCCTCTTGCTTTCTGCACTCACTTGAAGACAACCTCGTGGGGCACATTGCAAGTCAAAACAATCCATGACCTGAAGTACATCATAATCATCAATTTCACCAGATTGATAAGCACCAGGCCCGGTGAAAAGAAAATGCCCATCCACACTTGACCCTGGTTATTAATCAACGTCAGTATATTCTCGGCTATCTTGAAGTCGCCATACTGCCACAAAAACAAAGCGCCACATTAGTCACCGCATTCTGTGTGACAGACAAGAAACCACCCACACACTTACCTGTGGGAATGTCTTCTCCATGTCCCAGCACCAGTTTTGATTGACATACCGCACAAAGAGCGCTCGCAGAAAGTCTATGCACAATGGCGCCAAAATGGACATGAGCTTTGGGTGTTTGCGGGAAAGTAAAGTTAAACAAAATCGTTCTTTCACAAAGGTCTATTCATGCTCATGCTCATGCACATGTTCATGTTCATGTTCAGGTTCATGTCCATGTGTTTATCTTGCCTATGTACACTCAATTTGAAATCTGGAACTTGCTTATAAGTTTACACACGTAACTTGGCCATGTGCATTGTCTTGTAGTTTATGGCTGATTTGCTGCAAACTATTCAGCAAAAAATTTAAGTACGAACATTGTTAACCACACACAATACAAGAGGGAACAATTAGGTGAACTGTGAGTTACCCTTTCCTTTCCAGCCTATTTCGACTTGGCATTATCTATGTCTGCTCAAAATTTATATAAAGAACCTATGCCAGATTTACTAGAGTATATTGTTTTCAAAAATAAAGGGGTGCAATTACCTATTTTTGTCCAATTAATTTATAAATAGTTAATTCAAAATAATAATAATAACATATTTTCGTCAATTTATTTTCTTAGTCTCTTAATTTCTAAAGCATGTGCGATATCTACTATGTTTATACGCAGCTAACAAATCTAAGTTGTATATGTAAGAAAATTATAACTGAATATTAATTGAATTCTATATGCATATAATACTAATTTAATGTTGTAAGCTAATTCTTTCGTAGACTTTCTGGGTCGCAGACTTTTGATTTGTTATACTTAGGATCTATTTTTTTAAAATTATGTAATAAATTTGAAACTACATATGTGTTGATGAAATATCTTATAAAGGCCAAATAAATTGGATTAGAGTTATAACTCCAGATGAGCGGCTTAAAAGCTGAAGCTGAAAACATTCAAACAAGCTATTTCTTTTTTAAATAGAGTTTTACGAAAGAGAATTTTTCTAACTATTTACTTCGATTTTTATCGCTCTAATTTTTTTGGATTAAATGCTGGAATTTATTCAGTCCGCTGTTTAGAAAACATAATCAGCTTTATATAATTTATTGTCCTACAAATCTGTAGTCTATAGACTAGTATATAGAATAAACACAAGCCACTATTTCAAGCTCCTTTCATGTTAAATTAACATACCTATTGTTGGCTTTGATTACAGTGTATAATCAAAATGAAAACCCATACGTTTTGTAGCTAAAGTTTACGCACGAGTTCGTGCCCACCTTACATGTAAAACTGGATTCGTCGGATCCTTTGCTTTACATTTCGGGTTGCCGGCTCCCCAAAATTTTGTTATGCACAACACATAAATGCGCTTAAGTAAGCCTCGGCACTTGTTTAATTTATTTGCTTGGCCGAATCGTTTAATAGAGATTAGAGGCGGTCGGCCAAAGAAAAAAGGCATAATAAATAAATTTGTGCCTTTTTTATTCGGATTATTTTTTATCCAAACTTTTCACACAATTGCTGATAAATGTTGAAGCAAAAATATTTGTAAAAGCGAAAAGTGTGTTGAAATGCCACTAGTTTTGGCAACCTTGAGAAGCGACCATTGTCTGCTGGCGGCCAACTTAAGAAAGCATTTGCCCCACAGAATTAAAGTGCGACTTGCCGGGAGGGAGAGAAAGGGAGAGCGAGAGAGAGAGTGTGTGAGTGTGTGCAATGAGCTGGCCAGTAAGGCAATCAATAAACAAAACTTCGGAATCGAAGCCAAAAGTTCAAAATAATGCTTATGAAAATTTAGCATTTTGTCGATATTTTTCTTTGTGTGCTCACCAAAAAGATATACGAGTATAAATTGTGCCCCAGTTGCCAAAGAGGGTGGCATCTGAGCCCGTCTTGCCTGAGCCACTAACCCAAAAATGTCTTTCCTCCCACAGCCATGTTCAAACAAGCAACCAAACAGCCAATGCTCCAGAGAGAGATTATTATGATAAAATGCTTTTTTGGGTTTTTAAGTCAAGTTGATTTTGGTCTGTTTCGGTTTTGTAGACGATTGGTGCACGGCACAAAGAAGAAGACCAAAAAGTAGACAAAAAAAAAAAAAATAAAATAAAATGATCAGAATTCAGCGTGCCTTGGATAGCGTTTTACTTATCTTTATTTTCTACTCGAGCAATGCTTCACTCAAAGCGGAAAACAAATTTTTCGTAAAATTTTCCGGATAATTTAGCTAAACGGGATTTCACGCACACAAACCCACAGAAGTGGGTGCGGGTGGGGTGTGGGTTTCTAGCCATTGGGAGCACTGGGCTGGCGTTGTCTATGCGGGAATGGCATTTGTTTAGCATATTTTCTGTCTGTTCATGTTGCTGTTGTTGGTGTTGCTGCCGTTCTTGTCTGGCTGGCTTTTCATTTTAAGTTCAATCATATTTTAAGTTAAATAGATTTTTGATATGAAGGCGCGCACGTCGGCTGCTGCTGCTAAACCCTCGAGTGGCACAAGGAATAGGAATAGCTACATTTGACTGTTGCCCCAGAGAGACGGAGAGAGAGAGGAAAACAGCAAAGGAAATTGATAGCTGTTGATGGTGATAAATTTACATTTAAACGCTGGCATTTCCGGAGCGAATGCCTTTCAAAATGTTATGTGTATCAGCTGCCAAAAGCTAACCTTTCACCTTTTACCTTCTCACACAAGTAGGCTCCCCTACTGAAGTGACAACCATGCATCATTTATTGGATATTGCTTTTATCCAAAATTTATTCATTAACCCGTATTGGGAAACCTTTTATTTTTCAAGGATTCACATAAACTAAAAAATGCCTATAAATATTTACTATTGCTGTGTCAAGTTGTTCTATCCAGTGATTCGCCAGGATCTGAAGTTTATTATACTAATCTATTGAAATCTAAGCAAATAAGACTATTGAAAATGTTAACTAAAATAAACTAGACAACGGCGTTGAGATAAAGTAGCCTTTTAGAGTACGAAGCCAGAAAAGCTCAGTCCTCAGGAAGAAGGCATAAGGTGTGTCACCTGGCTTAGAAATAAACAGATGCTTTATGGACTGTAGACTCCATACTCATGAATTAAAGAACATCTTCAGTTGATTAAAACTCGATTTGATATTTAAAACTACTTCAAGGTCTTACTTTTGATCCGAAAGAAGGAATATAGTGTGTCATCTGGCTTAGAAATAAACAGATGCTTTATGGACTGTAGACTCCATACTCATGTATTAAAGAACATCTTCTGTTGATTAAAACTCGATTTGATATTTAAAACTACTTCTTTTGATGTAACAAAATAGCCTGAGGCAATTGAGGTGGAAATCATAACACCTGCTTCAGTATTTAAATCATTGTGGTATAGACGGTTTTCATAAATATACTGACTACCTATAAAATACACCTGGGGTTACATGGACAGTCTTCGATTTTCAATGTAGAAATGCTAAGATGAAATCATATAAAGTTTTTTACTATAAAATAGGCTGAAAAGACCGGATTATAAAAAGAAAATGCTTTCTGTAGATAATGAAAATAGATGGGACTATTACGAGTTAAATAGTGTGAATTTTTTAATACAGTAGAGCTGTATTTCTTAAAAAGTATGTAATTTCGTTGCTAAGGGGTGTTAAGTTTAAGTCATTCTGCCTAATAATATAATCTTTGAACTATGGGATGCTTAACTGACGGATAGTACCAATGTGTACGAGTACAAAATGCATTAAATAATGATAACAATTCAAGCTGAAGTGATTATCTCTATAAAATATTCATGTATTGCTCTTCACATTTAATAAGCAGAACATTCAAAGTTTAAGCTTACCCCATCGAAAACGATGACCTTGGATAGCTCCTGACCAAGTGAGGTTTCCCAGCACATCGTTGTGAGATTCATTTGTATTTGCTTTAATGTTAGCTGCACCTCTTTCAAGCGCCTCTGCTGGCGCTCCAGAGGTGTTAGCATCGCTGTAGCCACATCCTTTCCGCCGCCAGTCAGAGTTGTGTCCAGGCCATTGGGGGTGGTTCCACCGCCAAACAGATCTCCAGCTCCATCTGAACACATGGTAATGACACAATTTTCAAAATTCTGATTGTGCACCTCATCAGCATCATAGTAAATGGTTCGTCCGATTTCGGCAATGTCATCGTAGCCTATGAAGTAGGGAGTGCTGGTCGGCTCAGAGTAATAGTCATCGTATTCAGGACTGTTTGTTGTGCTGCTGCTGCTGCTACTCTCCATAGTGCTGGGCTCTGTGGAGGACCCGGTGGTTTCTTCTGTGACCTCTTCTGTGGTGCTTACTGTGGTGTAGTCTTCGGTTGTCGATGTGGTGCGCCAAACTCTGAACTGGTTAAGCAAGCGATTCCACTCAGTCTCGCTGAGAATTGGCGTTAATGAAACGGGCAATTTCGTAGTCGTCGTGGTTGTGGTGGTAGTAGTGGGACGTGGTCTATAGACGGATCTGTTAGGTGACCTATAAGTAGGTGGACTATAGGGTGTTCTGTAGGTGCTAAGATTTGGCCGATAAGGTGGTCGCGTTGCCGGTCCATAAGTTGGTGGTTGATTTGTGGGCTGGCGATATGTTGGTGGTCGGTACGTTGGAGGTCTGTATGTTGGTGGCCGATATGTTTGGGGTCTATATGGTGGTGGTCTGTAGGGGTGCCTGGCGGTATCAGTGGGCGGCGGGAGTGGTGCTGGTCGGTATGTTGGCCACCTTGGGGGATTAGCTGTCGTCGCTTCGGCACCCAACTCTCTGCCTGTTTCATTCCGATGTCGTCGACTGTACTTACTGGTGCGAATCGAAAATGGTGGAGATTCATCCAAAGCTCGACGCTTACGCGACTGTGGCTCATCCACTTGTGCTAGCACCTTCGCCAAAGGATCATCTGATTCCTTTGCGGTTGTTTTGAGCTCATCTACAACTGTGGGCCCCTCACTATCAGAGTAGTCGTCATAGTTGAAGAAGCTATCGTTGCCAGGTGCTGTGGTTGTTGATCCGTCTGTATCGGACGCGGAAGCTGATGAGTAATCATCGCTCGATATATCGCTGGAGATATAGTCATAGTCCTCATCATCTTGGGTGGTGTAGAAGGACGGTTTCTCTGTGGTTGTGGTTGTCGTCCTTGCTATTTCTGTTGTGGTGGGCGTCGTTGTTGGAGGAGGTGTTGGAGTGGTTGTTGTTGTTGTGGTGGTGGTGCTTGGAATAGGAGTAGTTGTTGTAGTCGCTGTCGTAGTCGTGCTAGTTGTTGTACTCGTTGTTGTGGTCCATGGTGTGGTGGTACTTAAAGTTGTTGGTAGCGTTGTCAAAGGCGTTGTTGTGGTGGCCTCAGTGGTTGTTGTCATTGTCGTTGTGGTTGGCATCGTTGTGCTGGGCAGCATCGTGGTTGTTGTCAGATTGAGTAACATCAATGTGGTCGCTATATTCTTAGTGTTGATCAATATTCGTCGGGGTTTTGAGCATTTTATGGTTATGTTATAGCATTTCAGTCGTTGCAATGTCGATGATAGGAATGTTGCTGCGGTACTGGCGAAGAAAGTACCCTCGGCACTGCTGCCCCAGGGCGCTGTCGACGATTCATCGTCCAGGGTGCTACCACTATAGCTGGAAGTGGTGGTGGTTAGAGCGCGCAATGCCTCAATAGAGCTCAACAGATTGTGCAGCTCGGCGGTATTGGTCTCGTTCTCAAACTTCAGCCTTTGCAGCGGCTTCTCTTTGCTGTTGATCTTGTAGATGAATGAGAACATCAGCGAATACAAGTTCAACATGTTCAGTATCATGATGCTATAGAAATCATTGTGAGATTACTAAATGGATTACTCGAGCCATAAAACACATTTCTTACGCACCGCGCCAGCTGTAGTCGCAACTGTTGCCTGGGATGCCAATTTTCGAATAGGCCCAACGCCTCGAATATCATAGGCAAGAAAAATGAAAGCAACGTCATTGTCACGTTCACGGCATTTCGACTCAGCCAATTGTCGTGCTTGGCCAGGTCTTCAGAGCTGCAAAGAACAAGCTGCCTAAAGCTCAGACTATATATTATCCGTTCTACTTACTGGTTCACCAATAGCACTACAGTGGCGCCTGAGAGGCCGAGCAGACCCATAACCAAAATATTGACCAATATGCGCTGCAAAATGACGCGCCAGCTGCAAAATGGAGCGACAGGCCTTTATGCTTTACAACTTGTAATCCGCAACTTATTACTCACTTGCGATTATCCTTTTTCTTTTCGGCTTCCTCCAGCAGCGCCTCCTTGAAGCCAACCACAACAGAGGCAATGCGATTATGTGCCGTCTCCGCATGGCCTGTCGACAGGGAAATAGTAATAAACGTTTTATTTCCTTGAGCTTTTATTGGTGTGGCTAAGTACAGCCATTAATTATGTATTTTTTTGCTCGCTTCACAATTAATTGAATGCTCTTATATCCGCCTGATTTCAAGTTGTAGCTATCAATATATATTTTTAATTTCCGACTTGGCTTTCAATTATTTCTGATATATCGATTAAGTTTAGACGAGCGGAATAATACTTTTTAATATTAATTTTTATTCCCTGTACCCGAATGGTGAAAGGGTATTGAGTTTTGTGGAAATGTTTGAAACAAAAAGCAGCAGGTGTGGCAGAAAATCAGAATATATGTACAATCAGTATGACAGGAGTATGAACGAAAGGATTTGAGGAAGTCCAAGAGCTAGAATAACCAAACTTGCATTCTCTTCTCTAAGACAGAGAAAGGACAATTATTGAAATTTTTTACAGAAATCTTAAAATTTAATTTACTAAGTATTCAAGCTGTTTTAGAAATCAATTACAACTCACATTTTGATGGTCCACAAGAGTAGCATTGCCAAATTGTTTGTACTTAATACTTCAATACTGCACAGATATTACAATTTTTATCTTTGTATTAGAATTAAGTGATAAAATAAGACTAAGTAATGTAATTACTACATGAAGTATCCTCATTTAAGAAAAGCCTACAATTTCGTTCTCAAAGCTTCAAATATCTTTATCTTAATTTCTAATTATTTTTGCCTATGGCTTGTTTTGGAATGATTTGAGACTAATTTATTAATTTCTTTCGTATTTATAACTGATTAGGCCAGCCACAGAAACTCCTTTTGAAAATTGATTTCCACGGTAGCGAAAATTCACAAATTAATGAGGTTCCTAAAAACAGTATGAGAACAGATGATAGGTTCCGCCCACAATTTTTGCCACTTTCCGTTAATTACTATAAGATCATATTAATCTGATAGTCTTAACTTCATAACGATTTTGTCTTGAAATGCGATTTTTTGTATTGTTTTAAGTTTTTCTTTATTGTTATAATGAAAATAAGAATTCTCGGCATCAAAGTTATAACTTTACTGCTTTAGAAGTTTTCAATGTATTTTAATAATTCGACTTGTAAATTCGGCAAGTTAATTAAAATTAAACACATTTCTTACTCACCTATCATAAAGTCCCAGCCGGTGAATAGTTTCCAGGAAAAAACGCACTCATCGTCTTTCGATGAAAGTTTCGAATTGCGCGAGTTTTCGGCCATTCTGCGAAGACAGAAAAGTTTCAGTTGCACTTACTTAGCAGTCATTAGTTTGGGGCTAAAGCCCAATTCTTAGAACATAGCTGAGAATAGGCCAATTCATGATGCTATCTTATGCATGCGGAGCACGTGGCGGTAAAAGTCCAAAGGGCCGAATTCATTCGTGGCATCAACAAATTCGCTGCGATTGCGAAAATCAACATTTGCCACACACTTTGTTCAATTACGAAATCAACATAATGCCAACAAACCTATTAAAACGAAACGGCGGGCAGGCAACGGCCGAAGTGCCTGGAGGCATGACAAAAATGGCGTTTGGTCATTTCCGTTTCCGCCCACACTCGATGCGTGCGTGTCTGAGTGCGTGTGGCCCTTAGAACATTAATCATAAGGATAAACTTTATTCGAATATTGACTAAACTTCGACGAGGCCGTGCCTCCTGCCTAGATTTGTTTAATTTAATCAGCCCCCAGCCGCCAATTCCTTCAACTAATTAATTAGTTGCCAGCCTATATTCTCTTCTGAGCATTCGATATTTGTTGATTTATACTCACTTTCTCAGTGTGGCCACAAAGCTGTAGATATAAACGAGCACTGCTGTCAGGAAATAGGCCAAAGGCAGCTTATACCCGGAAGTGCTTATGCCGGAAGTGCTCGAGTAATAGCTGAAAGACAATAGAGTCACAATTAACACATGCCACACATACGAGTATGCCTCCCATTCTCATAAATCTCACCCATAAAACATTGGCGAGTATTTCAGGTAGCCCTCAAACTCCCAGAAGGTGAATAGATTACCAGCCACCTTATATTCCGGATCGGACATGCGCTTGCGTGGATCCGTTTCATCATGCTTCGTCGCAAAGTACTGTGGTTTGTTTCGTTTGCTTAATATATTTAATATACATCCACAATGGTTGCTTCACCTACCTCCGGTCCAATGACAAAGGCTACCAGTGGAATGGCAATCACAATGTTCACCCACATCAGCCAGCGTAAAAATGTAAAGTAGGAAGCAACACCAGAGCCGAAATGCGATTCGATTTCCTTGATGCGCAGCTCCCAGGGTATAAGCACTGTGAGGAAGCTGGCGGTCTCGCGTTTCCAGTGCCGCCAGCGCTGCACAACAATCCAAAAGTGAATGTGATTTCATGAAAAGCAAGAGTATAATATGTATGGACATCAAGTAGAAAGGAGGAATATACTTTATATCGAAGCAGCGTGTGTCTGTCTGATTTTGCCCAAAGCTGAATCAATAACCGATGATTACTCTTACACTTGTGTGATTGCTTTATATTCGCACGCCACAAGTCACAATTGTCAGATTTAAAAGATTGATAAATAATGACATTGATTTTGTAGGAATAAATTTAAAATAAAGCTGTTTCTAGGCTCTAAATATTTCAATTTCAATCTTGAAAGTTTGAAGGTCATTTAAAATCATTCCATCCAAACATTTTAGAGCCCTTTTTTGAATTTTCGACCACATTTATTTGTCAAATGGGGGCCTGGCATAGCTCAATGAGTTAGCAGGAATCCCACAATTTATGTAATCATAAAATTTAATAATTGTTCAACCCAGTAGAGATCTTAAATAAAGAATAAACAAAAGAAAGAAAGAATAAGGAAAGAAAGAAGAACAAAGTTATATATATATATATAACCATATCGTTAACAATCAAATAATTTTATTAATTAGTGAAAAGGAATTAATAACAGTGCAATTAGTTAGGGTTAATTTTTATAAGTGTAATTAGCTAGTTTTTATATTGTAAATAAAAGAGTATTTCCATTTTTGGAGAAATTAATCAAGAGTGGGTTCTTAAAAGCATTAGGTATTTTTCTCTTCTCTTCTGGCTTTGTAGTTGACTTCTATAGAGAATAAAAACATTCTACAAATTACTCTATACATGAACTATATATACATATACATACTATATTATAATCAATCAACCACTAACTAATCACACAAATAACATTAATTGATTTTATCAATCGAATCTACGCTGACAGATATTCGTATTTATGATGTCACCCAAGTTGTTAATGGATTTTAAGTACATTCTCTTCATAAGTGATGAGCTGTAATTGCCAATGATTAAAATTCGCAGACAGCAATAAAGTGATGTTGTGCAGGGGCTACAAAAATTTCAAATGTAGAACACAATATTTTGAATTTCTTCTCATGAAAATAAAAGCATTTTATTTACTGTATAAAAAACGTTAATCGATTTACCATTTATTGAACCTTAGAGTACTCTGATAAACAATTCAGGTTCTGCCTTTTGATGGAAAACTGCCTGGCATAAATTCGAGTTATAATTGATTCGAAATTTCTTTGTATCTGAGGCGATTATTAAAGGATTTTCTGAACAAACAGCAAACTTTCAATGTGGATTACAGTTTAGTACCGAATGCTGCAATTATGGCCGCACAGAAAATAAGTGACGTGGCTCCGACGATACGTGATCCTTTCTACTGCCACTTTAATTGGTTTTAATTTAATTGCCACAATGCTCTTTTTCATATTCTTGTTATTGTTTGCCCTTCGAGCAAGAGCCTGCAGATTGCAGTTTGAAATTTGCATCCTTACTGGCGCATTCGCCCAGTTCGGTAAGGATGTCGAGCACAATTTTGCGCCAACAAACTTTATGAATTATGTTGCTGTTGATTTATTTGCCGCATAGAAGGGCGACAGCCAAGCAGAGTTGCTCATAAATTGTATAAACACAAATATTATTATAGGGTAAACATTCCCACACTGTGCAGCATGCCAATGTGTGACAATCGTCCTTGCAGCCCGGCAACAACAGCAACAACGGCAACGCCATGCAATCATTTCCGGTCAGCAAAGTGTTTGCACAAAACGCTCCTAGTCATACTTACAACCAGTCGCAGACCCAGGCCGAGGCTCAGGCCCATAAGCCACGTCAGTAGTTGCTGTGCTTGGCTGCCGCCACAACTAAGCTCTAAAGCATTTGGCAATGGCATGGAAAATGGGACATCAGGCGTGTGTGAGCGAGCACCGAATAATCCGAAACGCACACATATTGCATGACATACAGTAACATTAAATTGTTTGTTGACACACCATAAAGGATAAATTATTATTAGCATATCATTTTGTGCCTGAAGAGTATATTGACACGCAGAAAGGTTTTGTGAAAGACTTATGGGGGCATAGAAGTATATTCTAGATGATCCGCAGTACGATCGAACTCGAAATGTTCGTTATGCGTGTAATTGTAAAAACATCTTGTTGTTCTGGCCATTAAATTTACTAGATATGTATATTAGAAAAACAAATGTTTCAGTTGTGTTGAATTTTCGATTTGAAATGGAGGTACAACTCTCAATATTCTCTGACTACGTATGAGAGAGTATTAGGGATCAGGGATCCACTTTTTTGTCAGTGTGAATAACTATATGTTACTTGTAGATTGGATCAAATTTTGGCTTATAAGTATTTATCAAAGCAATCTAAAGTTTATAAGTAGGAGTATATGTTGCTTAAAAGTTAATTATATTCAAAATTTGTAAAATATTCAAGTATAAAAATATATACTATTGTGAATATTAACATTAGTTTCTGATATTTTATTGAAACAGTTGTATGTTAAATGAGACTATTTATATTTTATTTAAAATATTTGGCGTATAAATATTTGCGGTTAGAATTTATGGCTTCATTGATTATCAGTTTCTTGCGCACCAACAATAAATTAATTTCTAGTTTTCCTAAATAGATGCACTACTAACTATGCATCGCACAATCTTTAGCACCTCTCTCAACGAAATAGTCTAAACACCTTTCTTTCCAACCATCTTTCAACCTTTACCAAAGACTCCCTTTTTTAAATTAAAATTATTCTTCTATACTAAATTTATTAGTTATTACCTAATTAAAACCTTCGTTTTTCTGATTTTACATAACGATATGTACGCATGGCAATTACAACTCCCCCCAAATTTGTTTATAGGATTTTTAGCTTATAAGGTCCAGTTATGACAAATCTGTAACCTTTCTAATTTGAGAGTGCCCAATGTATTTAAATACATCAGCGGAACTGTAAGAGCTAATTTGTGAGTTTTCTAATATGCTCAATATGATGATATATAGGATGATATATTAATATACTTCACACCTTTTGTGAACAGCTCCTAACTACCACAAAAATCAACATTTGTATTCAAGCTGGATTTGAAAGTTCCTCCTTCACAAAACTGCTCAGTTTAATCTTAAAAAAATATTGTATATATAATCTGTTTGTATTTGTATATAGAATATGTTAAGTATATCAAGCCTGCTTAAAAAAGTAAAAAAAAGATCGAAAGAAATAGGAAATATTAAAGCATCGCTGACGCGGTACAGGAAAATTGTTATCGTGGTTATAAAAAATGATGAAAATAGATGCGAATTGTGCACTGGAAAGTAGCTTGATCAGTGATCCTTTTATTAATCACGATACTTGTGCAGAGTAGTGTGCATATGTGAAGTAACTGCTGCAATTAGGTTGCGCTGTGCAGTTCAGTAACCGCAAAGGAAGCTTCAGTTCGGCTCAGACAGGAGCACTATGCGCTGTTGTTAGGAGGTGTTGAGAGAAATCACTTACCGCTGCCATTAAAATTTTAAACCTCGCCCACAAATCTCTCGTGCTGCGTGACATGGCAAAGCGCTCCTGCAGCGCGCCCTCGTGGCGTGCCACATACGTTTTTGCCTGTCAACACAAAATCCAAAAAACGACAAAAAAAAAATAAGCAAACGTTGTTGTCGAGGAATTTTTTTTTGTTCAGCCATCGTCGTCCGACATCATTAAAAATGCCATTGAAGAAGCGTCACAGCATGGCGGGGGGTGAGAAATAAGAGCGAGGGGGAGGGTGAAAGAGAAAGCAGCATTAAATGAAATCGAAAAGTTTGTGCTGGCAATTTAATGGCCGATGGGCGCTTGTCGTAACATTTTCAATGACTTGTCAAGAGCTACAATAAAAACAGCAACAAAAACAGAAACAGCAACTAATCTTCTTGTTGCTGAAGCGTGAAAATGCCAAGACAATTGAGCCCAGAGCCACAACCACCCCCCACCACCCCTATTGCCACCCAAAGCTTGCTCACCTGCCGCACCAACTTCAGTTTCTTCCGCATGGGCCATGGCTGTAGCTTAACCGACTGTATAACCTCTTTGTGTAGGCGTATATTTTCAAAAATTTGCTCTTGCGTGGACTCCTGATTGGTGCCCTCCTCTGTGGAATATTAAAGACAAATATTACACATGCGCCAAGTTAACCACGTTGGCCACATTGCGCAAATGACGCACGTAGCATGAAAAGAAAATTACAACTAAAGACGTTGATTAGGCACTCGAGACACTCGTGGAGGCCATGCTGGCCTTTTAGTTAGGACAAATCTTTTAACAGTTTTTATAGCCTTGCCTGAACTTGTCGTATAGACACTCGAGCGCCTCCGCTCCACACTATCCAGAACGTGATCCATGGGACTCGATGCACGACGTGAATTGCGACTGCCACGTTTACCACGATGTCCGCGCACACTGGCACGTCTTTGCATTATTGCCGATACGGAAATCGAGTAATCTTCCTCATCGTCCACGTCCTCATCCTTTTCATTTGGCGACTGTGCGCTCTGAAACTGGCTATAGGGGTTGCTCTCGGCGTCGCTACTTTGGTTCTGCGATTGAAAATCTGTGCAGGAGTAGTAGTTGTAGTAGTGGGTGTTAAACAGCAGGCTGTCAAGGATAAGGGAGTGTGTTGTTGTTGTGTGTGCATATGTGAGGAGAAGTGTGCTTTGTGAAAAGCGTACCGTTTAGGTCGTAGGACCTGCTATCCTCTTGAGATGCGGTTCTAGAGTTGGATGAGAAAGATGTTTGGTTTATAACTTACATGAGTATAACGAATTAATATTGTTATAAATGCTTATCATTAACAATAATTGTGTATAAGAGAAATATTTGTATTTAATGGCAGCACGATTCAGTTTAGTTATTATGTTCAAGCTACCCGTAAGTGTAATTTATTTTGCACAAAAGGCTTTATGAGCTAATTGTGCTAGTATTGTATTGCATGCCTTTGTTTTTGTTTGTATGTGACTAGGACTGCGACTTGCGTCGCCTTTGTCTAAAGGACGTAGTATGCCAGTTACTTTTAAATGTAGTAACTTGTAGTTTGTTAATTATTTTTCATTATTAATTTACAATTGTTTAGTACCAGTCCGTTGATTGAAGAATTAAATTATGGCTGGCTTTTTAATATACATACGTTTCTGTCAAAAATACGTTGTCAAAAAATAATACTTTTAGAAAGAATATCTAATCTTTTTTCTTTTTTTTTTTTTTAATATACATACGTTTTTGTCAAAAATACTTGTGAGAAAATAATACTTTTAGAAAGAATGTCTAATCTTTGTCTTTTGCTGTATTTACAGAGTTAATTTTTACAAAAATGCCCCATAAAGCTAAGTATGTTGCTTTATTCTTGTAGGAGTATAAGAATTGTATTTTATTTTATTTTAGTCAACGATGACTTTCCTCTTGATGATAAACTATTAGGATACAAATTAATTTGGTAATACTTCAATTTTTCGAAATGGCCAAATGATATCCCAATATTTTTTCATCTCATTATGTTGTTCATTGAGACATTGTGGTTTGCTAGAAGCAGATTTAAATTTTGTTATGAACATCTGGTCCCATTAGATTCCTACTCATAATTTGGTAGCCCGTTTAAATAGCTCTTAAGTACATGCTGTTGCTTCAATTAAAACTTAAGCCTATCTGCAAAAACATTTATTTCTATAGAAATATACAGCACTACGCAAAAAGCAAATGCTCATTCATTTGATGAAAATCTTCCCGACTATTGGATTAATTTTGGTTCGACTATTTGAATATTTCTAGATACTAGATAGATAGATGTACTCCGGTGCAAAAAACAGGGGATTCTTTAAAAACTCAATTGTAAATCTCTAATCACAACTTGAAGAATTCTGTTTTTAAAATACATTTCATCAGTGGTGTAATATAAATAAATAAATAAATATTTAATGCATTATTGATATTAAACAAGTATTTTGTTTGAAGAATGCAAAAATTAAAAGGCGCACAAAGTACAACAATTTTAATTAGAATAAGCTATACTTTAATAATTTGTCTTTGCTACTCGGCATGTTTTGCACTTACCTTCTGCCTTTTAGTCCTCTATAGTGTTCCCGTTTCACATCGGCAGGACTCTGCATTTGTTTTCCACATTTATGTTGCACATCGAAGTCGCATGGTGGGGCCCAGGTCACGGATAATTGATGTGGCGAGGTTACGCCCGAGTTGTTCTGCGAGTTGTTATCTGTTGTTAGTATTTATTTAATTGTATTTACGCTAATGCCCCTCTTAATAGTGCACTGGCAATTATTTTGCTTATCAGATTTAGGGCACGCACATCATTTATTTGCAGTTCAATAACACATGGGTTTATTTTAGACTAATTATTATTATATTATTATTTAAATGAATATTATGTAAATCACTAAATTATTGCACTATGTTAGTTTTTGAATTGCTTATTAAAGGAGTATCGATGTGGTCGTTAAATTAATCCTCCTCGAATATTCTAAATCCGAAATATTCGTGCGTCCAGTCTAGGCACCGATTTCAGTGCCGTAACGCGTAGGAGCAGCTTTATGCACAGACTGAACGGCTTGCGAACTAGACCAGGCGAACAAAGCGAGCACAGGACATCAAAAGGACAGCGCGACGTTTCAATTTTTATACACACACAAATATATATATGTATGTATATAATATTTACATGTATAGAGAAGAAGAGCGAGCGAGCGCGCAAAGTTAAATTTTTTCTAATAATGAATGAATATGAATGAAGCAAACTAGAGGAGAGATTGTGGCTAGGTTGGGGGCTGGGCCGACAAACCAGTAGCGACTGGCTTAGGCTAACCTCCTTCTAGCCAACTTATCAAAGCCAAAACGTGCCCAAAACCAACACATACACACATCATACATACATATGAACAAATACCAATGAACAGAAATGTAGTAAAAGAGTTTACACACAGACACATGCGGCGGCATTGAGGTAGGAAAAGAGCAAAGGAATCAGTGTGTGCGGAGGGGGGAAGAGGGGGGATTGGCCCACTCTGCCACATTCTCGCCCTGTTGGAACGAAGACGAATGAGCGTAAAAATCGCCAGAGGCATGTGATAACAACAAACAGCCAAGCAGCTCGCCACTGTCCAGGAAAAACCTGCACGCCAGCATGGACTTCGAATGTCCATTTAGATTTTGTTGTGTTCTGCCATACACTATGCGTGTACAAGTGTGTGTGTGTGTGTGTGTGGAATTGAGTCACGTTGTATTCTTGGCTTGCCTGCCAGCCTGCCTCGTGGCATGTAAATGAAAATCAAACATGCAAGGGTTGATAAAGAAAATCGCGAATTATTACACACACACACACACACACACACACAGTCAGATAGATATACACACACACACATACCTATACAAATATTGTATGGGGCGCGCCCACTATTGAAATATGTTTTCGTATAACTTTGTCGCTCTTTTTGTGCCGACTGCTGCCTTTTTTGTGCGCTTTCTCTGATTCTGATTTCACTTTCGTTTTACGCCTACATTTCGTTGCTTTTGGCCGACAACTTTTTAATTAAATGAATTTCAAAAGGAGCTGCCCGCATGTTTCACTGTTCTTCGCTATTCGTTCTATACCCTTCACAAAAGTGAAAGAGTTTGCGAATCCTTTTTGAAGAAAAGCATACTTGTATGTGGGCAAAAGCGATTTCAATATATATATGCTATCATTTCATATACATATCATTGCTTTTGGAAATCGTTGGCTTCTTGTATGCCTGTTTTGAGTTATTGTCCTTTCAATTAAAATCAATTTCTAAAAAATCATTTAACAGCTGAATAAGAAGACATGCTGATCTAGTATCATTAATTATTTAAAATGTTTATTGAGATTTTCCGCATCAATAGTTTTGCATTAGCAGTTTCTTTGCAAAAAAAAGGATTGATTCGGATTCAGGTAAACTAAATTGATTTAAGGTCTCTCATTTTTAAAATCATTATATGGTTAATTCCTTGGAAGCTAATTGGGCATGTGTCATACATGGATACAATTTTCTAATGCGGTTTCCAACATCTTTGCAATATATATCAACAATTGATGTGTCGAATACTGTGAACAGTGTGCTTTTGTTTTATTGTTTCATGGACTGCGAACACATAAAAGCTTACACAAATGTATGTATGTATGCATTGCAAAACAGATCTCTTGCATTTATCAGAAATAGTTCGTTGATTTACGTATAATTTGAATATAATTGTATAAGCTTCTAATTGAGATCAATTTTTAAAATCAATGCATAATTTCGATTACCTCTGATCGATTAAGAAAAATGGCTTGAATTCTAAAAATATAGTTGTAGAGTGCAACATTTTTATAAGAATTAAATAGTTAGTTCTAAGATGTATGTATTAATTAAAAAAAGAAAAGAAAGGGTATTGAGGTAACATTAAGTTGGAACTGCAAAAATCTCCGATTATTGTTATCTGTTCCAACTCGCCTCTCCCCTGCCCTCCTCTTCCCACCCCCACCATCATATTTGAATGTTGGCAGTCGTCTTTAATTAACGCCAAATTTATTTGTGCCTGTCTCGAGAGCGGCGTCGGTGACGGTGGCGGTCTATGTTGGCCCTATGAGCTGGCGGATTCAGTGCCTTGTGTGTTTGGCTGAAATCATGTTGCGTATACGTAGGAGTATTTATCATTTGGCGCGCACGTGTAGGCTATGTAGCATAATTTAGGGCGTTATGAGTTCATTACCCGCTGTGCGAACTTGAAAATGGTCGTGAAAGAGTGTGTGTGTGTGTGTGGCTTTGTTGATACCAGAGGTATTAGGATTGAGCTATTGACGACTGCTGGAAATTAGAACAGCTGCCATATGATGGGAGGGCTGACCCAAATGCCTACTAACGGACACTCCCACAGCCATAGACTCGTAGAATAACGATGCTATCTGCCCGGCCAGCCAACACTAAGTGGCTTTTCATGTTCGATTGCAGTTCTAAGGTGTTGCCGCTTTGTTGTTGCTGTTTAGTCATAAATCCACGCCGCCTTAACGTATGCAACTTTTTTGGCCAACACATTCTTGACCTTAATATCTGGAGAAAATGGGTCAAAGACACACTCACTCACTTTCCACACACATACGCACATATTTTAATTTAACCCAATTCGAAAAATAATAAAATCATTAAATCAACTGTAATTAATTTATGCGGCACACACTGCTCTCCTGATGAATCAAGTTTGGGACCAGTCGATGTTTGCTCAGCTTGGGCTTAAATTGGAGCTTCTGCTTTATTTCTAGTAATGAAGTACAGCTATCCGAGGTGCTGCCCAATGCCAGACGCATTCTCTTTGCGGACAAGCTGCTGCTCTCACTCTTCCTGCGACGACATATGCGAGACAAAGTCTTCGTTTTGGGCTGCACTATTATTTTCTTGCAACGTGCATCTGGTGCCTCCATATTGCGTTGTGCCTCCTCTTCCGCCTCCAGATTGTTTTGTATTATCTGGCGCGACCACTTTGCCCTGAACTTCTGTTTTATGTGCTTGCCAGGCAACGAGCCATGACGACAGTTCTCGCGTATCCATTGGCGTACTGCGGGACAGCCCACATAGCATTGTCTGGTTTCAGTCAAATAGTTCGGTATGTCGAGCAAAAAGCCATTTTTGTTGAGACGGCCAAAGCCCAAATCGAATATGTTTGCCGCCAACTTGGGCAGTATGGGGCCCTCCTTGCCCTTAAACTGCAACGGACCCACAGGCTCTATTGTATTTTGAATCTCGTGTTGGAAACGTCTGTCCCGAGACGTACAATAGCTCCAGTTAGCAAAGCTCATTTTCTCCAAATCCTCGTCTTGTTTTGTTATATTGAAATCGACCTCCAGTTCATCATCGAAGGCAATTTGCCGTATTTGGGTTAACTGGCCATGATCGTGGATCACACGAAAAGTGACACGATGCGGCTCAGCCATCTGCAAAACACCGTGGCCATGGAAGCGTCCATTACAAAAGTTCCCATTGTAACGTGTTCCACCCGGAAATACATATATGCCAAAGTCCTGCATGCCCAGCGCATCACTCAAGCCGAAATATGTGGAACCCGTGAGTAACTTGGTTCTATATACAATATCCGACATGTCGAGGGAGAAGGAAAACGAATACCAAGAACGGTACAGATTACGATTTATGTGTTAAATTTAGTAATTTTCTAAGCGCGCTTAGCTTGAGTGTTGACAGTGTAGGAGATGATATTGCTGTTCGGTTTGTTTAAATTATAAGAGCCTTGAGTTGTGGGGAAACGAAGTTGCAGTTTTTTTCGCCCTTGATTGGGCAACATGTTTCAATTCACAATTTATGGAAATTTATTTATGAAATGAATTAAAAGAGCTAACATAAGTGATGGCCATTATTAGGAGTAGTATTTAAAAAGTGAAGTTCGCAAGCTCCATGTTTTAGGGACCCCTTCGTATTCTCCCCTTTGCCCACATTCTCTAAGCATCCAGATGCGAATAGTCAGCAAATCGCAAGAAATTAAAACTATACCATTTATTACAGCAGCTTGAATATTAAGCATTAATCGGTCATTTTAATGGTTATTTGGACAAGAAGGCTCATCACTTTATTATTTATTTACTAATTTGTTAAGAAACGAAAACCATTTTTTTGTGAAAATGAATCGAAATAAACATTTTAAAAAATACTGCAAATTATACATTCAAATTTTGGTATTTCCTCTAGCCAGGTTGCAACGTTAAATTTAATAATTGCACTTTAAATAATCTTCAAAGTTATGGGATATTATGAAAGGTATTACTTCCAAGATTAAACAGTACCTTTCGCAGGAAAAAAAAGGTCGATTATAACTCCCATTTTGTCAGTACCAGGCGTGAGGGCAGTCATGCCAACAGATTGGGCGTAGCCCCTCATGGTGAATTGATATAAACTAGGTGGGAGAGGAGTCCATTCACCTTTGCGATGAGTATAAGGCCCATTCATCTCACATATTCAAAAACTCGGTGTACATTTTAGTCAGGAGAGAATTTAAGATATCTAATTTAAATAATTTCATTTTTTCAAAGCTTAGCACTCTATTCTTTAGTGCAGCGAAAGAACTTCGATTTTGAAGGACAATATAAATACCTTGCTTCTACTACCAAAATCCTGGGGGATTTATTTGTGCGCAAGCTGTTTGCAAGTCTGGCATATTTTGAAAAACATTGTGTCGCATTGTGTCGATAGTATTCAGACTTGAATCCATCCGTACGGACAACAGGTTTGGAATAATCTTAAGTACTGATTAAATATAGATGATAATCTAATCTGCATAAGACAACTATTACAAAGACTAAAAGAAAAGACTACCTTCAAAAGATTATATGTAGGTTTGAGGGCGATTGGCTTTCACCAGCCTTTAAAATTTATTTTGGACTGCTAAGCCATTGAATGATATTACAATTTGAAAGATGAATGTTTATGATCAACGATAATTAAGGGCCCACGTGTCAGATTACTTTGCACCACACGTAAGTTGGTGTCGTGTGGGATTTGCTCGCGCTTCACTTTTTTTACATCCTCGATTAGAGATTCATGGGTAAGGCTCTGAATATCACAGCTGCTATCGCCTCCAATAACATCGCACACGGCATCAGAAGTGTCTGTAATGGCAAGAGGCAGGCGACCATCAGTTGGCCCAAAGGACTCTCTGTCGGAAGACAGCCCCTTAAGGCAATCACACAACTTAGGAATGTAGTGTTTTCGTTGCGGTAGTCCTTTGCCTGGCGAATAAATGAATGTTTCTTTCAGCCGTTTGTTTTCATCATCCAAGTTATTATTGATAATCCGACGACAGAATTTTGGCAACGGTTCTTTGGCCTTTCCTTTGGAACTGCGGCGCCCCCCTCGATAATGGCCAGTGATCCATGCCTTATCCTTAGAACAGGTCATATAAAAGGTATTAGTAAGCGGCGGCAAGCGATCAAAGATCCAACCAGTCTGCGAATTAAAGATACCCTCCTCTGCGTCATAGCAGTGATCTTTAAGGCGTCGTGGTAACGGATTTGCGGTCAAATAAGAGGTGGGTCCCACAGGCTGCTGACCATAGTTCAGCTCGCCCTGATAGCGTCTATCGTCGGGCGATAGATATTTCCAGTCTTTGCAGTTTAGGTTGCCATCTTCGAATGAGCCTTTCAGATGCAGACCATCTTCAAACCACATATCCGTAACACTCCTCAGCTTGCCCTCGACAAATTCGCCTTTCAAGGTGAACCTGTAGGGCACTGCAAGCTTCAGCTGCCCATAGCCATGGAACTTGCCGCGTTTAAAGTATCCCCGATATTCGGTGGCATCTGGATACCGATAGGTGCCAAAACCGTCCATTGTGTGCACTTTTGTGTTCCAGGCCCCCTCGTAGCTGCTGTGTGTCAGAAAGTTCTGTATGGAGCGATCTTCCTCTGGGATCCGGTAAAACACTGAAGATGTGGGTCTCATATGTATCTTATGTACTTCAATTGTGTCATCAATAATACGTCCCTGTAAGCTTGTAGAACTTCTGTCCATTCTGACTGTGGTATTTTTATTCATTGCTGTTTTTATGTTGTTTTTGTTTTGTGTAAAATATGTTGAAATTTTGCTTAAATTAAAAGTGGGGACAGCCCTTGACTAGCCCACTGTAAACGTGTAATGCCAGGCTTGTTGAGATTCTGGCTACTAGCTTTACTATATGACTTAATAAATGGCTGCCCAGTTGTCTGTCTGTCTGTCTGTCTGTGTGGGGGCAATATGTGGACAGGTGGGCGTACTTCTGTGTGTGTGGGCGAGTCAGGGGTGGATACGTATGTATAGTGCGGAAAATTCTTGAGATTCGGGTTTTTCCAGCTGCGAGTTTCACTCAAAAGCTATGCAGCAGTAGTTCATCACACACTACGATTTTAATTCCGAGTCCAAGCTCAAGATTCCTTTTAATTATTCACAATGTTTTCAATCTATCCCGCGAATTTTTTAAACAAAAGATTGCTGTTGTTTTTTTTTTCGAATAACTTGAAATTAATTAGGTTTTTATGTAAAGAAGAAATTGTGGTAAAGCACAAATATGCTCTTTCAATTTAAAGAAGTAATTGGGATTAGTAAGTTCCAGTTGCAGTAGACAATATAAAACAATCAGTTTTTTTTATCAAACAACGACAAATTGAATTCTCTAAAAATTTGTTTTGTTTTATAGTTTTAAGTCAGTTGTTAGATGTTTTTATTTTATAAATGTGTGCTTATATCTGATGTTGATTTTGTCACTCTGCCAAACTGTTTCGATAAACACTAGTCTATGGTCTAAACAGAATCTCTCCCTAAGTGGATGTGAAACTGGACAACATGGTGTTAAAGAGATGCGTATTTTAAAAAAGAAACCAACATGATATTTTATTAATTGAATCCGACAATTGTATTTAAAATAGTCTCTTTACAATGGTTTCTGTTGTCTCTAAACATGTAAAATGGGTGTTTAGCGCACATATTCGCTGAAGAAAAAGAAGGTGCGTTTCGGAGGTGGCTATTTTTTAAATTTTGCTGATCTACGTTAAATTTCCACACTGTTTTAAAGTAGGATATATATTTTAATAAGCTAATTAGTTCAGAAACATTTATAGAGTTCTTAAACTCTGATACGGGAATAGCGGTTGTCACCAAAAACTTACCTTCAGAATTAATGATTAATATTAATGATTGATTTTCCAAACCTGTGCCTTAATATTTTTTTTTTTTCTAATTTTCGATTGTGGTACATCCTTGGACCTTTGTAAAGCATTAATGCATAATGCGTATAGATGGCCCCACCGGTATATTAACATTTCAAAGTGTTCTGTTAAGCTTGATAGGCAACTTCTGTGGTTTGATGCCAAATGCTAAATTCTACACCTGGACGTTAACACACAGATAGTATGTCCATCCCTGGATGAAGTGGCTGTATTAGGTGTGGCTTGTGGCCTGGACAGTCATAAAGTTGGCGCTCTGCTTGTCTGCTCATTAAACGCTTAACTTTTTCGCGTGTCCTCGCCGCTCGCTGTGTGCTAATGAACTTTTTATGGTCATATACATGCATAAAAAATGATTTTATCTTGACATTTCGCATTGCTTGGCCATGGTAATAAACTGTGACTCCATGACGTTGCGATTTGTCTGCAAAGGTGTGTGTGTGTGTGTGTGTGTGCCTACTATACTTATATGAGTATTCAAAAGGACTCGCACATGTCGATTGCAGCGCCAAAAGTAGGTTTACATTTTTGGCAAATGTTGGCGCTGGCACGTGTCACCAAATCGTAATCACTCCCAGGAGTGCACTTTATCAAGCTCACTTACCTCACTGTGGGCACCCGCAGCCGTAGCCACGCCCATGCCCGTGCCTGCGCCCGCACTTTGGCTGCCCGCATGGCTAATGGAACGAAAATCCACCGAACCACCTGATGAGCGTCGCGGCTTGTTGATGTCCAACCGCAGTATGCCCGGTTTGGGACGACGCGGCACTGCAGCGGGCGTGCTGCCCATGGAATCGGTTGAGTCTGGAGGGGCAGCAGCCGCGTTTCCTTCGTCCCCGTGCATTTTCAAATATTTAGTAGCTGGCACACAATCGAGTCTCCTAGACACACCAACTTGTTCTGCCCCAAGCGCGCACACGTCCGCTGTGCACCGACAACGCGAACGTACTACAATGTATGCTCACCTTCATATCCCAGCCATGAAGCAACAATTACGAGCAGTGTTCACGCGCAGCAGCAGCGAAAAATAAAATGTGAATTAAACGCGGCCCACATGTTGGCCGCGAACGTCAGCTTCAACGTCGACGTCAGCGCTAGACGGCAGCCGAGCAGGTTACAATAAATGTGAATGACGTTGCCGCGGGATGGGGCAGACAGGGCGAGACGGAACGGGACGCTGGCATGGACAGGGATAGCACGGCGACAGGACATGCGGCACTTTCAACCGCTTCTTGTAGCTGCCAGGTGGCCATCATGTGTGCGTCCGAGTTCGTGTCGCTGTCATGTTCGCCACATGTTGCCCTCGTTCTGCATTGCCAGCATTTGGCTGACAATGTCGTCCACCCAGCAAATACCTAACATTCAGGTGAACTGTTCTCGCAACAATCTGATAATACAATATAAAAATGTTAATAAGAATGCTTACTTAAAAAAAGTAAAGTATGTGTTGTTGAATATATGAAAAGAAACAAATCATGTAGCTATTTCTCTTGCATATTGCTGCCCTTTATTCAAACTGATGGACATTTTATTTGAATTATTTTATTTTATTTTTTGTAATTCTAATTTTGGGACAGTCACCGTTTTAAATTGAAAGAACAAAAATATTGAGTTGTAAAAAGTAAATTCCTCATGATTCGTATAGGAGACTCGGGTGTGCAAAATAAACTAGTTGGTTTTTAAAACTTTAAGCCAAACCTGAGCTCGAGCCAGCAACAGCAACTAAAAATATTTAAATGTCGCTAAAACTATTTTAAAAAGAACCAACAACTACTGTCCCTATTAAACACTCTGAATATTATGTAGGTGTGTGCTGTGTGGACTATTAAAGAGTTGAGCAAAATATAGTAGCAAATCCTTTAATTATTAATTGTTGGATCCTAAAAGGCACTTAACAACTTTAGTGAAAAAAGTAGTAATAACCATCAGTGTTGGGTTTTTTCGTTAATGTACAGATTTGAGTTAAAACTAAAATTTATTTCAATCTGTAAGTTTTAAAACAATTTGTGGACAAATATTTTGCTCGTATATGATCGACGAAATATTACTGTGAAAGCTACGTACAATCTAATTGGATTTAAAGTGATATTAGGGACAGGTTGATAGGTAAAAGTTTTGTATTGCCAGCATAATTTGGATGGTTGCTTTGTTTTTCAAGCATTGACACGGTTCCGTTCTTCTTATGCTTTCTTTATGTTACATACTTGTATGTATTTAGTGGCTATGCTGTTGTTATGTTTCTTTTCGCGCAATCTAACTAATGATAATATATATGTGATGTATGTTAGAAAAATATTTAAGCAATCATTTGCAAAGAAAAACTCCGTTCGAGGTAGCGTTTGTCGGGTGGGCATGTTTTTTAATGGGCTCAGTGTTTGCTGGCTCAGTGACACATGCGCTTTTAAATGAACTTCCTGCTTTCAGGGTCGCCGCCTCACGTTTTCACTCCAACCTGTACGCCTACCAAATTTATGTAATTATGTTTGTATTCCGAAAAGTGACAGCTAAAAAAACACACAAAAAACAAAAAATATAACGTGAAAAATATCGCATGTCGCGTTTTTCATTTTTCATGCAGGACGCAGTAGCTGGTCGCTTGCCATTAGCACGTTTTTGCGTAATTACGTTGTTGTTGTTGGTACTGTTTCTGTACATTTGGAGCGGGCCGTGTTTGTTTTTCTAATTTTCAATAGACACCCGCACCCAGCTCTGAACGCTGACAGCGGCCAAGCCCACATGCTGTTCCTGCAACGCGCGACTTCGAACGCCCCCCCACTGGTATGCAATCGCTTTCCTTTTATTTTCCTTTCTAAGGATCGCAACACGCTAAGCGCGTTAAATTAATTGAACTGCAAGTGTCGCCACATAAAGTGTAAGTGCTTTAGCTTTCTCTTAGAAATGATGATGTTGTTGTTGTTGTTTTATTTTCACTTTCTTTTTCTTTATTTTTGCATGCATACAACTAATTGAAATAAAATTATTTGTTAGCTTAAATACTTTACTCGTACATGTAAAATGTGGCGATATAAGCTTACATGAGTATGTGTTTGTTATTTATGATTATGTATTTGTGTGTGTATGTGTGCTTGCGCGCATTTCGCTGCAATTTGTGCAATTTTTCAGTATCAGTCTCACAAATGTACGCATAAATTAATTTCAAATATATTTCCTTTTAGCTAAATGTATTCAACTGCAATTGTTTCGTTTGTTATAAATTAGCCAAAGGACATCCGATGCGCACTCATTAGGAACGCAATACGTGACTGCAGTATTTTGTATTGCATTTCAGAATAAATTAAAACTATGTTTTTGAAATGCTACTCGCAGTATACGCAGGATAATTGAATTATATGGAATTCCAATTAATGAATCATTTGTAATGTTTGCTAAAGGTTTGCCAAATAATTACTTTGTAATGAATTTTTTTTTAGGAAAGATATAATATATATTTGTAGGAAACTATTTACTTGTGATGCTAAATATCTTTATATTTTTGTGCTCAATATTCAATTGAACTATTAAACGAAAAAAGAAATTAATTTAAACGAATTTGAATTCTTTTTGGAATCATAAGCACTGATTTCTGTATCTCTGTGATTAAACTTTGTAGTTTTATTGATAATGGATTTTATTTGAAAGCTCAATTTAATGCTTGAGAAGAACAATTTCAGTGTACTTATATGCTTATTGAATTTGTTTAAATAACCTTTAATTTCAGCCGGGGCGGCTATTGTCTTTTGCATTGCGTTCCTATTGACTGCTTACCTATCTTTGTCGATGGATTTATCTAAATTTGATTAGCTTTAACTAAACCTGTTTTAAATTTAGCTTTAAAAAAACGCTGAACATTTAAGTCCACATATGTATATCAGAAGCACTAGAGTGGATACAAACTTTCACTGCTTAATGCCACTCATAAGCTTAATACTAAATTTTCGCTTTCATTTTCGATAATCACTCATACGCCACGTATGTCACGCACTACTATGGAACAGCTGGATGGAATACATGCAGCTGGCAACAAAAAAGCATTGAAAAAATCGATTTATGCATAAAAATGTAAATATGCTACCCTCCAGAAAATTTATGAATAACAAACATTTGATCTTTGCAGCAAAGCGGCCAACGTGGCGTATGGGAAACGTGAGTATTCAGCGCATTACCTTGTCGATGGTTTATTTGCCAACCAAAAAAGGAGCTTGTATGCGCATTTTCCGCTTTCTTTGTATGTTGGGAGGGAGTTTGTGTGTGTGTTTGTGTGCGCGCCGTTGTTTGCTTAGCTTTGAAACCAGTTTTTCTCATACACAAAAAATTGGCCAAGTTAAGTTGGGAATCGTGACGTGGCTTGCGGTTTTTATTATGCCACGTTGGCTTGTGGCTTCTTCGTTTTACGTGGCGTATGATTAATGCGCGTTGTTTGTCCGCCTAATGAATTGCCTGACGGCTATATAAATATATGTATTATGTATGTACGTGTATATCTGCTCTCATCGATGTGTGTATGATTGTGAGTTAACATGCGAAATACTTTCACTTACTTTATTAATACTTAAATACATGTTGAGCTTTAGCTTTATTGTTACTAATTGACTTATGTCTACGCCGTATAAGCTTCGTACTCTACTAGCTATGGTTCTTATATCTCTTTCTCTCCTTGATTTTCATCTTGTTGTTTCGCATTTGTTGTTCTTCTTGTTTGTGCGTGCATGGCATTTTAATGAGCATTCTGCGCCATTTTGTTTTTCATTCATTTGGTCGAGAGTAGTCTATTGATTTTCATATGCATATCTAGACGCTTAGTCATTAGCTAAACTAAACTTAACTAAAATCGCATTAGTGCTAACATTGTAGAAAAGAAATTGTCGCTTACATTCGTTTTTATCGAAAAATAAATCGCTTTAAAATGTTGTTCCTGCTGCAGGCTACAAAATCACTTAACAGCTAATAAACGCACACATTATGTCGCCACTGTCGGCAGCTCAGCACTTCAGAACGTTGTCACTTTGCCGAGGCGCATGCCGAGCAATTTACGACGCTTTTTGGCGCTTAACTTTGTCCAAATGGTGCTGCTGCCCTCCACCAGCAAAAACTCATCGCATAAATCATCCGTTTCTTTTGCTATGCCGCTGTAAAAATGATCTTCTTGATATTTCTCAGACCGTGAATCGCCCGAAACGAATCCGCTTTCGGGTCGGGACAGTGAGGCGGTATGCCAAGGCAGTTGTTGAAACCAACGCGCAACTTTCGCCGTCGACGATAGCTGTACCAGAGATGGGAGAGAAAGAGAGAGAGAGAGAGTTGGAGGAAAATGGATAAAAGTCAGTTGTTCAGGCAGTGTGTAAATTTATGCAAATGAGTTATGTGCCCAAATTGCTGTTGGTGGGCTGTACGATGATAACAACAACAGCAACAATTTCAACAACAGTAATAGCAGCAAACACGATAGAAAAAACAAGTAAAGTGAAAAATGGCGACACTTGTTTTTTGGGCGCTGCTTTTGTTGTCGTTGTTCCTATTGTTGTTGCTGTTCTTGTTGCTGCGGTGGCACTGCCTCAGCGCCTGTCTACGCGCATTATATTTCATTTATGAACGCTTATTTATGCAGTTGTCTGTACGATGGCCAGCAATTTTTCGGAGAGACCTGCATGAACGGACTCACAGCTGAGCAAAAAATTGACTTCTTTTTCAAGCTTCCGCATTTATAACGATGCAAAAGCGTAGATTTTGCTGAATTTGAGCACAGAATGATAATATTCTTATAAAAGAAGCTTATTTCTGTGAAAGTTCTCAATTACTTTCAAAATAAACTTCTTATTCGGAAACTGCATTGATGCAATAACATCTAAAATTCGTTTTTTCATCCACTAAAAATGTAGAAGAAAATTCAAAACTCAAACCTTCATTCAGTTTCAAATGCATTTCATCTTTGACAATCAGCCACATTGGTGTCTTTGGCGTCGGTTAATATTAAAGGCCTTCAACTACGAAGGTTGGAACCCCTAGCGATGCCTCCATATAACTCACCATCATGTTAAATGACAAATACATCATTTAAATTGAACAATAATCACAAGTTTTTCTCATGCCCGGCTCTAGTACTATAAATACGCTCAAAAGTATGCTGCATGATTTTTCATTTAACGCTTTTTCCTGCTGCCATTTTTGATTCCAAGTAAGGTAGAAAAAAGCTCATTAAGGATATTACAGAGCATTACGCATTGCATTCCGATGTCACTTAAACAGTTTTGATAATATTTATATAATGATTTGCGCATTTATTGTTGTTTTGCTTAATGATATAATTCAAACTTTTAATTACAATTAACATTTCCGAGCTGCAGCTACATACATAAATATTTATATGTAATTAATGCAGTACACGTGTGTGTATGTACATGGATAATTGTTTATACATTTACAATAAATTCAATAGATTTACTTTTGTCGTAGTTTCATAGCTTCTGCTTATATGAGCTTTATTTGTATTTATAATTTATATTGTTTGATAAATTTATAGAGAAATATATATATGTATATATATTTTTTTTATTTATGCATATTGTAAGTAATTGTGGAAGTTTATAGTTTTATAGCATAACATTAATTTAAATACAACAATGGTTTGAATACATTTACAAAAATAAATTGATATCTATTACACATTAATCAACTAAAATAAATGTACATTCCTTTATCATTAATAGCTTAGGCTTTATGCTAAATATAATTTGAAAGTTTTTAACAAGACAATACTTTTTACAGCATTTTTTAAATATATTTTGAAGATATTTGTTGTAGCTTAGGTAACTTCTGATATGCTAGTTATGTTGTTATATACGAGTAGTTTTCAAAACACTATACTTGCAAGACTAGAAGTATATAATTGGGCGCTTTTTTTCTATAAGTATTTAAATAGTTGTTTCAACGCAGTACTTGTATGGAGAAAAGAGTTGTGCGGACACGTTATGTAGAATAGAATACACCATTAAGCAGTTGGCATTAGCGTGGAATTTATGTAAATGCCCACTTTCGAATTTAATTGCCATTTCAACTTTTGTTATTTAGAGTTTTAAAAAGAATACGGTGGAGTGTTTTAAAAGGAGGTCTAAGAAGACGTATTTGCAAAAATACAAACATAAATTAACACATTCTTATTTGAAGGCAACAATTTTTTTTAGAAAGATTTTTTTGTTTACGATTTTTTTTGGCACATTTTCATTCAATTCATTCATTTTTAATTTCATTTTATTTAAATGCTGTTTTATATTGGGTTGGTTAAGTTTTTTCAAGTCAAAACAAACTAACAAATTTGTGAAGCACAACTCTGCACGCGCCCGGAAGCTTGCTACATTTTGTAAAATAAATATCGTACGACTTGGCTTTAATGAATTAATGTAAGCCCCGTTTCTCATGTTCCTTTCAAACTGTTTTCATTTGTTGTTGGCAAATAGTTAAGTTCCGTTTCATTTCATAAAACATCTTCTCAATTGAATGCTTAAATTTTGTGCAATTGTGGCAACGCCATGTCGATCAAATTGCAGAACGGGTCCATGAACTGGAAAAAGTGGCCAGATACATAGATAATTAACTTTTTGGAGCGTAATTTGTTTTTTGTGAAGGTAGTTATCTATGTATGTGCAAGGAATACTAATATTCTATATTTTGTTGTGCAAATCAACTAATCGAGGCATGATTAACTGAAAGGTGGTTGTAAGTCTTGAAAAGAACATGAGAACATGACGCTTACATGTACTTAAGACTATGACTAGAACAAATTTCGCTATAAATTAATACTGTTTAACCCGCACACACACACGCGCTCCATTGTACACGCTTGCTCTCACACACACTCACTCTTCTTCCTATGTATAAATTAGTAAATTCTACAAGACTTGCTCCTTCGCCCGCTCACTTGGTGGTGTGCCTGGCCCAGGCTGTGCGTTGCACTTGGCTCATCATTTGGCTGCGGTTCGGCACCTTCTCGCTGGTGCTGCGCGTAATGAAGCTGGGCGTGGCCGAGAGCTTACGCTGGTTGGTCACATTGCCTGCCTCGTCTGTGACGCGCAGCATAAAGCGTGTTTGTGCCTCATGCGAGGTTCGCGCACTGTTGTTGTTGGCATTGTTATTGCTCTGACTGCTGCCGGCGCTGATGTTGTTGTTGCTATTGCGCAAGCGCGGCGATGAGGGTGAGTCGAGCGTGGAGGAGCTGCGACTTGTGTCGCGCGTACTCGTCGAACCGCAGGCAATGCCAGCCAGATTGCCGTTGGAGACTGCCACCTTGAGCTGCTCCTCCAGATTATTCAGATTCTGCTCGATGCTCAGACGTATGTCATCATTTAAGGAGCTGCTGCCCGCAAACGAGTTGCGATTCAGTGTGCCCAGAGGTGAGGGCGTTAGATTGCCTGCACTAAGCGCGCTGGGCGTTGCCAAAAAGTTGAAATTGCTAGCAGCGGCGGCAGCGGCACTGCTGCTGCTTAATGGATTCACGTAGAAGAAGCTGTTGTTATTGTTGCCAGAAGGTGTTTGTTGCACCTGCGCTTGGTTACTGTTCAGATTCATGGCCTGGAGACGGTTAAGTAGCTCCTGATTGACCTGAAACAAATCCTTGGACAGGGCATCCTGTTGGTGCTGCTGCTGTGAATTCAACTGTTGCAGCTGCGTGCTTATGCTTTGTAACTGACCCATCGAGGGGTACGTACTTGTTGTACTGCTAGGCGTGGCCACGCCACTTAACTGCAACAAGCCTGTGGACGTGGCACTGGCTGAGGGCGGCGTGGGTGGCGTCATTTGTGGCTGCGGCGTGGGTGGCGATTGCTGTTGCTGCTGCTGCTGTTGGAGGCTCTGCAGATTCTGTAAATTTTGACTTTGCTGATTGAGGCCGCTCAGCTGATGACTCAGGGACGTCAGCTGTTGGTTGATGTTGCCCAGATTGTTTATCTGCTGATTGATGGTGGCCAAATTGTTGTTGTTGCTGGTTGCCTGCAGCAGCATTTGCAGTTGGGACTGTGCGCGAAAAGTGAACGAACGTGGAAGTTCAAACGTTCATTAAACCTTCAGTTCAGCGTAATACAAACACAACAACAAACACTCAGATCGAAAAACGTGCAAAACTCAAAGGTAACAAGAAACGCAAAATTGTAAATTGCAAATGGCAAATGGCGAATGGCAGCGATAATAACGAAAAATCATGCAGGCACTTAGGCGCTAAAGAATTGTTGGTGGCCAACTGGGCTGCCAGTTAGCGCGAAACAATAATAGCCGAATTTTTTAAAAGCTTTATGGCAAACAACATAAACACTTAAGTTAGCAACAGCATTAACATTGATAATTCGGGCGGGTATATAATGAAATTCTATCGAGACTCACCTGAGGTGCCATGCCAATGTTTGCTGTTGTCAGCCCCGCGCTCTGCTGTTCATTGTAGGCGCCCAGAGAGGCCAAATGCTCGAGCAGCTCCCGATTCTGCTGCAGCAGCTGCTGCGTGCGCGCCTGCAATCAAATGGGATCTTAAAGTCCTGATTGTTGAGTGTGAAAACTTGGGAATATTACCTGTGCCTCGATGCGCGCATTGGTCTCTGATATGAGCTGCTCCCGCACCAACATCAGCTGCGCCAACGCCTGACGCGTTTGCAGCGCCTGCGCCTCCAGCTGATCCTTCAGCTGACTGATCTCAGTGCGCGGCGATGCTGGCGTGCTGGCCAATTTGTCTTCCAAGTCGCACTGAAAAAGTAAACATAATAAAATATCGCATAATCAGAGATGATGCTTGAATCTATTATCATTTCAATTGACTTGTTATTGCTTTCGAAAATTGAACAAAAGTGTCGAATTCAAAACAAGACTTTTCAACTATTGCTATTGTCCTACAATAATTGAAAAACTTGAGCAAGGAGTAAACATTTTTCAATAAAATGTTGAAATATGAAATATGCTATATTTTTGTAATCTGTTGGTGAACTGGAAGAATATTTTATTTTAAATGTTTGGTTTTTTGGTTACAATTTAATTAAATCTCTCATCCACCTAAATATATGTGCCATCTTTATTAAAGGAACCATTTTTAAAATCTAAAACTTTTTGCTCATCGATAATAAATCCGGGAATCCACTCTAGAATCCATGCTTTGTTTCTCTTCTTTTTTTTTGTACCTTTGAACATTGAGAAACGTATACATTTCTTCTTTCGTAGCCACCCACAAATGAGTTATGGAAAACTACAAACTAAATAATTGGAATTTTTAAATTTTTAGCTGCGTCATTTATTTAGACAGACCCATAAGTGGGCGCAGCAGTTAAAAACGCAGCCTGGCATAAACAACAACACGCATATAAGATTTAATTTATTTAGCCAATTTAAGCCGCAAAAAATGGAAGCAAGAAATGAAAAAAATGAACAAGAGTTTGTTTTTGTGAGCTAGTCTATTAAAACGGACGTAAATAAGAAATGTCATTAAAGAGTTTTTTGGTTACAATTTAATTAAATCTCTCATCCACCTAAATATATGTGCCATCTTTATTAAAGGAACCATTTTTAAAATCTAAAACTTTTTGCTCATCGATAATAAATCCGGGAATCCACTCTAGAATCCATGCTTTGTTTCTCTTCTTTTTTTTTGTACCTTTGAACATTGAGAAACGTATACATTTCTTCTTTCGTAGCCACCCACAAATGAGTTATGGAAAACTACAAACTAAATAATTGGAATTTTTAAATTTTTAGCTGCGTCATTTATTTAGACAGACCCATAAGTGGGCGCAGCAGTTAAAAACGCAGCCTGGCATAAACAACAACACGCATATAAGATTTAATTTATTTAGCCAATTTAAGCCGCAAAAAATGGAAGCAAGAAATGCAAAAAATGAACAAGAGATTGTTTTTGTGAGCTAGTCTATTAAAACGCTTTAACTAAACAAATAGCCCCTGTGGCTTTTAATGCGTGCTGTTCATAAAAATTGCTGCTAATTTTTCTTTGTTGCCTTTATGGTTTTTTAATTGATATTTTATTCGCCAAAATATGCTTAATATAGTATATTTTTTGATTCAATTTTTGCAATTATTAAATCATTACTCATTTTTAATAAAAAGTTAAAGCAATTTGCGATGAATATGTGCCTTAATTAATTATAGTAAATGCATTCAATACTCACCAGCAGGCTTGTCGATTTTCGTAGGCTCGACTGCGGCAACAGTTCCAGATGATTGGGCCGTTGGGGCTGTGTGTGATTCAGATCAGGCGTTTTGGCCAAGTGCTCTATAAATTGAAAGTAATATTTGTGTGAGTGTGAGATTTAAGAGTCGGTCAAATGAAGGCGTAAACAAATTTCGGACTCCCTCCCTCCCTCCATTTGTCAAGACTGGCGCTGCAGTGGAACGAATAGCCACCCACCCAGCCAGCCAGATATACAAGTATACTCGTATTCATATGTTGGGGTCTAGTGCACACCTGGTGGTCTGACCATGGCATGGTCGAGCTTCATTTACACTCAATTATCGAGGGAGGCTGGCCAACCATTTTTTCCATGGATTATTTGCTTTGATTGTCCACCTTGACCATAAATACGGGTGTTGAGCTTTAATATTAAGCAGTGACCGGAGAAGGTCGCTCGTCATTGGGCAAAGTTCAGTGTTGGCATTCCTATGGATTTTTGCCACCTCATTAGTGAACATTTTTAATTTTCTTGTCTGTTGCCTGCCTGCCAATTTTGATTTGCACTAAAATATTTCAACAATTTCCTGCACATATTTTAGGCGAATATTTTTCTTTTGGCGCGTGTTAATGAAAAAGTGGCCAACAAATATACTATATGTGTATACTCGTAGGTGTAGTTGTATGGTGCATATGTACATGTATATCGAATGGCAGCAAGCACTGCCCTGGCTGGTCGGCTATTTATGGCAACAGAAACCCACAAAGTTGGTGTGCTTCGTGTTTTGTGTACCTTTTGGAATATGCACGTGTTAATTGCATGGAATTTCGCAGAGATTATGTTGTAAAATTCATTCACAGCATGTAAATTAAATTGGCGTTTCATATAAATTTTCTCGTGAAAATTGGCATTTAATTGTAACGCCTCTTCGCCATTTGTAGCGTGGGGGGAGGCGCTAGGGCGAAAGGGCTGGGGACGTGTAAAATTTAGCAGCTTATTGCTTCGCCGAGTTTTTCGCTGTTGAACAAATCTTAAGGTATATTAAAATAATTTCCAAATTTTTAGTTTTTCAGATCGCCTGATGCTATATATAATGCAGCCATACATTACTTTTTGTTTATACTGTTTGTTTCTGCCAAATAATATACGTACTAAGTATAATGCTTAACATATGCCGGCGTCTATTTTCATCTCAATTCTCAGTCAGTCAGTCAGTCGTTTTACAACTCAAATGACCTATTTAGCCAAACATCACATACAAATTCGGGCGAGCGAAAAAAAGCAATTCGGCACAGCAGCTGCTGGCTGGCTAATCGACAGTTTATGAGGCGCAAAAATATATTAACAAATTGAAATTGCTTATTTAACAAGAATTAAATAATTAAATCGTTGAAACAAATGAAGAGACCACAGATACGGGTGATGACAGCAGGACAGGATGTCAAATAAATGTATTGTGTATTTTGTTTTTAATTAATTTCACACATTTAATTGCTTCAAAGGATTCATTGGAATTGCATGCAGTCGATTTATTATACCCTGTACCCGGGTAAGGAGCTGCCCTAGTTGGGATCATTTATAAAGATAGAAGAGGGAAAAGTATGTTATAAGTTTTTTAAAATCCTTCATTCTGAATTATCAATAAAATCGATGCACCATATCACATATCCTAATATTTATGATCCCAAAGGAATGATCGATGTATAATTCAGCTCCCAGTATTTTAAACTTTATTCTTTTCTGTCTATCTTTATATCATACCGAAATGTTTTATTAAAATCGTTGCATTATATGAATTACTGTGGTGTAGAGATGGCGAGGTACACGGCATACAAAAGTCGAGCTGACGCGACTTTAACAATTTTCTCGTTATAAATTATTCTCGCATTAGTCAAGTCAATAGATGGTCCTGAATACTGTAGGTAGGTTATCATCGATCGATAAAGGCCTAATCTGATTTCGGTAGATGGATATTCAATATGAATAAAAGGTTCATTTGGGCCAGTAAAATGTTACTGTTTTCCCTCAAAAAATAGGCTTGCTAAGTGGTACAATTAAATATATCACTTAATTTTCGCGTGACACTCCTAATCCTTTTGCTTTTCATAAACTAAACATTGTTGCACAGATTTTATGGCTCTAAGTATGAACGTATACTGTGTGGCATGCTTCTAGGATATATAATGCATAATCTTACAGCTGACGCCAACAAATATGACCGTTTTATTACTTAAGCCCCGAAGCATTCAACTTTGATCTGAGTATTAAGGCGGGGCGCATATTAACGTTAATCTCAGACAGCAACCAAAATGTCGCAGACACAACGGCAGACACAACACTCCGTGTTGCTAAGGGATGTGTGTGGGAGTTTGGGGGCCGTCTGCAGACGCCTTTGTCCAAAATGGCTAAATAACCTCACACACACACACACATACACAACACAAATTATATATATACATATATAGTACACACGATGTCTGTGTACACACACTTGAGCTGACATAATTCAATATTTTAGTGCTCGGCAGGCGGCGACGTAGACAACGAAGAAGAGGAAGAAAGTGACGGCTATTAAAAAGTCAACTGCCTGCGTCCAAACAAAAGCAGAAAAAATTATAAACGAACGAACAACAACAACAACAAGTATTAAAAGGCAACTTACAAGAAAATATGAAAACATAAATAAATTATTTTTGGCACACGACTTGGTCGTTGATTTTCCCGACAAGTACAACCTACAACCGCATAAATGGTTTCCACCGCAGGCGCTAAGCGACCAAAGATTTCGTATTATTTTTCATGCCCCTAATGTTATGGTTACGTCGACAGTTGGCCGAAAGCACGAGCCTAATCTGTCGCTAATGTGCATATTTTCCAAGAAATTTGATTTTCCTTATTCTTTTTTCTTATATTTTTTTTCTGCTGCTACTATTGTTGCAAATGATGTCGTTTGCTAGCTTGGGATGAAATATTGCGAAAAAAGAGACAGTTAGAAGTTTTCTTGGCAGCCTCCACTGGACGATGACGTCAAACAGAGTGTAGGTGTATGTGTGTGTGTGTGTGTGTGTGTGTGTGGATAAAAGTATGAAAAACGAATATTGAAGAACTGAAGCAATACGTGGAAATTGCTTAACGGCAGCCAAGTGTATGTCGAAAGCACTGATCGCCAGCTCTTCGTTTCTTTATTCTGCTACTGATGCTCTTTCTTGGTCTTCCTCTTTCCTATTCTTCATCTGCTTTTCCACTGCAGATGCGTAGTCTTTTTTGCTTTTCAATCTGTGTTTGGTTTATTTAAATTTCCATTTTCACATTTCTCTATCACTAACAATTTAAATTTAATTGTTTTTAGTTTTTTTTTTCATCTCTTCGTGTTTTGCATGCAAATTACTTTTCTAAATTTTTAAATGCCTCACAACTTTGGTCAGCTAGAAGATGGGCGAAAACTCAAGGCTTGCAATTTAAATGCAAATGCTGCAGCTTGGCAACAGAAACCAAACAACTTGATGGGCGTCACCAGAGGGAGGAGAGAGGAGGACGCTTTGGGAGTTGCATATCATTGAACGAAAATGAAAATTAAACAGCACATTTGCATTGAATCGAAATATAAAAGTCTAACTAATTCCAGTGCACTGAATGCGGATACTTTAAGAATCAGGCGGTTATACTATGCAGTCATAATAATATGGACAATGGGCTGCTCAAGTGCAGGAAATGAATGCGTGATGACAGCGCGAGATTTCGTTTTTTTTTTTTTTTTAATTCAATTATTTATTAACCCTCCCGGTCTGCGAACCCGATTATTTGCCATTTACCTTTCTTTGGCGTATCGACGCCTCCAGTGCCGTTGTTGCCGCCATCCTCGCTTAGCTGCTGCTGTTCGCTAATCTGTTCAACATCGAGGAGCTCTGATGAGACATCGGAGCGCTCATCGTTGGGTTCCAGGGAATTCTTATGAAGATTAAATTTGTGGCACACTTCAAAGGCTTGTCCGACCGTCCGTACGATGCGCATGGCTTGTGACTGTAAACAGAGAATGGCAACGAGATTGACATGAATAAGTGGATGTGTTGAATATTGTGCTTGACACGCGCTGCGAGTCAAAGAACCCTCTCGGCCCTGCAGCCCCAAACAAGATGCAATTAAACCTGCAAAGCAATTAGTGCTGATGGCTGTGTATGTGGGTGTATGTGTGCGTGAAGTACCACCATATGGCAATGCAGTATTACACAAACACAAACACAAACAGAAACACACACACACATGCACAGACAGCCAGATGCAAACTGTTGCTAGAGCTGGGCGTGCGACGTACACGTTGAATGAAGCTTAAAAAGTAATTGTAAAATGTATTTCTTATTTCTTTTCAATTCAGAGTTCCACAGTTGAAAATGTTGATTTGAGTATGAAAAAAATTAGCCCAGATTTTATATTATTCGAAATTATAGAAATATTCACTTTATGTTTGTTGAATATTTATTTTATAATACAATGTTGAGAACGAAGAGCTGAATTTATTGTTAACATTTTAGCTCGCTGCAAGTTCAATGTGAAGAAATAAATAAACAGATCTTCCTAAGTATTAACACCCGATGTATGGAATATTTTGTTTGCGTTCCCAGAAAAGATTTGCTTACATCAACTAATTTAATCGCAATAAAAGTAAAGTGAGTTTTACATTAAGAATTTATTTAATAATGTTTATTCAGATTTACTTGCGTACTCTTTAAATCAAATCGCAATGAATTTCGTGAAGAAACTCTAACCGATTGTATTTATAGTTTGTTGTAAGTCGATTTGGGAATATAAAAATTTTAAACAAAAAACTCCATCTTTAAAAATGTGCTATCAGAGCAGGAAAGATATTTTAATAATTTTAAATTTGGAGGCCTAACTGATATTGATTTTAAAAAAGCTAAATCACTGGTCATTTGCTTCGACAAGTTAGAGCATTATATTAAATTTAAGAAAAAGCTCCTGCGTGACTTTCGTGCTACCATATTCTGTCACGCCAACCTCCCTAGCTGCCGCCCTACGTACACAGATCAAAGATATTACGCATACGCCTCGTGGCGTCGATTAAATAACCCACCTCGGGATCAGCTGCCAGAGCCGGCTGCGTGGCAGCACAGCCGCAGGATGTAACATCCTTTGAGCGATTATTGTATAAATTATCACAGCTTCCGTTGGCCATATTCGATGGGCCGGGGACGGGCGGTACATTTGTGCGCTCCAGCGGCGAACTGCGACGTCTGGCCCGTCCTCGTTGTTGTGCTGCTTGTGCTGCCTGGCCAGCCACAATTGGCTCGCGAAACGAAAGCTTCTTGCGCGGCTTATCCGTCTTGGGACGCTCCAACATGATGCCGCCGGCGCTGCCCCCGCTGCCCATGCTGCTCATGCTCGAGCTGCTGTTTTGTTCGTAATAATTCTCGGTTAGACTCTGGCGACGTTGCAACGGATGACGCGACTCGTAAGGACCAGATGAGCTGTTGAAATTGTTGCTGCTGTTGTTGTTGTTGTAGTGCCTGTAATAGTCTGGCTCGCTGGGCAAACGTTTGAACTTGAGGCGCGCTTTGAGGACATCTCCGTTGCTGGCTGCATGTGGTGGGCGCGCGCCAGTATTGGGCGAGAGCTGTTTGTGTGTTTTGGTGGCCCCATGCTGTTTTACAGGCTGCTCCTTCTTGATGAGGTACACGGTGTTCTCGTCATTGAAGAGTATGTGCTTGTGGCGTGGCAAAGTCTCAAGGAAAGTGTCATCGAGAAAACGCTGTTGCTGAGCAGCTGTCGGTTTTGGTGAGGACGGTTGTCCCTGCCCCTTGCTGGGTACATCGTCGTTCAGTTGACCAATTAGCTCATGAATGTCCAGGCTCTTGTTGCGAGACAGTTGCTTTTGTTTGCGCTGCTGTGCCTTTTTGCCAGTGCTACTCGACAATGGTGATTGCGGTTTGTCCTTTTGCAATTTATCGCCCAGAATGTCACGAATAAGGCCGCCACCACTGCGAAATATATTTCGATGATAATGCACCTCTGATTTGTCCTTTTCCTTCTCTTTGTCCTTATCGCTGCCATTGTTAAGTGTAGCTTCGGACTCCTTTACGGCCGGTCCTTTGCTGCGACTGCGCGCCCAGGGCAGAAAGTCAAAAGCTTTGGTTATGGGGCTACGGGACACGGAATTGTTTTCGAGCAGCTGACGCTGCTTTTCCCTTTTCAGATTGGGAGCGGCAATCCCGTGGGCGGCGGCCATTGTACTGGCAACCGCAGTCGCTTCGTGCTTCATTGCCGTCGCCGTTGTTGCGGCCACGGATCGTTCAATGCACTCGACAATGACACGAGGTCGTTGCCAATTTGGCAAATACTGTTCTGTCACTCGACACTTTTCACTTTCTAACACTTTTCCTCTGTTGTATAGCCGCACTCCACACTTTGATATTTGTTTGTCTCTTTGTATTCGTGGTTTATTTGATTATTTTTGCAGAAGGCCGTGTGGTCGTGCGGTCAATGCTGTGTGTACCAAAAGCAAAGGCAACAAGAAGAAAATTGTTTTCAATTATTATTCGTTAGCAATTAAGAAACTATTAATTTCGCATAATTGATTTGCTCGCTCGTCCGTCTCTCTGGGTTATTGGGCTCTTCGCCACCTTCGCCCAGGTTGTTCACACGAGCTAACAACGCTCAGCCACCGCTGCTGTTGCCATTTTTCGCACTTTGGTTTTATGCTCACGTTGCCAAAACAGAATCCCGCAAAACGCAATTTGTGGAAAAATGAAATTTGTGTTCGTTAAAGCGTTTTCTTTTCCAATTATTTTTATTTGCCGCTGCTGCCGCTTCTCTTCAATTTTCTATGTAGTTATTGATTTATTTATTTGATTTTTCCCATTCTTAATACATGTCTATATTAATTTATATATATATCTATTGTTGTAACCGCACTATTGTGTAAAACTATTGCACATTGACAACCCACAACAAATCAAAACTGTCAATCATTGCATTTTGTTTTGGCTCACCAACGTGTTGTCAGGCTTCAGATATCTGTCTGAATATTTCGTGAACATACTATATGTAGCTCAAGCGATGAATCAGCCCTGCATTTTGGCAAGCAAGCAATAGGTATTGAAGGTCTTTTGTTGGTCAATCTAATTGCATCATACTTATATGCTTAAAGGGATTGTTGGAAGAGGTACAAAGCGTGTTGAAAGTAACCAATGGGATCAGGAGATTAATATTAGGCAATGCTCCTACTCCTCAATTCACTTAACAACACAAAATTAATCAGAAGTCTTGGGAAAATGTAGTAGAGTAGTGCCCAGCAACAAATTTTTAATCTTAATGTATGGTCAGACATATAGTAAATAACATATAATTTATAAGCATATAATTCATAATAATATAGAATATAGTTGTTAGTTCACGAACAAGTTTGCTTTCTTTCTCCTTAATTCCAAAAGTTATCCTTTTTATATTTCCAATGCAACAATACTATATTTCTCTGTTTCCCACGGTCATTTTATTCCCTAACTTATCTTTAGTATCTGGTTATTCAAATACTAAAAATGAAATTTAAATGTAAATTTAAAGTAAACATTTTAATGATTGCTTATCGCCTATGACTTTTTAAAATATATTAATATATTTGCTCAATTAATAGCCTACATTTGATATTTGTTGTTTGAGCGACAATTTACATAGAAATGATGTCTACCATGCTCAAGTCTATTAAAGAGTCTTATATTTATTTTCTATGTAAATTCTTATTTACTTCTACGTTTCGACATCAAGTTATGAGCTTTGCTTAACGCTGCTAATTTAGACTGCATAAATGTAATTTATTGGCACTTCAATCACTGATATATTGAGTACTTAGCAGCCAAATCGGAGCATTTTGAAGTGGCAACCGCACATCCAGCAGCCACTTACAGGTATTCCCTGTGCCACCCCACTTCAGCGCCACCACAAAGTACTTTCTCATGTTCGCCACTGACATTAACGAGACATCAATTTGAATTAGTTTGACAAGCATTGACAGCGCTTATTGCGCAACTCAGGCAACTGAAATGGGCCAGCTGACCAGAGCACGTTTACAACACGTTCGCGAACGAAAGGCCACTTAAAATTTTGAATTATGGCTAAAAAGCTAACCAAGCATACTACTCATACATACAAAGTCTGCATAATACGTATAGAAATTCAAGGTGATTGCATTGAAGGCGCGTGCAAGACTCTACGATCGGCGTCACTGCGTCTAAATGCTGGCGAGCACCTCTAGTATTATATATTTAGAAGTTGTGTGTCTGTCCAGCCACGCGCCCTTTTCTGACACATCTACGCATACTACTATATATACATATAAGTTACATCCGTACACATATATATTTACAGCAGAGTATATAGCGCATACGCCTCGTGTGCTCAGCTGGCCTGACTAAAAGTTGAAGGTGCTGACTGACTATATCTATACACGAATCTATATATACATACAGATCTATATGCATTTGTATATATAGTATAGTAGTGTAGTTCTGTGTGTCTGGCGCAATCATAAATAAATCAAATTAGCAACCATAAAAAATCAGAGAGTGTGGCAATTTTCATTTGTTTAGTTAGCTCAAATATTATGAAAACCATTTCAAGGGAAAACTACTTGGGAATTTATTGTGAAAAGGCGAGTAAGAATTGCCAGAAGTTGCCCGTAGGTGTTTATTTAAAAATTAATTTGCATTGTCTGTTCGTTTGTGTACGTTTGGCTGTCATAAGGGAAACTCTGCAGATGAATTTCTTTCCACGCCCGACCCACGCATTTTTGCCAACTGAACTGTAGAAAGTATAAACACTTTTGTAATGCCATCTTCAACATTTGTATGCCATTGACAGCCACCTGGGAGTCGGAGATCTCGAGGGTGCAGCTTGTACAAATTAACTTTTTGAATTTTCTTGGCATTCTACAGCCGTTGCCACATGTTTATTGTGGCCATAACTCGTGTCGGCAACCGCAGCAGCGAAAGCCACAGATGCTGTAGCGGTAG